TAGAATAATTGTTATCTCTGAAATTAACAGACGAATATTTCAAGTGAAAATTTACATTATTAAATTTTGAACTTGAATGGTCCTACCAATATAATTAATACCTCAGTATATCAGTAAAAAAAATATAATTAGAAGATTAATTTGAAATTAATAGAATTAAACAATATAGTTTTTTTAAAACGCCTGGAAAAAACGGCACAATTTAACAATTTTATCATTGAGCACTATGATTTTTAATTAGGGTTAAAATTTTGATTATTTTTATATGAAAACTTTTACTTGCAATGGATTTTCATTTATTTGTTTTTTTTTTTTTTTTTTTTTTAATTTAGCCATTTCAAATTATTCTTATCTTCTAGTGGAATGAGAAAGATGAATTCGAAAGTGAGATAAAAAAAAAACTTGACCTTTTGTCTTCTAATGAACGAATCCGCACTTTTGTGCTGAGCATCAATATACATTTATCTGTATACTTTAATTTTTTAATGAAATTATCTGTCATAATTCAATATTATTATAGTTTCTGAGGTAAAAACGAATTACTTATTTTCCGTATGAAATTCATTGCTCCTCAATGAATTTGCTTAAATTTTAAGCCTACTGTGCATACAAATTAATGCCAGTCTAGGGTACAAAAAAAATCGGGGTCCAGCAGTATCAAATGAAACCGTACAACAACAGAGGGCTTATATAGTTATAGTATTCCCGCGTGGTTTCATCTCAAAAAGGACTTTCTCCTCGCCAGAGTATTAAGAAGATTTACAGCTTGTGTGGAAAGGCCGTGCATAAAGCACTCGTCCGAATTTCACTGATACTGATCTCCACTGCTGAATTCTTGTCTAAATTCAGCATCTGCGTGCGGGGGCAATAAATTTCCCATGCAGCACCATCTGGTCAACATGCGAAAATTACAAATAAAGTCCCGATTAAACAAAAAAAAACCTATTAAATCATTTATCAGATAACAAAATTTGCGTCGTGTTCAATAAAGCTCGTTTTGCAAATAATCAAGCTTGTCATCCTCACTCGCTTGCCTCTTTGCATTAGTGCGCGACTTTTCATTCTTTCTTTTGCAACGAGTTGACATACAAAGGAATTTGCTCTCTCGCGCGCGCGAGTTTCGACTTCTCACACAGGCACTCGTCGCTGCTGCTTCGCGGAGGGTAGCGGTCCATTGAATTTGTGTTTCCATACAAAAGCCCCTTCGCTGAATGTGTGCCCTGCGACGACGTGGCCACATCCCTTTTCCCTTTGTCCTGCCGCCTTAATTTTTTTTCCGCCGCCCGTAATTAATGCAGTGTCTTGTGCCGTCTAAATTAATTATTCAAGCGACCGGCGCGCACTTTGATAATTTGCCCGCCCATTCAAACTGCCGCCGTATAACACGCCGGTATATTCAGGGGTGTTAAAGAGGCCAGAAACGAGAAGACCCGACCGAGGTGGACAGACGCACTCCGCGGCACGTAAAGGTCAAATTCGGAATATAAAGGCGGGCGTGACACTCAACCTTTCCAGCTTTCTCTTTCTTTTCAATGCAGAATTACGTCAGAGAATGTATAAATTTTGTTACAGACACACATTAAAAGCGGATTAATGACGCGTTTCCTGATTTGCACAAAGTTTTTATATTATTATATCTTTTTTTCATGTAACCGTAAATTAAAAATTAATTAGGTATTAAAAAGGAGTAATTAAATGGAATTTTAGGTAAATTATTATTGTTTTTGTTAATAATTTGAAAAAACATTTTTATCATTGAAGGACTTCACAAATGCCGTTGTGAGCCTTAGTAGACAAATTATTCATTTGTTGTTCTTGACTGAATTAAAATTTTGTGATTTATAAATTTCCAAAAATTATTTTTGATTCAAATGTTATTTAATTAAAATGCAATCCAAAATTTCCACTCGCACAATCAGTGAATTGTTATTCATTAAGAATTAAGATCGGATTCATGATAAAAATAAATTATTAAAGAGAATCCGCAACAAATAAATGCACAATGAAAAGAATAACAAAACAAGAGTAAAGATGAGCACGATTTTATTTTTAAATCCTGTCGGCATTTTAACACCATAGCGTTTTGCTTTTTTCCATTTTACGCCTACCGAGTGAGGTAAACTTATGTATTTTGTGGCAAGGTCTCTCGTCGGCTCATCATTATTTTTGCAACACTGCGCGCAAAATTTAATTAATCAAGCGCCTCTCGGTGGAAAATCCTAGAAAAAATAGTCGGCAGAGTAACGTCATCACATCAAAGAGAAAGAAAGAGCGGGAAATTTAGCATGGCTTCATCACAAGCATGAATTTGCGCTTTGGCCGCCGCGATTATTTATGGCGCTTTTCAAATGACCATTAAGCAGCGTATGTTTATTTTCATAAATAAAAAGCTGCTGCACGGTCCATTGTGCTGCCTCTTGACTGCATGCAATTTTTCATCTCGCCGCCGTTCATTTGTTCTGCCATTGTTAATGGACGTAAGAGACTCTTTGCAGCGTTTTCCAAGCGCCAGGAAAATCGCTCGAAAGCTTGTAATTTGCGAGACCGATTGATTTATCGTGCCAGTCGGCGAGGTTGTCAACGCGAGTGTCGCTTTTTTTGCAAATCGGGCGACAGACAGTTTTTGCAAAATTGAAAACCTTCCAATGTTTGTGAAATGATAATAAACGCAGTGAATATTCATAAGACATTGTGGCGAAATTCAAAATTAATTTATTCATAGGAATGTCCAAGGTCGCTCATGACATGCGATGAATACGCTTTGTTGTCTATGTTTGAAACTGATTGGCAACTAATTTCAATGGGAAACCATCTTTGGTTGGCTTACAATTTGGGGCCCCCGGAATTGAAATCATATATGTTGATAAATTAAAATGGGCCACAACTGAGAGTAAAAGCTCGTCAAATTCAGATTCATAAATAAAAAATCAATGAAAATACAAGTAAACTGACTTACTCTGCCGAACAATGGCAACAATAACTATAATTAAATTTTAAGATGCAAGCCAAACTTATTTTTAGGGGCTGAGAATCCAAAGCTTACCATGAAAATCTAATAATCTTTTAGTTTTCAACACAAATCACAATTTAATATAAATGTTTAGAATTCAGTAATTTTTTATTTTTTTTCAACAAGTTTGTTCATTTTATTATTCCTTCTCGATTATTAATTATTTTATTGGAACAAAATAAAATATTTGCTAGCAAAATTGCAAAAAAAAAAAAACATTAAACATTTGTCCCCTTTTTCATTAGTTTAATAGGTATCAATTGAATTGACAATAATGAAATTTAAAAACAGTATTTAAAATAAAAAAAATTCTTTCGCATGCAGCAAATGATTTGAAATAGGCAAAATATAGTATAATTCTGATGACGTGATAGCAGGTTTTGCGATGACACATTCAGGTCCTGGGTAATGAGCCTTGAAATCAGGTGACATCGTCATGAAGGCCAGTTTTGTTGCTCTTGTGCCTTCATTTCAAAGTTTAATTTCCGTTGTAAATTTTATTGTTAGAGGCACAAAATGAAGTAATTTTGGAGTCGTCAGCAAATTTATAATAATTCTTAATTAAACCTGACACCAAATTTTAGGTTCACAAACGATTTGCATTGAAAAAATACTTTTTTATAATTTTTACTTAGACTTCCACTTCATGAATCGGAATGGCACCATAAATATTATCATAAATGGTAAAATGAACCACTGTACTTCCCTTCGTCACGGTCGGTTGTCGCTGCAGTGATTTTCAGCAGCGTGAAGCTAAATTTAAAGGGGAGTAGGTGGCAAACTCGAATCGGTCTAAACTGCTTCAATGTCGCCCACCTTTCACCTCTCGCAGGCGCAAATTGCCAATGACCCTGGCCGGAGAGCAAACTCAAGTGAGAGACGCTGAGCTTTGCTCCGGATACAATTGCCAAGCACAAGAAGAAATCAAGTGCGATACAAAAGGAAAGGTAATGGCCAGGTAGGCTGCTTTGCTGGCTCGGTTCAGGGCCGAGAGTGAGAAGAGGTGGCAACGTCGCCACCTGCCGCAGGGCATCGGTCGCCGTGACGCCTGCCATTACATCAGCTGAGGCCCAACCAACAATAAAACCAACTAGAATTAAACTCAATGACACTTTTCCGAGCCAAAATCACCTGCCGCCGGGTCAGAGTGCATGAAACAAATTAGATTTTTCAAGAGATGAGTTTTATCAGCCCGTTTTGGCCCACCCAGCACTCGGAAAAGTGTTTAAAATTGATTTCCAAGCTCAACAAAGAAAATCAATTTGAAAAGATTTTAAATTGAAAATATTATTTAAGTTAAATTCTAAAAAAAAAAAAATGTAATAAAAATTTTAATATTTCTAGAGACGAATGATGAAAACAAACAATAATAATACAACACGTGTGAGGAAGATTAGTCGAGTAAGTTCTACTAGTTTCATCGCTGTCAGCAGATTTTTAAGCTGAAGGTGTTCAAACAAACACTTTCTTTGTTGATTCATCAATTCTAATAATATTATTGAGTGCAAGTTAACGAACCTGATTGCAGTTAAATGTCAGTTATGCGGAAGGAATTATTTACATGAGTGCGTCATAACCAGTTATTACTGAACGAATATTCGAGAGGAACTTTATGGCCCGTAATCAATAATTAAACCTGAGCAATAATTGATTGGAATAATTAAGTAATTAAGTGTAAAATTAAGAAATATAAATACTATTTATAAATACTTTAAAAAGGCTTTAAAACAAATTTCAATTGTTTTACATTAACCACAGCAAACACTGTGAAATATTTGCAAATATTGCAGTGTTAAAAACGTATCCTTCAAGTAATAATGACTCTTAAGATCAGCTTAAGATATAAAATTAAATTATTCAAACAACTATCATAATTTTAAAATTAAAAAAAAAATAGTTATAAAATTGAACGTTCTTAATTTTTTCGCATTTTTTTGCAATTTTTTTTTTTTTTATTAAAAAAATTTAAGTTTGAAATTTTGTCACTGACCTTTCCTCTGTTGATGAAGCCATGCTTTTGGGCGATCTGGTCGGCGGCGTCTCCGTCGCTGATGTGCACAGACCACTGCTGGGTGTAATGTCTGGCCTCGGCGGCGCACACCACATGCAGAATGAGCACCAACCACATCTTGGTAGCGATCGACAGCCCTTGCAACATCATCTCGGTCTATCTCTTCACGATGCACATGGTTGACGCGGGTGAAAAAACAACACGGTCCGTCCGAACGAACGAGGGAGTGAAACGTGGCTCGGGCTCACAGACACACACGGCTCGGCGCGGCGACACGAGTCTCCCGTTCGCACTCTCGGCCTGCCTCTCGTGTACTGAACCAACTCAACCCACGGCGGTCTGTTCGCTTAGAGTGACTCTCGCGGGTAGCGGCAAAACCGAGACTGCCTCCGCTGGCGGCCCCAACTCGCGGTATCGCGCGCAGAGGGCGCCAAGCGTCAAACGCCGTGGACCAGCGCACGCAGCCTCCGACTCATCTGAACACACGTCGTTCATATATTATGTACTTTTCAATCTTTTCATTTTGGAATGCGGCCGACTTTGTACCAATTTTAAGGCTTCCTTATTGACATAGTCAAATCAAGTCTTTTCAACAATAGGAAATATTTTATCAATAATTGGAAAATTTAACCATCATTGTTGTAAAGACTTGATTTGACTATGTCAATATGGAGTCTTAATGCCTCATTCCATTCCGAAAATGTATTCAGGCAGTTGAAACAAGAAAGGTGAAATTATATTCCTTCAGCTCTGATAAGTGACGTGAGCCTTGGTATTGCTGTTTACCTTTATTATTAGAAGTTTTAGTTTGAAAGAGTTTAATTTGTGCAGAGAAAAATAATTAATAAAAAAATAATTGTTTTAAAAAGTTTGAAATATATCTTGTTACACCCTTACTTATTTGAAACACGGAAATATGTACAAAAAGTGATAATAGTGATGCAATTTAATGTTAGTTTTAAATATCCAAAATTTAAGACTTATTAAATAAGTGCACTTCAAATGCAGATATAATCATGAAATATTTATATTATATCTCACTTTCTACACACGGCCACAAAGAACACTGTATATTACCACCAGAGCTTTTAAATAAAACAACCGCCGCGGCTTTTGCAGGGCAAAACGAGAATGACACAGTTTCCCTCTCGCCAAACTGGAAGAGCGCATTTCGCTCCATTTAAAAGTCCCTTTGTGCGACTGATTATCTTCTCGCCACTTGCATTATTTCCCTTTCTTTGTGCGCTCTTTTTCTTTCATTCTTGTGTGTGAGTTACTCGGTCGGTCTCTCGCAGGCCGCGTGAAACCAAGGAGAGCAGCAAAGAAAAGGAAGCAAGAAAGAAAGAAAAACAAAAGGAAAAGCCGACGGACCGACTGGGGCGAGGCACAAGCCAGAAAAATCTTTTAGTCTGGAAAACCTGCTTGTGCGAGTTAATCTGGCGGCTTCTTTGAGCCCTGAAGATTTGCCCTCTTTACTACCCCACATACCCTTTTGCAAAAGTAGTATTATTGTGTTTTGGTATTCCCGTGTGGGGCTCTGGAAGTCTCGCAACTGGACTCTCAAGATAAAACAGAGGGGCTGTTGCTGGCCTAGTTTGCATGCAAATGTGATTATGATTTATGGTCCTGACACTTTCAAATAATAAATTCTCTCGCCTGCACGCTCTCAGGCGGCAAAAGAATTTACATGAATTTGCACACTTAATGCAGCGCCTCGCGAGCGACGGAACTTGTATTATAGAAGTAAAGGAGAAACACAATTAGATTTTTAATCAAGATGTTTGCAGAGTGATTCTCTCCGAGGAGGCATTCGCGCTTGTTAGTATGCAGAATAAGGAACCGCCCTCGTCTTGCGGAAATTTAACGTGCCCCATTTCAGATATGGCTTACGATTTAATTTTGGATAAGTGCCTTGAATGTTGGAATGGAATGTTGTTACTCCAAAAATTATTACATTAATTTGTGATTCAGTTATTTTAAAGTAATGCAAAGTTGGTATTTTAATTTAATTTTATCAATTTTTTATTTTTAAAAACTAACTTTTCTGATTGTTTTTTTTTTTTATTGTTTATCACACACTTTAATTGTTAACACACACTTTTTACGATTTTCATCAATAAATGTACTGAAAATTAAGAGTTCAACCAAAATATTTATCTCCTTACACAACGCAATATTTTGTGTTTGATTTAACTGTAAATAAATTACAATTTGATTAAAATAAAATTACATTTGATTGCAAATAACGACAATATTTAAATTTGTTTTACAGATTCCAGTCCATCATTTTGATGTTCATTAAGTTCACAATATTGAATGCATATCTTTTTCTTAGTACCTTTCTTTAATTAATTTAATTCTTAGTTCTGAGATTATTAAGGTAAATATTTTTTTTAAACATTTTGGTGCTTTGTGGAATGTAAAGTAAATTATAATAATAACCGTATATTAATAAGAAAATAATGAGCAAAAGTTTTAATTTTTAATCACCGTTTAATATTTGACTCTTTTTTAAATTAATATGTGACCAATGAGTGAAGCCACTAAAAATTCTGATCAGCGAAGATGAAAATTGAATAGAGTTTGTTAATTCAATACTCAAACAAAAAGTCGGCGGCTCTCTCAACTCTCTAATTACGTGTGGCCCCACGGCAACCTTGTGTCAATGATACCAAAGGTCCTGCTGCTCTTTTAACTCAAATCCCCCATTGACCTCACGCGCCAGCCAGGGCGGAGATTTAATTCTGCACTCACGCTCGCAATCGGCTGTGCTCCGAGCTTTATTTTTCCTCTCTCTATATATTGAAGCCCCTTCTGCCAGCATCCCTGTGTTTGTCTTATTCATTCATTCGGCTGCGAAAGGCGGCTGCCGGTTCTCTTCTTATTTTATTATACCCGGGCAGAGCTGCTGCTTCTCAGCTCTCGCGCGTCCGCCGGCTGCTTATTCTCTCTATTTATCCTTAATGTGCACTAAATTACAATAAAATACAGCCCCCGGAAGAGATTTGGCTGTTTTTCAAGCGCGTGTGCCTAAGCGGCCAAAACGAATGTGCATCCGCGCCTCTTTCATTATTACGCATGGGTAGGAGTATTTTAGTCGGGGCAAAATTTTGTACAAATATTACTGGCAAAAGGAGAACAAATAAAATTAGAGTATTCCTTAATAAGCAATTTTAATAGCCTAGTATTTTTCAAAACTGCGCGTTTCTCATTTTTAGGTTTCATTTACTTTTTATCACCGAAAATAATTTTAATTATTTTAAATAATAATTAAATTGAACAGCTGCTAACTTCTTATCACTAATTGCATTAAATTTCACCTTTCAATTATTTTTTGATTGTGATTTTAAATATTTGCCGATTTAATAATTAACACATATGCGTGAATTAATCTACTAATTTTTAACTAAATTACTCCGGCGATGGTAAATTCTAGTAAATTTAATTTGTTTAGGATTTACCAGCTTGATTTTTTTTAAAAAACCTTTTTTTTTGTCAATAGAAAATTAAAGGAAGCAACCCTGAAAGACGTAGAGCTTCATCTATAAACTGGTGAACTTTCCAGCTCACAAGCAGCGCCCAACAAAAATGCGACAATGCCGAGTAATCAATAAGCGCCTGCAAATTTACAGAGGCGGCCTATAAAGGGGGTTGATCGTTCTCATTATGCGGCGTGTGCCTAATGAGTTGTAACTGCAATTTCAAAACCAGCTCTCTGAATTAATACTGGCAGTGACTTAATTGCTCATCTGCAATTTAACTCCTCCTTTGATTAACTAGCCATGAACGCAAGTGAATATTTATTACACCGGCGCCGGAGCAAGCAAACGATGCAAGTTATGGTAATTTGCACGTGGCAATCACGATTTATGACAACGTGAGAAAGTTATGAAAGCAGGGCATGAAATCGTCGAGGGAAAAGTCATTTTTCATGCGGCTAATTGAGTGGAAAAATCAAGCAGCGACGACTCTTTGTTTTTAGGAGCTTAATTTTGCGAAAACCTTTTTTAAGTACTTGTCTCAAATAAATAAATAAATAAAATAAATATTCTTTTCCATTAACAATATGTAATAACAAATTCAATAATAACTATTAATATTCTCTACAGCTGCTCTACAATTTCATAAAATAAGATAATTAAGTCAGGAAGCAAACATATTATTAATTCATTAGATTAGAATCATACAAAATTTAATTTTTTTTAAATACAAAAATTATTCTGCTGTTAATTTGGTTAAAAAGTTAAAAATTAGAAATTTAATCAAATAATTTTTGTTTAATATTCCTAGGTTCAGCACAAACTTTCACATTTTGTTGTTAAGAAGGTGCTTTCTTTAATTTAAAACTTCACTGCTAGTGTAATCACAATTTAATAAATTATCAAAGTTTAATTTTTAATTTCAAGCAAATATCATTGTAATAATGGATAAAAATGGTTAATAAAAAATTGTTTGTATCCAAATGCCTTGTTCGCGTTGATAAAAACAACTAATTATCATTATTTTATTATTCAAAGTATGAAACAATGAAGCATTTCTGTCGGCCATCATGCCCTCGATGTCAATGGATTGGTCCAGTGACCATTAACAGAGCGTTACACAATAAATTTCGCATTTTGACAGCCCCAATCAAAGTTGCTCCGTCAAATCTGCAATCTCGATTATGTACATTCGACCGACACTATTCATCCATAATCCAATCAATGGAAGTCAAAATTGCATAGATTTTAATGAGCGCCACAGATAATGTAACATCCAAGTTTTCCACGGTTGATTGAGTTGAAATGTAATAAAGTTCAACACCAAATTATTAGCGCTGATACTAATATGTAACCCAAGTATGACGAGAGCGCGCGCGCTCATTTAATTTGCAATCTCGGCAAATTAGGGCACGTCGCGAAATAATTTATTCGCTCTCGGTTTTCTCGTATCTGGCGCGTCCCAGCAGCGTTCTGTGCGCCAGGAGGGCTGTTCGTATCACTTCCAAGCTCTGTTCTGCTCGCAGCACACACGGTCAAATTTAATAATGACGAGTGTTATATCTAGGGGTTGAGAGCGCGCCACGAGCGAAAAATTGTAATTATCCCTCTGCGGACTGTGTGCGGCGACAAAATGATGACTGATGCCAAGCGTCCGATAAAATTTATCTCTATTAGCGGTTCAGATGACCTAGTCAATAAATAATCATACAACTCGGAATTTGAAATACTGCACGCCGAGCTTGGCTGCAAATAGAGCCACAGTTAAAAGGAAGTTTGAGATAAGTACTTAACAAATTGTTTTCGCAAATTTAGGCTGCAGTGCGGCGAGAAGTCTGGTATTTATCGCCTCTTGGTAAAAACGCGGTTATGAGTTTCAGTGAGTTGTTCAATAGCACTTTTTTCTCCCAACCAATTTTTTCACAATTGATTGTTCTGTCTTGTTTGGAGAAAAATAAAATGAATTGACAGAGCCAGTCACAATCACTTGATTTAGGTGAAATATTGGCTTATTATTTTTCAAACTTTGAGAAATTATATTCATTATACTAAGTAACTAACAAAAATTTTAAGACATTCTGAAAATTTTGCTTTTTTTCAATTTAATCTCATTCTAATCAATGAATATTGTGAAAAAGATTAAACGTTTAAAAAGCTATGTTTCGGGTTCAACTTTAAATAAATTTTTTCTATTTGATTAAATTACAATGTTGACCAAAAATTGTATGATATTGAAACTTAAATAAAATTATATTATATCTCAATTTTGATAACAACAAAAATTAGCAAATTACAAAATCATATTACTTTAATTCTTTAAATTGACTAATTCTGTAATTTTTTTTATCAGTCATGCAGATGTAGAAAAAGAAATAAGTTTCAACGTGTGACAGTTAATTTTAATTTTTTTTTCTACTCATCTTACTCATCTACAAGATTTGCACAGGCGCCAAAAACATGCTGAAATTCTCAATTCTTTCTTATTCTTTTTTTATTTTTAAACGTTATGCAGTTGTAGAAAGATAATTTAGATCTCACTATATTTTCTAGCACTCTAATAGATTGAACAGAAAATGTGCAACGCACTACGTATTTGCTAGGATTCAATTTTCACAAATAATAACTAGTAAATTAAGATAATCTTTTAAAAAGTTTTGCCGTTAAATGTTTGTTTGAAAATTATGCTGTAAATTATGCTACTTAAGCATTAATTTACAATTTTAAAAATAAGAGAACATTTGGAAGTTGAAATCCTGTTCCCTCCACTCGTTTCAATTGTAGCACAGTCAGCAGCTCATATGTAAAGACCCACTCTGCGTTTCTTCCCTCACATGCAGCGATTTCGGCTGAGATTTGCGGACGCAGAGGAAGAAGCTGCAGCCAAGGCTTTCAGAGGCAAAAGCCGGGGCGCAAATAAAGGGAGAGTGGCTCTTCGCCTCTGCAAGAGGAAATACAGCCTCTCGCACTTTTTTCGCGCTGCTGAGCCTCCTGCTTAAACTCCATTCGCTCTGCCGCTGTTTAATAAAGTAGCATTAACCGACTTATCGAGAGTGAGAGAGAGAAATGGAAAGAAAGACTTCTCGCAGCGGCGGGTAATCGATTGTTAATAAGTCAGTTCGTTTCCCAGCACTCGACCGCGCAAAAAGGAGGGATCCGTTAAGGGAGTCGTTCACGGGCGCCGCCACAAAACAAGCCGACTTTAAATTTCTCCCTAAACATTTCACCAAATTTCGGCTGCCTGTTGTGCGAGGGCCGTAAAAAGAAACAGCCTTGTCCGCCGATGCATATTTTATGTGCCCATTTCGACTTACTGAAATGCTATGAAAGGAGCAGCTACGGCTACAAACACCATTTTCCGAACGGCCTCGAAGGAAATCGTCTTTTTAGTGCGCGACGCCTTCCTTGCACTCTTCCCTTTTCGACTCCAACCTAATTCCCAGGCGCTCGCTTCTTTCCTCCAAATTGTTTAGGGCCGAGGGAATATCCCGCCAAAGTGTCGGAATTGTTAATTTAACTCTTGCAAAATAGGATAGGCTTGACGGATAATAAGGAACAGGATGAATAACTAAAACTCTCAACCAACAGAATATATAAAAGAAACCATTGAAAATAAAAATATATAGTAATTGAATATATCTTTCTTGTGAAAAATATTATGAAAATTATTGCAGATTCCGTTAGTGTTTATATCAGATAAATGTAATATTTTGAATATGACTTTCAAAACACAACCTACACAATGTGTGAGCAAAAAGCAAATATAGGTTTGCATTTACTATTCGTTTTTTGCAGGCCATAGTCAAAACTTTGTTGATCGAGATCCCCTATTATGTTACTAATTAAACGACAAAAAGATGACAACGAACTCAGTTTAACGAACACGATTAAAAAATGTGTTTCATTAATTGGATTTTAAATTCTTTCATTCATCAGTGAAAGTTGCTCTGCATGAAGACTGAAATAAAATATCATTGAAAATACAAGAAATCAGACATATTTTACAAAATCCTGGACAATTGACAGAGTGCATTTTCGCGATTATAAAAGTGAACCCAACCTTTTATGTGAGAATGATCCGAAAGTGAAGGTGCACGGGAAGTGAAACGTCGTAAAGGTTTACGGTCTCGCCAGTGCTATATTGTGTGAAATAAGAGACCAGTGTGTGCCACGCCGTGCTAACAACATAGCAGGGAATGTGGCGGCTAAAAGTGGAATTGCTCATAAATCTCGAGAGCAACCCGCTATGGTCAGTGTTATATATTTTTCTTACACTAGCAACAGCGCACACAACATTTTTGCGCCCGCAAAACGAGCCCCGCCGTGCAATAATAATCCTTAAATTGCTCGCTGATTGCAGGGTGCCCACCAAGGGAAATCTGAGCCGAGAGCGCTTTTTCGCCTCGACCGCCAATTAATTGATTTTCATCTCCGCGACGAGGGCGGGCCGCACGAGTCTAGATTGCACAGCCCTTGTGTGTACGCGATTGAATTATGGCACTGGTTGGTCTTAATTAGAATCTCGACCTCTGTGTTTAAAACCGTGAAACGCGAAACTTCAGGAACAAAATGTTATCGATATCAAGTTGCATTTTTTAAACATTATCATATAGCGTTATTGAGTTTCAAAATAAAGAGGTTTTTAAGATAATTATTTTTATAAAATGTTAATTTTTTAACAATCTGCCTTAATTAGCAATAACTAATAATTAATAAAAGTAATTTTATTAAAAAAAATTATGGACCGTATTGACTACTCAACATCTGTATAAAAAGATGAGATTTAAAGATATATTATCTTTTTATGACAATGGAAATGTTTGTTTTTGTCCGAGCAGCAATTCAACAACACCGATCGCGGGTCATGCAGCAGCCGGTGCATCACGGTGCAGAGGAGCTTCTTCTTCAAAACAACATCTGCTACTGACCGGTCGGTGTGTAAATTATTGGCCGGCGTGTGACAACAATAATGCATTCGGGCAGAGATGGAGGACACACAGCTAGCCGTGTCATGTGCGGCGAACATGGAATTCAAATTATTACACCGCACGTGCACGGAGTGTCCCGTTGCATCCACAGACACACTGCCGGGCGTCGATCAGTGTCAGGGCGCTGAATTAGCGACAATATTATGACTGCTCTTGATGATACCGAGACAAATAGCGAGTGAGTCCCATTGAGTGCGAGCGTGTTTTCTGTCTGGCAAAATGCGCTCCATTTGTTTCACTTAAAGAGGAAAATAGTGGCGCACGTGATGGTTGCAACACGCGCAATCGATCGGCCCACGCTGCATTGCAAATTAATGCAAAAAAGGGTTGATACGTGTGATACTTTCAAAGCAGGAAAAACACATTAATGTGATGATAAAGTTGGAAATTATCATATGCTCACTCTCAAATTTAAAAGTTGAGAACCGCGAGGAATAAATTTAATCTAAGAATTGAATTCCCAACTAATTGCTAGCCTGTTGCTAGCTATGGTATTTAATTACATTGATTTTGTTTCAAGGTTTCGTATTTTAGAGGATTTTATCATACGACTATTGCAATAAATAATTATTTATTTTATGAAATTAGTCGAAAGTGGAAATTATGGAATAACTAATTTAAATAAACGGCAAGGAATTCTTGTATGTTTAATGCAAATAACTTATATTTTCATGAAAAAATTATTGATATGTGACTGATTATTTTCAAAAAATAACACACAATTTTATGAATTTTAAATATTTGCATTGATTTATAGGCTTACAAAAATAAAAACTATACATTTTCTACCTAATATAAGGCCACTTTATTCCATCATATTACAAACGTTTCTGCCTTAAATCTAAATTTTAAATTTTATTCATCACATTTTCTTGAGGCGGCGAAGGTGTGGAGCCACTGACTCAGTTTATTGTTCACCTTGTTCGTGTATCATTTTAATATTTTTTTTACTTTGCACCCTTCTGAACACTCTAAAAGTTTCGCCAAGAAATTAAGCTCTATCGCAACTGCTGTCCCGATATACAAAAGTAAAACATGGCAAAAGAAATCTAGGTCATAATTACGGGGTAGAATCCAACTTCTGCATTTTACAGGCGTGTTTAATAAACTGGAATTACACAAAAGTCCAAAGAAGCAGTCCCTTGGTGTTTGCCGAACCAGCATGGCGTGGTGCAATAAACACGGCAAACACACACGCACTTCTTCCCTCGGCATTATTACGACCCTGTTGGGAAAGCTATGCAACCTGAGGAAAATTTACAAAGGGAAACTTCTCGTCTTTTATATGAGCCACGGCGGCGTTGAGAGATGGATTCAAAAGCGGCGCGGTGGCGAAAACTTTTATTGTGTTAAAAAATGGTGTGTCGCTCAGGGGTATAATTAAAAGTTGCTTATCTTGGTAGGCGGAGAAAGAGAGCATACCCTCTGCTCTGCTCTGCTCCGGTCCGTTTTTATTTAACGAGAGTCGTCGCCCGTTGGAAAAATGGCAGGTGACGGAGCGGAGCCGAGAAATTTCGCAGCCAGACGGGACCCTCGTGGATAGGCCTGCTCTCATCGTCCCCAAATCCTTCCCGCCACACCCCCGCGGGCAGATAGATGTCCCTCGAGGTTGCGCCCTTTTCAAGCACAGGCGCCACCAGAATGTTCTCGCCCAGCAAGAACTCTGCGAAAACATACATATCGAAATGATTTATCAATGTGGCCGGTGATTCGACTTAATGGCCGAAAAGAAAAAACGCAAAGCTTGAAAGGGTCGTTGCTGGAGGAAAAAATTGCTGACCGTCAAGCGTGAAAAGATAAGTCCGCCAGACGATTTTGAAAGGGAAATAAGTAGCTTGAATTCTTACGACTTCAGGTCTATTTTTAATCTCATTTATAGAAAGACACGCAAAAAATGAACGGTTATTGCTGATTTGTTTTCTAAATTTAACAATCGATAGGGAAAAATTATTTGAGATTAGTGATGAAAACAAATTTTGCGCAAAATCTCCATCTAATTTTTACACAAATTTAATGAGCGCATTTTTGATAAAAAAAAAAAACTCATTAAAATCTGCTTTATTTAATTTTAGAAATAATTTGAAATAATAATAATAATCTATACTGCTTTCACATAGATTTGATATTTAAAAAAAAAAGATCTTTCATAAATGAAATTTAATTAAGATTTTTGAGAGCAATTCTAAAATTTTGACAATAAGGAATTGAAAAGTATTATACCAAATATTCGCTTATACATAAAATGTAAACTATAATGTCCACCCAAACCGCAACATAAAGTGTCTCTGAAGACATGATCGATTAACAAAACTGCTCGTTGCGGTGTGCTAAGTTTCATAAAGAGCGGCGAGGAAGCTTTTGCAAAGAATTTAGACGGCGTTCCGACGAAATTTTAAGGCTGAAAGAATTTGCCCGGCAATCTTTCAACGCGAAAAGGGACGGCGGCGCTCAATTCGGCGCCTCTTTCTCTATTTCTCGTGGGCAAAAGGGCGTCTATTGAATAAACGAGGGAGGCAAATTTATCGGCGGCGCTCGAGATTTTACCTGAGTCGATGGTCTGGGCTATTGAGTCGTGCGGCGCAATCCACCACACTGGCAGATTGATTGGAATTCCAGCCACGGCCCTTTGTCTTGCGAGGGCGTAAAAAGAGTCGGCCAGCTTCACGTGCAGCTCCACGCACTCCTTGGCAATTTCCACGGTCTGCAGGAAAACAAATCGGAATTATTTCCACACCGCCAACACCCGACCGAGCAAACACTGGCACACGTGCATGCCTCCAGATAATTTTGTTATCAAATAATAACGCTCCTCCTACGCCAGTATTGGAAAAGGGGTTTTGGAGGCAAGAAAATTTGCGTCTATCTACAAAGAATATTCCTTTTTCTACGTTCAACCCGTTTTGCATGCGTGTGAAAATTAAGAGTAATTCTATAATTTACACTAAAAATAATAAATTATTTAATTAATTTCACTCAACATTTTTTGCATTTATTTTTTAATATTGTTGCATAAAATTTTTTTATAAGGAAACATTATTCTCTGATAATTGTGATAAATCAAAGTAATGCAGAAAAATGATAAATATTTCAGTGTGCATTATTATATTGAAAACCTAGAATTCATTACACTTTTAAGAAATAAGCCTTTCTGCATTAAATAAAATGCAAATTCAAATGGGACTGATCAAAAATATCAAAAATGAAGGAGGAGCTTTTGATATAGTCAAATCAGAACATTGTTTGATTGTTGCCTATTGTTGTACTCTGGAGTCAAATCTGGCCCTTGCAATGGTAAATGCGTCAAAAAAGACAAGCAAGACCCAAATTTCTCTTTGCCATAATTTTTATTATATTTTCTTTTTTTAATGCAGAATTTGCAATTTCCTACAGCAAAATTTATCAGGCAATTTCTTAGTAGTATCTTGTAGTGTACACTCTTTTATACACTGGATGTATTAACGTTTTCTCAAAATAATTGTATAAGTTTTTGTGATCTTTTCAACTTAATCATTATTAAACTCGATCTCAGATCTCAGTATCGATTCATCGTGAAGAATTATTGAACAACGTAGAGGAAAAACACTCTAAAGAAGTGATATACAACCGTATTTTCAGTCCCGGGTTTCCGACCAGCCTCGGAACTAGGCCAAACCTCGGCTCATCACTTATTTATGGCGAGTAGGCAACCTGCGCGACGCACGTGTGCCGCCAACTGCATAAACCGGCACATACTCTTCCTCCTCAATCGCAATTTGTTCCCTAAAAAACTGATTTTTCTCATTTTTCAACTCACCTCCTGGTCAAAGTCCCAGGGCGGAATGGAGAATTGCATGATGGGCATGAAGGTGACCGCCTGCATCCACCTGATGAAGAGCTCTTTGTCCGGCAGGACGTTGTCGTAGCCGTTGCCGCCGATCATGTCAGGCATCACGTTCGAGTAGCCGACCAGGTTGAACGTGAGCAGGGTGGGAATCAGGGCGGCCAGTCCGTTCTCGTCGTCCCACGTGCTCCCTTTGTCGGACATTCGCACCGCCAGAGCCAGCCTCTGCATGCCGAAAGCGGTGCGCATTTCAGACAAGTGCTGCAGATGATCGTCTATCCGAACGGCCGCCTCGGCGTACGCTTTTGTGAAGGCTGCGGGCTGGCCGCGGATGGAATGGAGGGACCCGTTAGCAGGGACGTAACTCATATCACCAGCATCAAATTTGAAACCTAAATAAAAATAAAATTATATGAACGTTCTTGCCAGTAAAAAATAGTTTTTTGTTTGTTAATTCTGTTATTGCAGTTGTATTTTAAAATTTTTGTTATTTTTATATAAAATTTCAACGCAGTATTTCAATAATAAATGTGTACAATTATATAATTTAAATTAAACGCTAAAATTAACTTGTTTTAAAAAAAGGAGCAAAAGGCAAAGTCTGCTCCAACTTATCAATGAATTTGTTTGAACTTTAATATATTAAATGATTTAGAATTTTCTTCAAAATTTTCAATGTTATTTTTACCGTCAATTAAGAAGTTTTCTTTCAAAAGCAGAAGTCGCACCAAAAACAAATCTACCGCGTTGGGATTTGTGAAATCGATCAGCCCTGCGTCTCCGTCCCACCAGGTTACTTTTGAGGCATTGCCATTTGCATCTTGAACCAAAATATTTTGAATGGCATCGTCTGTAAACGACGGGCAATTGGTGTTCACGAACGGATGAGTCCACAGGGTCACGCGAAAACCAAGATCGTGTATTTGGTTGACCATTTCTTTTGGATCGGGGAACGATTCGTTGTCGAACCTCGCTTCCCCGTAACACGTTTCCCATTTGTCATCAATCTATATATACAAGATCAAATTTGAATAAGTGCAAACAAAATATATGGATTTCGCACCTCTATTTGGCTGGCGGGGAAACCGTTTTCCACGATCTGCATTGCGTAATCCACGACAGACAGTTGGGAAATATTCGCCTTGTATTTGGCCCAGGTCGACCAAATCGGCACCCGGATCATGTTTTCATCCAACGGCGCCTCGGGCTTGCCTAGAAATACATTGGCCACGGCTTTGTGAACCATCGGCGTGTCCTCGGCGGCGCAAACGACAAGATCCAACTTTTCCTCCTCGTCTGCGCTTTTGTAATATGGAGGTTCAAAAGAGCTTGTGAAACACATCCTACCAAAAGCAAATAGAAAACCATCATTATGACATGTGATCTCTTGTAAAAGGAGAAATTGCTATGAAAAGAGGAAAATGACAAAAATTTCAAAGGTATAATTTTTTTAATAAAAACCAAGCGTTTAACGTTTAAACCGGTTTAAACTTAAAAAATTTTGTAATATGTTATAAAGGAGACTTTAAATTCAAGAATTAATTAAATAGAAATAAAAAAAAATATTCTTCTTTATTATTATATTTCTAATAAATTCATAGCAAAAGTTAATTTCAGAAAATATACTTAACTCAAATAAAAAAGAATGTAAAAGAAAAAAAAATAAAATAACTTACATCAAATGAATGAAAAAAATTTAAAATAATGTTTTTCACTTACTCAGTACCATTGGTGGTCCAGAACAATGGGACGTGGCTTGGCACAAAAACCATCTCGCCCAGAGACGTGAGCCAGTACCTTTCAACCACCCCTTTGATTCCATCGTACCCGCTCAGATATGGGACACGGACGTACGCCCTGTTTCCCTCGGCTGGCCACTTCTGAGTGCTCAATTCAGGTCCACCGAAAATATGGCGCCCCTCAAAATTAAAACAGGCCGTTGCTTGAGAGGCGTGCAGAGTCACATTCATGCAGCGGGCACTGCTGCTGGCGATGGGAAATTCGGCCACTGTGAGCCGCGCGGTGTCGTTCCAAGAAAGGCAGGTCAGAACATCGCCGGCCTGTTCCAAACAGGAGACGGGAGCTGCATCTTGAAGGTGACCAACATCCTGACCAAAGGTTAATTTGATGGTGGTTGTGACAGTTGAGGTGGCTTTAAAAAAGTAATGAAAAAGCTAACATTTATAGGGAAAATTGGAGGAAAATTTAAAGAAAAAGTCATTTGCACAGATTTGCATAATGTGTAATTTAATTGTTAAGATCATTTTTGCAACAATTAGGTGAATTTTATTTTATGTTGCTAAAGGTGCAAAATTTAATTTCAATAAATTTTAACTTACAGTTAGATAGAATAATTTGATTGCACCATAAAATTTGTGCACAAAGAAAATTGAATATAATATATTAAATTAAGATAAGAGTGGAAAGGATTAATATATAAATAAAAAATTTATTTCTTTTAAAATTCAAATTATGAATAAAATGAAATATAACAAATGATTAAATTAAAATTTTAAATTAACTGTTAAAATTATAAAATAATATAATAATAATTTGATTAAAAATTTTGCTTGTAAAACAAAAAAATGTTAGTGTTTTTTTTTTTTAATTAATTTATATTTTATTTATTCCCTTTGATTCTCTTTTGCACTAAAATTTAAATTTAGTTGCAAATTGTGTTTATTGACCTATCACAAAGGCAATTGCTGCCCATAATTAATTTAAATAAATTTTAAATAATCCGATTATATGAGCAAATAAAATTATTATTTTTCAAGTACATACCACGGAGTATGACGGTTGCAGATGAGTTTGTTGCCAAAATTTGCACCGTATTATCAAAGTGCATCGCCTTCAGCTCGGCCATAATCTCGACCATCTCCTCCTCCCAACTTTGGTTGTCCGAGATCGAAGCGGCGATCAAAATCGCAAGTGCAATGCTCGTCAGGACGACGGTGACGATCGTCATGACCACCAACACTTGAATCAGACAGGGGTGCGTCAGATTGCAAGATTAACCGCGTGGCGTCCATCAAAGGGGCCCTATACATGCTAATAATCATTACTTACCGATCCGTAGGCAGCATTTCTGGGGTGGTTCGCTTCGGCCGAGTTCCTCTTCAGGATCGTTCTCACTGATAAGCCACCGATGGCTGTCGGAGGGCCGCTTTTTCAAAGGGAACATGCCTCCGAGACTGCTGAATTCCTTCCGACTCTTAATTTCAACTGGCACGCAGCTACAAACACACGGCTCGGCTCGGCGCGCTATCAGCTTTTCGGCTGCAGATAAGACCTCCATTATCTTGAATGCAGTCCGTTTAATTTTTTCCCTGCAAACAACAACAGACGCAGCTTATTCAGTTGTGCTTTTGCTGTTATAGATAGACAAGCGGGAACTTGAAAAATTTTGTAAAGAATTTCTTTTGGAAACTAGAAATGGTTTATGACTTATTATGATAGTAAAATATCAAAGTATAAGTAAGAATTTGAAATTTTTCGTGTGCTTGCGTGATTCTTCTTATGAGGATATTTTATGACTTTCAATAAATCACAATAAATCACAACAATAATTTAATATAAAATTTTACTATAAATCATTCTAATAATTAATATTATTTCTCAGTTGATCTTGTATATTGATAATCATAAATTTGTTTTTAAATTACTTTTGATACTCAAAATATTGTATGAAATAAGCATGATAAAGCACAACTCACTTGTTTGAAATGCAGTAAAAGAAAATCATAATAAAATTAGCTTAACTCAACAAAATAAAAAAAAAATTGCATAATGGCATGTAAGTGTAAGTTATTTGCAATATCACGTTGTGAGCATCATAATTTATAATTGAATTAAAATAATGAATTTTGGAAATATTTAAGAAGTAGTATTACCGAATTTAAAGGATTTTGTATTAAACGCTTTTGCGTACAACTAGGGTGCAATGCAAACACCCTTCTCAACACGAAATCCTGCGGCCCCCGGCCGACTTTCAACCCTTCACTCGCAGTCCCAGCATGAGAAATCACTCAGGTTCCCCCGAGAAAAATCCGCCTGGAGTATTGGAGTATTACCGAATTATGTGTGCATTATGAAGTGTTAATTTCCCGCACTTTTGTCCTAAATTCATTTTCGTTTGCTCTAGAAATTCCAGAAATCCGCACAGATGTCTCTGCTTTGCGTTTGTCAATTTTGGTGATTGGAGAAGATTGGAGAACGATGATAATGCTCGCCGCTGATTTCATCCGCCAGAGGTCACGTCGTTCGACCCCTAATACTCAGCTGACCCGTTCAATAAGTTTGAGAAAACAGTGGTAATGTCTGGACGGTTGTCCTTTCCAAGCTGGACAAAGCCACGATCGGCGCCTGAACAGTGCTAGTCGGCGCCATGAACCGTCACCAGGTGCTCAGCGGCGCCTGCAACGCCGGCGACCACTGCTTCGCCGTCGGCTCCGTCGAAGGGGTCCCTTTTACGGTACACCCACTTTTCATTTTGACACTTTGGACCTTTTCGGCTGACATTTAAGTGGTCCTTTTAAATGACCTACAATATGTACTGAACCTTCAATTTATCCAAATCAGATTCAAAAACCAAATTTAGTTATAATAAAAGTTTTCTTACAAATGAAATAAATAACCTTCCTTGTTATTTTTGAAAAAATTTAATTTTAAAATTTTAAGTCGCAACACCAAACTAAGATTGCACAAAATTTCTCTTGTCACTTTCAGGCCTATGCCGCTGGGTGCAATATTGTGATTTTGGCCAGCACATTCGAACGTGTGCAAATCATCCCCGGTGCGAATTACAATTATATACGGATCAGCTGCATTGATTGCTCGACGGACACGGGCAAAATCGCAGCCGCCTATGACAACCAAGTCATCATTTTTGAGCCAACCCCTCTGCTGCAGAACACCTTTTCCCACGTAATTTGCACCCTGAATAATTTTGCACGGTAATTATTTGAAAAAAATTTAGCAACTGGACTATCGATGGGTTCAGACGGCCACCCTGCAAGCGGACTCGGCCATCAGTTCCTTGTCTTGGAACATGGAAGGCACCAGACTGCTCACCGGAGGAGAAGTTCTGCAACTGTGGCACTTTTACCCTCCTCTCTCGGAAGATGATAACAAAGGTATCGCTTCAGATTAATTTAATTATTTAAAGTAATTTTATGAATTTTAATTAATTTTCAGTCACGTTTGAGATTGGAGAGGAAGTGAGCGAAAACTCACCTCCTCAGGCCCACAATTTCTCTGGGGAGCAGCCAGTCCCCAGCTGGGAATGTGTATGGAAACAGAAAACAGCCACCCCGACAGTGCACATGGCCTTCTCGGCTGATGGCACTTTGTTTGCCACTGCCGGCAAGTCTGACAGACTGGTTAAAATTTGGTTCGAACAAAAACCTTGTACGTTGATCTGATTACTTAAGAATTAATTTTTTTTAATAATTCTTTTAACGATTTTTAGTGCTGTTTCCTTCTAAAAGCTCTGATGGACCTCCAGCGCACTCTATTAATGAATTCACCTACGGATTTGTCTACATTGCTCACCCGAGAGCTGTGACCCAGCTTTCGTGGAGGAAAACCAGCAAATATATGCCAAAGTGAATATTATTTTAAATTCAGTTTCAATTTTAATTGTGAATTTTTATTTAAATCACAGGGGCTCTGTAGCCAACATGTTGATAACTTCATGTCGAGACAATATTTGCCGAATTTGGGTGGAAACAGTATTACCTGACGACGGTCTCGTCAACATGAGCCAGTTTGATCCGCTCGCGGCTCAAAATCCAAAGTTCCGCACCCACAGGCACAAGCACCGCTTCATGCAAAGGCTGAAACATATGAAGTAAAATTTGTTTATTTTTCCTCAAAGCTAAAGTGATTTATTAATTAATTTTTCAAGGACGTGTTTCCATATTCGTCGAAACGCTAAAAGCCACAGCTCATCCCCAAGCATGTCTGGTCCAATTCCAACTTTGCCTTCAACCTTCAGTGTGCATGATTTCCACAATTACGGATTCCAAGGAACAGGACTCACAACTGGACTGCATTTCCACTTGGCCGCAAGCATTAATGCTGAAACTGGTTGGTTTGAATTTTTATCATAATCTAACAGACATTAAATGGAGAGAGTTTAATTTTCCAGTTAATAAGTACACCTCTGTTAGTAAGTTATTGCTAGTGACTTTTAAAAATCAATATTAAATTTTTCCGGAGCATTACAAACACTTTATTTATTTCTGCAGATATTCCACTTGTTCCGAGTTTGATTACTGCTGATCCAGACCAGGAACCAAACTTCATTTTGCACTGGCTGAATAACAAAGAAATGCACTTCACTCTACAAGCAGAAAATTTGCTTCATGTAAAATTACTTGAAAGTTAAATTTTAATCGTAGTAATTTATTTTTATCTAAAAAATAGGAGCTCACAAAGAAAGCCGAGAAAGAGGAAGCATATGATCAACAAGATAATGCTGGGTTTGTTGATGACGAAAATGCTATCTCAGCTTCTTGTAAGCAAATCCAGAATAATCTTGTCACACACTATTTTTATTTTTAACTTCAGCTAAGCCAAAAGGAAAGTTAATTAAAGGAACGTCACAAGACGAAAGCAACAGTGATGAAATAAGTCAAGGCCATCCCCATGCTAGTGCTCACTCAGGAGGGATTGCCAGCCATACAATGAGGCATTTTAATCTTGAAAATTATCAAATTTTGATTTCATGTAAACATTTTTATTCAGTAATGCCACATCACTGAATTCCTTGGCTACGGAAACTGCAGCTCCTGGGGCTCTTCCTGCTGGGGACCCACTTGATATGAGGATTGAAAGTTTGCTTAAAGACTGGCACCACGGGCCTGATCTACTTTTCTCCATCCACCCCATTGATGGAAGCTTCCTGATTTGGTAAAATATTTCTTAACATCATCATAGCACACTGCAATTTTATTTATTTAGGGTTGTCGAATGGCTGGATGAGTATCATGCTGGATCTTTCCGTCAAGCCCAGGTGTCCTTCTCAACTCGCATTCCAAATGCATTCCCATTGGGCGATGCTATGACCATGTCGACAAACATCAGTCTTTTCAACACCTGCCAGTCTTTGGCGCTACGAAACTTGATGAAGCCACCTCCTCCGAGAACTATTCCCACTTCAGCTGCTGGAATAATTTCCTCGGAAGGACTTAACACTGTAGAGGAGCAGCCAGAGGGCAATGATGATGATCAAGAAGAAAATGAAGAAAAACCAACAGCTTCGACTGAAAACTTGCAAGAGCAGCAGAACAACCAGGATCCAGATTTGGACACCAGTTTCTCAGATTTTCTCAATTCCACTCCGTCGCCTGTCATTTCAATGGTGTCAAAACACAAGAACGGCACTCTCAACCTCTGGCAACTCACATTCTCTGACAAGTCAAAGTTCAGTCAGGTTTTGAGTATTAGTCACAACTCGAGGGCATCAGGCCACCGTTTCAGAGTGAATGACATCACCTGCCACCCTGTTCTGCCTCTTTTACTTACCACTTCACATCACAACATCCCAGAAGTTACAACTCCGAACAGCAATGGCTATGATTCGCCTCAAGATAATCAAATCCAGGATGTTTCTGTTCTGAGTGTAAGCTGAAAATGACTCCAATTAAAACTTATTAAATTAATAAAATTTTACAAACAGGGCTTCTGCAGTGAGCTGATTTTGTGGCGAGTTGATGCAGTGGGGCCTTTGTCAAAGTCAGGAGGAGTTTCAGAACTTGCCAGGATAAACTCGCCTGAAATTTCTGCTTTTTCTAACGTTGCTTGGATTCCTACTCTTTTGCCAAGGTTAGTTAGTTTATCAAATTTTAATTTTGCACTAATTTAATAAAAAAATCTAGCACCACCTTGGGAAATTTGTCCAACTCTCCAAGCGCTTGCTTTGTTGCCTCAGATGGCCAAAGTTTGCGAGTCTACCAAGCTGTTATTGACGCCAGAACCTTACTGGCTGAAATCAATAGTTCAGAACGGAGGAGCAGAATGATGGTGAGCTTATGAGAATTTTATTAGAATTGATGTGACAAATTCAACCTATCAAATAGGATTCCATGATCAGTATTTCAGAGGAGAGTTCAATGGACGACGGAGGCAAACATACATCCCTTCACAATAAAATCAAAATTGTTTCTCAGCAGTCAACTGCTCGGCCTGGATGTGTCATTCAGCTTGATCCCATTTCAGATGCAACACATGTATTTTATTTGACTCGATTTGAAAATATTTCCTAATTTTGAATTTTACAGGATTGGCAAAACACTCAGTTTTTGCATGTGTTCCAAGAGCAACTCATTGTGGGCCAGAAAACTGACCCAGTGGATGGTATTTTGGGTCCAGATTTAGGTCTTATGGAAACCCAATTGGGAGCCATGGTTGATTTGCAGCAATCTGCCGTCTTTGAAGAGCCGTTCTACATTGTGGTGATGGAGAAGAGCGCCAAACACACGTTGATGCACATGTGGCGGCTCGTAATTGCCTCTCAGCCAGACAATCCTGAATTCTGCGGAAGCATGATGTATGTTCCTGACAGTCAGCTGACTCAGGATGATGGAGAGGAGGACTTGGATCACCACGTTGGTGCAAGTCACGCCAATCATGAACCAAGCAGGACTTCTGATCAACAACCAGAACAGCCTCCGACACAAACATCTCATGTCATCATTTCAACAACAAAAGTAATTTTTATAATATAATCCAAAAATCTGATTATAAATTTTTAATTCAGGTCTGCACACAAATTCTACCATTGCCTGAAGATGTCGAGGTTATCCATGCTGCTCCAGCTGCTGGCCACCTGAGCTCAGCTTCGATTTACCCTGCTTGCTTTGCACCATACACAATCGTCACAGCCTGCTCCGACAATGCTGTGAGATTCTGGAACTGTAAGGTGACAAACAAAAAGGATAATACAAAAGACTATGAGTGGTGTGAGTGGGAGATGAGACGAAAGGACAAAGAATCTACCGTGGAAATTGCTGGTAATGATTTGTTTATAAAAATTTATTGCAAAATGTTAATTTAAATTATTTTTTTAGGTAAACCATTGAATATCAGTGTGGCATACAGCGGTCGCATTGCTTGCGCCTACAAGTACGGAAAGTCCTTTGCAAGACCATCTCGAAAGGATCCAAATGCTCGTTTTGTCAACATGTGCATTGCCATTTATGAGTGTGAAAGCACAGGTGGTTCAGAGTGGGTTCTAGAAGATACAATTCACCTGAAGAATATCTATGTGCCATACCTGTCTGAGCCAGACTTGGACTCAAGTTTGCATAGCGCGCTGTTCAAAAAGAGGTCGCCAAAGACGATGTTCGACGACACCCTTGGAAAACCTAGGTATTTTATAAAACTAACTTAATCCTCAAAAAACTTAATTACATATTGTTGCAGTGAATCTGCCATACCTTCTGTACCGAGCTTCAGCACTTTGCACACACTCCGAAAGTCCATTTCCGAGAAGGGCAATGTCTGTCCCCTGACGCAGAAGCACCTTGTCCAGCTTGATTGGGTCTCAAATGAGGATGGCTCACACATTTTAACTGTTGCCGTTGGTAGCACTGTGATGCTCTTCACCCCAGTTTCGAGTGACTTGGCTCAAGCTAACATGAAAGCCATGAAAGAGTCGCAATCGACAAATAGGCCAATTCTGCGGAAGGCCTCCTCTTTGGCTGCTCCTAACTTTGTAGACGAAATCAGGTGGATGAAGCTGAGGAAAATTGAGCTTCACACTGCTGATGGCCTTCCTGCCCTGCCGATGCAAATTTCTTGGGTGCGAGATGGCATTCTCGTCATTGGCATGGACAGTGAAATGCATGTTTACTCTCAGTGGAAGCCTTCTTGTAAGTTTCCCTTCTCTTATTTTTATAATTATCTATAATTTTTTTCCTCTAATGAATTTACTCTATAATTGGTTGCTTTGTCATATTTCAGTTTCCATCACAACAGACAACCAGCTTCAACATCAAGAATCGGAGGAAGTCCATGACTCTCGAAAGCTTAAGGATGAGCAGCTTCTTAGTTTGGCACAGGAAAGTTCTCAAAGGCAGTTAGCAAACGTCCGGTCAATGACTCATTTGACACGCGTCAGCTCAATCTTAGGAACAGTAGCCGATAAGAAGAAACGAGGTTTGCATTTGTTTTAGGTTTCTCCTCTCACAATCAGATTCGAAATACATTTTCACAGCAGGTCAGGCTGAGCCATTAAGCATGGACTACATGCCCGACTACGGTCTTTTCGAGGCGAGTCGCATTGCATGTCCAGTGTTACCACAGTACCATCCTAAGCAGCTTATGGAGCTTCTCAACTCTGGCAAAATTCGCTGGGTCAAGGCAATCTTGGCCCACCTGGTCAGGTGCATCTCCAACACATGCTCGAACCGCCAGGGCTCTGTCATGCATGCGAGCAGCACAGATGAGGAAAGCATCTGCAAGCAAAAAGGCTGGTCACGGTCAAGAGCTCTCTCTGTGAGCTACGCACCAGGAGGGACAACAAGTCCTTTGGAACCTAGAGGCTCAACGACTGCCATTCCAGAGGAGCTGATGCTGGATTATGCAGAAATCACATCCATTCCACCGTTGCCTCTGTGGACTTTACTAGCTGCTGACAAAGAAACTCCAAGTACTGGAAAACACACAACTGAAGACAGCCAGGTAATAAAATAATGTTCATGAATGAATCTAAATTTTTTCCAAAGAAAATCAAGAAATGATTTTTCTGTTCTGTTCCATTTTAATGTTTATTAATTGTGTTAATAATATTTCAGAACTACAATGATTTATTTGATGCCAATTTGAGTATGGTGGACGAGTCTCTGGAAGATATCCTAGAGGTTGAGCCCAATTCCCCTCACAGGCCTGACCGCCGCATGTCAGTATCTGGAGAGCGACAGGGACTTTCGCATTTTGGCCCTCGACAAGGACGTCTCCTCTCCCGCCTTCTCACGCACACCCACTTGCCAGGCCTCTCCAGCCTTGATCAGATGCACTTGCTGGCTCTTGCTGATACAGTGTCCACTTGCAACACAGACTTTGCAGAGAGATTTGCCATTGACGCTGCCAAGACCGCCATCGCCAAGGAAAACCTAACTGGAATTCCTGGAGAGGAACCCTCGACAGGTAGCTGTTTTATTAATTTTCTTTTGAAACTGTTCTAATTTCTAATTGCAGATTCATTGGATGACTGCGGGCTGAGATTTTTGATGGCCATGAAACACTTTTCTTACCTGCTGAAGTGCCTGGCACTTAACCAGAGAGCCCAGTTCCAAAAGCAGGGAGTTGGAATGAACAACATTGTGTGGGCGTTCCATTCTGAGAGTGAAGAGGAGTTGCTCACCCTGATCCCATCCTACTCAAAAGGCACCCTCAGATGGAACACTTTGAAAGAGCTGGGAGCCGGCTGGTGGATGAGAAATTACACTCTTTTGAGGACTTGCGTTGAAAAGGTATAAACAATTATATAAAATATATGCATTTTACTAAAACCTTTTTGCATTCTCAGCTTGCGAAAGCCGCTTACCAATTGAAGGAGGACCCACTTGACGCAGCTTTATTCTATCTAGCTATGAAGAAGAAGAGTTTGGTCTGGGCCCTGTTCAGATCAAAGAGAGACGAGAAGATGGCAACTTTCTTCTCAAATAACTTTTCTGAAGACCGCTGGAGGAAAGCTGCCCTTAAAAATGCTTTTGCATTGCTTGGAAAGCAGAGATTTGAACATGCGGCTGCGTTTTTCCTACTGGCTGGTGCCATCAAAGATGCTATTGACGTACATTAATAATTTCTTTTAAGTAAAATGTCTAATTAAAGTATTTATTAGGTTTGTCTCAGTAAACTGGAAGACTTCCAGCTTGCCATGGTAATTGCCCGTCTGTACGAGGGAGAGTTGGATCAAACTCCCCCCAGTTTGAAAAAACTTCTCTATGAAGAGATTTTGGGCTGCAATGCTGAGGGGGAGGATTACAACCCATCAAGAGCTCACCCAGATCCATTCCTTAGATCGATGGCACTTTGGATTTTGAAGGATTATACAGGCAGTTTGAACACGTTGCTGCACACAAACATTGGCAGTATGCACCCTCAGTACATTGACGAAGACAAGCCTGACAGTGCCCACGCCAATCCCAACGTGTTCAATTTCTATGTCTACTTGCGAACGCATCCTCTGCTCATCAGGCAATACATTGCGTCATCAGCCCAAGACAAAAATAAAGGACATTCAGTAGGACAAAAATACCAACTTTTGCAGCCTGTCATTTAAAAATTTAAATTACTTTAGGTTGTTATATCCGGCTTCAGCTACGGTGGCTCCGACTCTAAATCAGGCAAACAGGACAAGCAGTTGCTTTTGGAAGATTCGATTACTCCTCTGGAAAGGCAACTTTACTTCACAACTGCCCATGCTCACTTCAAGGCAGGATGTCCTGCCCTGGCTCTTGAGGTGCTTTCAAAACTTCCCAACAAAGTGTTGGACTCTAATGGAGATGATTCGCCAAGTGAGCTCCAAAATATACTTAAGAAACTTTCAACTTAAAAATATATTAAATTTTAGATATGTTGAGCAGCCCAATCAAAGTTAGGAAGCAAGACTCCCAAATTGATACAGGAATCCTTGGTGATCAGTCAGGATGGGGAGGCTCGAGCTCAATGGACAAAAAGGGTTTGTCTAAAATATTTCCTTTTGCACTTAGAAATTTGTAATATTATTATATTTTTAGATGAAGTATTTGACTGGTCGCAACCTGCAAGCAAACCTAAGGAAGAGGAGCTCACATTTGATTGGTCTCAGCCTACCTCTCGCTTTGAGGAAGAACCGCTAGATCTAGGATTCGGAAAAGATGATGACGAGGAAGATCTGGACGAGAGCGACGATGAAAAGAAAAAGAAGGCAGAACCGAAACCGTCCACCACAGATACCCTGGAAGATGAAGCGGAGAGAGACCAGGAACTGAACATTCCTCTGGACATTATGGCCCAGCAGCTGAAATTTGTTGCTTGTCTAAAAATTTTAATGGAAGAACTTTCGACGCTAGCCACTGGTTTTGAAGTTGATGGAGGTCAACTTAGGTACCAGCTGTACCTGTGGCTGGAGAGGGAAGTGGAGGCCTTGCGTCAACTTTGCAGCTACAGTGCTGGAGAGAATGATATAGCATCTGCAGGTAATTTTTATTCCACTTTGAAGATTAAATTTTTCTTACAAATATTTGCAGATGAGCTTTTGCTTGAAGAATCCAAAGACGTGAATTACACAACCACACCATTCAAGGCTGGAGAAAAGCCGACATTGCATGAAATATTGATGGCGGAGAAATTGGACTTTGAGGCCAAAGTGCAGAGAGCTGCAAAGCGAAAAAAGTGGCTTAAAGGTAATTACGGAGATAAAGTTTTAGAGTAAAAGTTATAAATAAAATTTCCAGCCAATGAAACTTTGCTCCGAACTCTTTTGAGCTACTGCAGTCTGCACGGGGCGAGCGGAGGCGGTTTGGCCTCCGTCAGGATGGAGCTTGTGCTTCTCCTGCAAGAATTGCAGCAAGAGAAGACTCAGCAGCAACTTTTGTCTCCACTGCCCTTCCCAACAACTTTGCCTCTCTTGTCCGCCAGTGTGGCTTGTAACAAAACAGTGGTCGCTGACCCTGTACGCCACCTGCAGGCCAAGACCCATGACATGCTCCAGACGATAATCGAGCTTCGCTACCCACCAATGCCCACCCGAATCCACTTTTCCGAAGTTTTCGTCCTTCGAGATTTGTCTGTCGCCCTCTCTGCTTGCATTTATCAGTCACTGTGCGACTCGGACACTTTCAGCGTCAAGCAGCAACAGGAAGGGTAAATTTTATTAAGACGTTATTTACTTAGAAATTATTTTCACTATTTATTCTAAAGTATTGGAATGGAAACTCTTGCGAGACTGAATGTTGTCACTCCGAGCAGCCATTTGATTGCCGGTCACGGTCGTAGAAGAAGGTACAGCAGTGACGAGCCTCTCCAGGTTACAACTCACCCTAGCAAATGGCCAGGTACAGATATCAAACCTCACATGAGAGTTATAATTTGATTTTAAAATATTTAAGGTGTCACAAACTTGAGAGCTTTGCTGGCTCGAGAAAAAGACGAAGACACGCCTAAATTGAACATACTACTTTGTGAGGCCTTCATTGCAACGTACATGAGTCTGGTGGTTTATGCCATGTCCACTTGTGACTGCAACATCCTCTTCAGGTTGGTTGGACAGACTTTCTGTAACCAAACGTGGGCCTCTCTTTACGGAGGAGGAGTGAAGAAGCTTCTCCGAGTTGCTACATCACAACCTGTATCTCAGGTATACAATTAAAGTCATACACTCCAAATTTTTATTGATCCGGTACAAATTCTTAGCAGCAGTCGCAGGGGAGCATAGACAAAGAGGCGCCCCCCAGCACAGACACTGCTGGTGCAATGTGGAATGCAGTGACCAATCTGACGAAGCAGCGAGTGCGACTCAACATGAAGCTCCTGGGCCAGTTCGGCAGCCAATCGGGCGCTGTGCCCATGAAAGAGGACAGACCAACATACAGGGAGCAATTTGTTCCTCCTGAAATGTCAATGGTGTCCTATTTCCTGATCAAACCGCAATCACCAGTGGACGCGGACTTCATTGATTACGACTCGGCAGATTCTGCAGAGAGTGAAATGGAGGAAGAGGAGGAGGATGTCTTTGATGATTCAACCACCGGCAATGAGAGGGAGGACAAGGACAACACAGAACACTCCAATCCAAACAGTTATGCCTGGTGTGTTTTACGACTTGCCATCACTACCCTTGTGCAGCATCAGCTAAAGGACTTCCTCAATGTTGCTGGCATTGAATTGCAAGGTTTGTTGATTTTTATCTTATTGTAGCTCTTTGTTATTTTTCACTGAGCTAATTTCAACAATTCATTTTTATTTTATTTATTTGATTTTTTTTTATTCTTTCTTTCAATTTATGTTACAGAACTTCCTGTGAGCAGTCCTCTAATCCACGCTGTTTTGCGAGTTGTCTACCACTGGGTCGAAGTTCTCAAGGAAGACCTAGAAAGCAAAGGTGCCTCTCCATCAGACTTTATTCCAGGCTGTTTTGTTGACTCGAACACTACCTCTGGCCCAGCCATCCACAAGTACAGATCTCTCCTTGAAAAGTTCAACACCCCGTTCCAGTGAGTTCCTAAATATGCCATTCCTTTTCCACTTTTTAATTTCTCATTTCAGTCCGAAGCAACCTGCTGCTGCCCCTGCAAGACGCCTTTGGAGCTTCTTAGTGCGCCAAGAAGAGGTGCAGGACATTTTCATCCGAGCCGTTTTTGGTAAGAAGCGGATGATGACGCAAATTTTGTCTGGTGAGCCCATGATGAGGCAGGAAGACGGAGCACCTGACTTCCACCATTTGGCCTTGCCCGAACCAGTTCGCATCATCCACAAGGACCAGGACTCGATCTCATCGTTCTGCCTCAACGAGGTAAAAACAAATGAATTTTATTCAAAAAGGAGAATTAATAAAACTCTGTATTCTCAGGTGGCCAATGGATTGTTGGCTCTGGCAACGCCCAAAGAATTGCAGGAAATGGACATTTCCCTTCTGCTCGAGTCTCCTGCGTGGCTAGAAGATGAATGTGAATTTGACATAGTGAATTTATCAAAGTGAGTTTTTTTTTAACACATGATTTTAAATTTTAATCGTTCTAAAGTAGGGAACCTGAGCTGATGCCAGCAACCAGCTTTTTAGTCATTCAAACAGCCAGCGACAGGCCTCTGTTGTCACAGGTCTCACCGAATAACACGGCCAACAATTCGAGCACCTACGGTTCGTCGCCTGCAAACCAAGGAGGCATGGCAGGCCAAACTGGAAGAGGAGCCTCAGTGGTGAGTTTGCAATTTCCGTACGCTTGTTCTCATCAAATAGTGGTGAAATTTCGGGGGTAACAAAATGCATGCAGCGGCGTGGCTTCTTCTTTGAGACTAACCGAGTCGTCTATTAACCAACTTGCTTTGTGCTTCTCTGTCTGTTCCTATCTTGGCTCAGATGAAGGGGCTCAACTTCCCTGGGTCACACAACCCGCGCTTCTGTCAGTTTGTGATTGACCGTAGCAGACACATGCTGAAGCCGGTGAGCACCATCAACTTCAAAACAATATCAGCCAACTTCACTTATTTTTCACAGCTCAAGTCATGATTTTTATTAATCGCTTGTGTTTTCCAACTTTTTTTCCTGTGTTGTTCCGTTGACTTTCAGTGCTTTTCAGTGCCGTGTTGCTTTTGTTTGACGTCCGATTTTGAAACCGTATAGTTTTTTTTATAGTTTAGCACATTAAGGCAATGAATTGTGGATATCAATAATAAATCAAATGATTTTCAAATAATTTCAGGTGAACAAACACAAAATTGATGGTATACGAAGAATGAGTGCCCACCCTCTGATGCCAGTTTGTAAGTTAGAAGTTTTTTTTTCAAACTGGAATTTCAAGATTAACTCAGAAAATATTCTTTTATTTTAGACCTGAGTGGTTCGCAAGACGGATCTGTGCAAATGTGGGAATGGGGTCACACACAGCCAGTGGCGACTCCACGACCACCAGGCACGTTTGCCAAAGTTACCCGAGTGCGATTCAGTCAGCACGGAAACAAATTCGGCGTGGCCGACGGAGACGGCAACGTCAGTCTGTGGCAAGTGGGAATCGCATCGACCGTCACAAGGCCATTCTTTGTAATTTTAATCGACGATTTTTAATTCTAATTAACTAAATTAATTGTTGACTTGCAGAACTACCAGTGTCACAACAAGCTGACCAGTGACTTTGTGTTCCTTGGCTCCTGCAGTTTACTTGCCACCGCTGGTCACAGTTCAGAAAGCAAAAATGTGGCACTCTGGGACTCGCTGCTGCCACAGAAAAAGGCTCTTGTTACTTGTAAGTAATTCTCTTTATTTTTTGTAATTTTTCATTAAAACTATCAAATTAATTGAACATTTTCATATTGATTTAATGGGATCAATTTTATTTGCAGCTTTCACTTGTCACGACCAAGGAGCCACAAGCATAATTTACGCACCTCAACACCAGGCCATCATCTCTGCTGGCAAGAAGGGTGACATCTGCATCTTTGACGTCAGACAGCGGCAGCTGAGGCAAAGATTCTTGGGACACGAGTCAACCGTCAAGTGCTTGGCTCTTGATCCCAACGAGGAGTTCTTTGTCACTGGCTCAGCAGACGGAGACATAAAGGTCAGTTAAAGAAGAAATATTTTTTTCTGAAAATTGCAAATAATAGTAAGATAAAAGATTTGCGTTAATCCTTTATTAGATTATCTTTTTATTAGTTGCAAATTGTGTTTATTGATCTATCACAAAGGCAATTGCTGCCCATAACGGGATACATCATTTATACATACAATTAAATTATGTGATAAAGGTTTTTTGTAATCGACTAGTGATAATTATTCAAAGTAATTTGTTGCATATTTTAATTTTTGGCTTCTTTTAAACAATAAAAATTAATATGAAATTTTTATAAAATTGATAAATAAATTAAAATTAATTATTTAATTAGCTATAATTATAAATTATAGTTTATAAATTTAGTTAGTATTAATCAATGCTTTTTTTTAAATTTATGTAATTTTATACATTTAATTAATAAAACTGTGTTGTATTTCGAATGAATCCATTTTAAATTAAAAACCATTAACTTTTTTAAAATGTTTATGTTCTTGATTTGTTTCTCAGGTGTGGAGCATGTCCACTCTGCAACCGTACTTTATGTTCCCCGGAGAGCACGCGCGCTCGAGCTTCTTCAAAAATATTGGCCAAGGCGTGACGCAGCTGCACATTGACTCGAGTTCACGGCTCTTCTCGTGTGGCGCCGACGGCTCGATGAAAGTGCGCCAACTGCCCGACAGAGACTTGGTTGTGCAGTCCATCTATTAAGTGCACGCTTGTAGCCCTGACTCGTGCACTTACTCTTTCGACAATATTTATCTCGACTCAATTATTTGTTCCGAATCAATTCCGTAGCTAGACTGGGATCAACATGTTGTTGAATTCGGCCTTGGAGTCCTTTTTTTGAATTTTTTTTGTCCTTTTGTGGGAGGCATTTAGGAAATACAGTTGATCCGATGACAGATTTCGCATAAAATTTCCTTTCTTATACTTACTGAAATGTCTCGGACTCTGCTCTTGTTGCTCTATATTGTTCAACGTGTCTTTCAAATGAGATGAAAAAAAAGTTGTGCCGCAAAATAGTTCAGTCAGTTGCTAAGAAATATATTGTCTGTTATAATTCATGAATATTAATTATTAATCAAACTTGCATTTTAACCGAAATTATGAATAAGATAAAATTGTGGTTTTTACGTGTCAAAAATCGAGCTTTGTTGCTTGATCGATTTTGAATCGGCAAAGTATATAAATCAAGATGAAATTAATATATATTTCAATATTATATACAAAAAAAATTGGCCTGCGGTATTTAATGAACAAAGAATTATGAAAATCGTTTGTCTGGGTGTAAATCGACAATATTAAATTTTAAGCAACTTTTTCTTTAAAATTCATTTCTTGTGTTCGGATCAAATTTAAATCTTGTGCGACGAAAGAGAAAATTAACCTAAAAAAACGCGGTCACTTTGGTATATTGTCCCAATTGCAACATTTCCATTAGCAATATTACACTGGAAAAATTTAAACTTTAGAAGTTACTGTAGTCGGATCTAGTGTGTAAGATAAAATATGGAACCTGATATTCCACAGGCAAAAATTGTAAAAATCGCCTCGTTATCTAAATAAGATAAATTATGATATTTATAAAACTGAAAGTTAAAAAAAATGTACCATCACGTGTAAAAGAAAAAACGTATTCATATTACAAGAGTTATGCAGTTGGAAAAAAGCAGATTTTCCTCTAGTCGCAGCAGTCATTGCGTACATCACGTATTTTTTGCTTGTACAGTTTTTTTCTTTAAAAAATGCGCGTAGGTCAAAATACTTTTGCTAATTATTTTTGTGTTGTCACATTCCCAGCGCATTATGTTTGGAAAATGTACGATATTTTAGAATTTGAGGTTTCAAAGGAATTGTTATTTTTGTTATGTTAATTTTATGAATAATTATGTAGCTGTAATGTAAGGAGCTGAAATTTGAACACGATCAGTGCTGTTTTCTCTCCCTACCGCCGCCCTATCCATTGTGATATTTCTGTCTGTTTGCATGGCTATTTAATTCAACTTTTATTCAGCTCGTCATTCACAACAATTATACTCTAGAAATTCGAAGTAACCATAGCTTTGGCAATGTACAGCTCCCTATGGTTCTTATTATCGAAGCCGAGTAAATTATTATTCCGTAAATATTGCAAGATGTTCAAACAACATATATTAATAAAATGAGAGTATCCACAGAACATAATAATATTTCATTAATTTATTTAAATTACACAAATATTCTGTATTATGATATTGATTTTATCGCAATATTATCTGTTAAAGTAAAAAACACACTTCTGTAATATTATTGGCGATTCAAAAAAAATCAAATAATGTTAATTATATTAATATCTTTTTTATGGAAGAAATTGATGAAGTATAAAAAATAATAATTAGTGTAAAAAAAAGAGGTATCGTGACAAAATAAGTGAGGCTGAAATTTAATGTGGCTATTTTGTTTCATGAAAAATTTCCAAAGTTTATTTCATTTTTCTATTTATAAAAAAAAAGTGACTTCCGCTACTCCCTCTGCTAGCAGTTCTTATTTTATTAATTTTTTTGCACTCTGCAAACCAGATAGTACCATTGGCAAATTGATCATCATGCTAAGAATAGTACAAAAAAAAATAATAATGACAATTTAATGAATCGCAATAATATTCTTGGTGATTACTTTTTTTATCACCACTGTCTATACATGACATTTTATCAACTTAATTATAAATTTAAAAATTTTGCATTAAAATATTGTAGAGACTTTGTTGCAAAAATATTTAAACATGAGCTACGTTGAATTTGAAGGGAAAAGATATCAGGCAATACAAAGTTTTTTTTAATCCTGAAATCAATAATTTAAAATAAAAACTTCAAAATGGATAAAGTTAAGTAGTAATTAAATGCGCCGGGGTGGTGTAAGAGAATTGCCCATCACATCTATAATAAATTCTTTCCCTTGCGTTGTCACCATTATTTTATATAATCCATCCTGTGATCAAATATCGCTCAATATTTGTTTATTATTTGCAAAACGAACGCTAAGCTCAAATTTTTTTGCCACTGAAGCAGAAAAGGTATTTTCTGTACAGGTAAACGAAAATATACGACTCATATTATTCATTGTCATGACACAGCGCGACTGTTCAGCATCATAAAAATGGAACCTGGAGGTTTAATTTTTTTTATTTTCCTTGGCTGCTGCACAAACGTCTTCTTCATGGAAATCCTAATCAAGCAGGACCCTGGCATTGGAACTTTGGTCACTTTCACACAATATCTCTTCAACTCGATATATGGATTTATATTTTCATCAAAGTATGAATAATTCTATTAAATGTATTTGTTGATTTTTAAAGCTATTAAAAAATATTTAATTTTCTTCTTAGATTTGGGACCAAGAAACCGGAAATAAAATTATCGGAATATGTGGCTCTGGTTCTTCTACTCTTTGCGGCCAATATTTGCAACAACTGCGCTTTCCTTTTTAACATCTCGATGCCCCTGCACATGATTTTCAAATCGGGCTCGCTAACAGCAAACTTGATTTTGGGAATGATGATTTTGAAACGAAGTTATTCAAACGTCAAAATTGCGTCGGTAATCACAATAACAATTGGAATAGCGATCTTCTCCGTACAATCGGGAAGTATCCTCAAGTCTGAAGTGCACAACGAAGGTGACAATAAAGAGGTGAAGAGCGACTACCGGATTTACGGCATGGACTTGGAATATATGAAATGGCTCTTTGGCGTTTCTCTACTGCTTGTGGCTCTGTTTCTGTCAGCAAGGATGGGCATATACCAAGAAGTATATAATTGAAGGAAAAAATATATATTTTTTTTTTAATTTTATGGAAATAAATTTCAGGTCCTTTTCAAAACCTATGGCAGGCATTCCAGCGAAGCCCTCTTTTACACTCACTTGCTACCTCTTCCTGCCTTTCTGGTAATAGCTCCAGACCTCCTGGCGCACTGGCACCTTGCCCTTCACAGTCCCATCATGATCTTTTTTGGCCACGAGGTACCTAGCACTATTTTTTACTTGGCCGGTAATGTGCTGACCCAATTTGTCTGCATCAGTTCGGTCTACGCTCTGGCCACTCAGTGTACCTCTCTCACCGTTACGTTTGTAGTAACCCTTAGGAAATTTTTCAGTTTGGTCATATCGATTGCCTACTTCCATAACGCATTCAATGTTTACCACTGGTTTGGAACTATGTTAATAATTGTTGGAACCATTGCATTCTCAACAGAGTAAAGTTTGGCATTATTGTAACTTGCACAAATTTATTTCATTTTCATTATTTATTCTACTTCTTCTAAAAGACGAAAAGGTTAAAAATTTCAATGAAAATAAGATGGAAGTCGAGTAAAATAGTTTTATTTTTAAAATTTAAAATACCAGAGATAATTCAATTAAAGCTTACTAACTTATCTTAAATCCGAATGGAGGATCTCTGTGATGCTTTGTCACTTTTGTCAGCGCTTTTCCTCTTACTTTTGGATCGTGCTGAAAATGTTTAAAAAAAACATAAGCAAAATGATTTTTATTTAAATATAATTTGCAATACCTGATTGAATTAGCACATCGTCATCCTCATCAGAATAAACGTCAGTTGTTTTCTTGCTCCTGACCTGCCGCACTGGACTCTCCATCTCGTCTTCGTCTTCCTCTTCAACAATCGGCGCATTTCGATTGGCAAGTCGCTTGGCTGGCTGCCGTTTGTTCCTCGCAGCCGTTTGTAAGATCGATTCGTCTTCGTCAGAATCGACCAACTTTTTTCTGCCTCGCTGAGGTCTGGGCGTTTGTTCAAAATCGTCATCTTCACTGTCAGATCCTTTAGCCCTCTTTTTGGTCGGCGCCTTCTTTCTACCAGGGGCTTTGCGCTTTTCTTTCTGAGCGGCCAATTCGGCTTTTGCTGTCTCGGCCAGGTCGGCTATTGCTTGCTTTGCAGCATCCTTGTCTTTGACGCAAGCATCCAACAGCTCCTGCCACCTCTCAAACTCCTCCTGTAATCAAAATCCCAATGAAAAACCAAGAAAAATAACAGTATCAAGCAAACAACCTTGCCCTCGGTTCGGAGCTGCTTTCGAGCTGCCTGCACCAACTCGTCGAATTTGGCTTTGACTTTCGGGTACTTGAGTTTGTCGGCATACATGTGCGTTGCGTCCTTGATGGCCTTGACAGACTTGGAAGTGATGGGCAGGTTACTGATGCAGAGAGCCAAATTGTAGCACTCAATTTCTTCAACCTTGTCCTGGAAACGGCTGCACAACTTTTCAACCAGCGAAACCACTTGCTTTTCTTTGTCAATGTGCGGAAGGACTTCCCTGTTAAAAATCAGTCTTAATTTAAATTTCATCAGTTATCTCTGAAAACTTGCTTCATGATGGTTTCAAACTGGCTTTGGTTGCTCTCAGAGTACTCTGCTGACAGCTGGGAAATCATGTCCAACACCAAGTTGTACAGAATGTTGCCCTTCGTTGCCAATGTAGCAAAGAAGTACTTGGCAACGTCTTTAGAAATTCAAAACAAATTTAGATTGCAATTAACAAATATATGAATGGGATATACCTTGGCACCTCTTTTCCTCGTCAGTGAGAGATTGGGCGAGAGAAGTGATTTGGAACTTGACTCTGATCATGTCACTGAGAATGAGCTTTGAAATTACTACCAAAGCTTCAAAGCGCACATTTGTATCTTCATCTTTCAAGCTAAAAATAAATATTATTGTTAGCATTCTATTTAATCTCAAAAAAGGTAGCTTACCATTCATAGAGATGAGGCGAAAACGGCTCACACTGATTTGGGTATTTTTTCATCAGATCAGCCAGGGTGTGAATGCAAGCGATTTTCACTCTAATGTCCTTGCTTTTGCTCAAGATGGTCACGAATTTCTAATATATTTTCAGAGCTCACATAATTTGCAAACAAATTAATTCAAAATACATACCCTCAGATTATTTCTGCAAAAGGTAGGCGACAGCTTCATGTACTTTCCATAAGCCTGAATTGCCGTCAAGCGCAAGCCGTGATGGTGGCAGTGAGAGGAGGAAAAAGACTCTTGCACAAATTTCCTAAAGATTGTTTTAACTTAATAAAAATATTCACAAATAATTTAGGTCTTACAAGAGACATCCAAATGTGTTTTCATTTACAAGCAGTTCCGAATCGCAAATTCTGAGCAGGGCGTCCAAATTTTCTTCTTCCGTGTTGTTCAGGAAATATTTGCTCGAGCTTTTCATCAACTTTTGCACATCAAACAAGGCCCCATCGTCTTCTTCATCGGCCATACTGCTTGTTGTGGTGTTAGCCTTGGATCGACGGACTTTGCGACGGTCCTTTTCAAGTTCCATCAAGTTCTTCTGTCTTCGAATTTCCGACATGATGTCCTCGTAGACGAAAGTGTGCATTTCATCAGCAATCTTTCCAATTACATGCACATACCTACAAAAAGATTAATGTTAACACTTTTACACTAATATAAACATAGGCTTTACCTCAAGAGAACAACATGGGGAATGGACGACGTTGAAGGAGAGGTTGCGCTGATTGGTCTTTGGCTTTCTGGGTTTTGAGTATCAAGCTGGGTCAAGGGCTTGTTGCTGACTTCATCAAAAACTTCTCCATTCATTTCACTTTCCTGGTGGTCTGCAGGGTTGTATTTCTCCAACTCCTCATTCATCTTCTTCAGAATTTCTCCGATAAGAGAAACAGGCTTTTTGCACGTCTGTAAGCAAAGGTTTTTTTATTTTAATATGAATTTGCAATGGGGAAAATGGTGTACCTTGAAAATCGCTTTGATGATGTAGTCTGATAAACCACAGTAGTCGGTGTCCGAAATCTTGAATAGGCCTTTGATAATTAAATTGGTCATGTGTGCAAATATTTCATCCTTCAGAGGAATTCTGTAAAAATGGAATCTTCATATAGCAGCAACCACTAAAAGAAACCCTTGTCGGACGTGAGGCCATTGAGACCGTGCTCGAGACCATTGGTATCAGTGGGTCTCAGTGGGTTTTAGGTCCATATAAGTATTTTTTTTTAATTATGTGGAAATTAGTGGAAATTAAAAGTTTTAATAAAAATTTTTAATGTAAGCAAAATTAAAATAAGTTTACACTAAATAAACATTAAACGCATTAAACTGAAACTATTATTTAAATAGATGTGTATTAATTTGACTCGTTAATAAATTAAAATTAAAATGAATTTCAAACAAAATTATTTCATAATTTAAAAAAATTGCTTATGGACATAAATATTACCAAGACCTATGTACTGATACCAATGGTCTTGACGGGTCTCACGTTTGACAAGGGAATTTGAATTTTACCTGAAGGGATTGGCCAACATTTCAGCTGTGACCTTTGGCGAAGCAAGCGCAAGCACGGCAGCTGCCCATTTTGCTAATTCAAAACAACCTTCGCCTCTGCTGCCGAAACCAATTCTGTCCAATGTTTTGATCTGCTCTTCAACGAGGGTTGGTTTATTTCTATAGAATTAAATTTTTTTAATTATCAGAAATGATCATCAAAATTAAAACCTACATAAGAGCCAGACTCAGTGTGTGAAGAGCTGGAACACACTCGTTTTTGGTCTTACTTTCGACCATTTCCCAAAGGGACTGTAAGATATCATTATTTTAAAAAATACTATTACTATAATATGTCAACTTACATAAAGGCACTCATTGTTAATATGTCCCTCATTCACCCATGTCTGGATCAAAAGTGAGACACTCTTTTGGAAATTTGGATGAGCATTGTGCACCAAGCAGCACACCCTTTTCATGGCCTCCATGTAATTGTCACTAAATACAGAAATCAAATATTTTGATCAAAAATCAAGGGCTAAAATCTTACTGCGTAATATCAGTATTGAGTTCTGGATCAATGCTTGACAGGTAGATTCTTCTGCAAGCTTCCGAAACAGCAGTCTTTTGCTTCACATCTTTGCTGTGCAGAAATTCGAGAAGCTTCAAAATGCTATCATTCTCTGAAAGGAGGCCGAATTGCTGGGCGGACGCAATAAAGTTGATGGCCTCCACCAGATCTGTAGTTTCACTTGCTGCCAGCAGAACCATCACGTTCTCACTGGCTATGCCTATCTGCTCTGAAAACTTAAGGCAGTTCTGCAAAAAAAAAAGGAGAAACAAAATTTATTTTTACAATATTTTTGCCGCATGAATTATAAACCTTGAGAAATTTTATAATTTCTTTCTGCTTCTGGATATCTTTTAGAGCATCTTCAGAAGTTTGTCCTTCAGTAGACTTTGGAGTGATTGCAATAAGGGCTGTCTTGAGCAACGTGCACATGTAGTCAGTTTTGCGCAAGATGCGGCTTTGAAGACGTTCCTCTTCGTCTTCCTCAGGATCATCTTCGTCGTCATCATCATCCATTGCAATGCTGAAAATTTGTAATTAAAATTTTTGTCTTCTTTTCGGAGGAAGCAATAATGAGACGTTACCCAAAGGCATTTTTTTCGTCATATTTCTTAGTTAGTTCAAAGGCCATCTGCACAGCGTCTTCCATATTTCCACATAGGAGCATATTTCCAGTTTTCCGAATATCCTCTTTCAACCTGGCTGCTTTCTCTTCTTTGCTCTCTTCTGGTGCTTCATTCTCCTCAACTTCCATTTTTTCTTCAGATTCATCTTTTTCTTTTTCCTCCTTGCCATTTTCTTTTTCCTTCTTCTCATTTTCTTTCCTCATATCTGTGACAGAAAAATAAATAAAAAATTAAATAAAGATAAATTTGGAAATTCTAATGAAAAACCTTTGGACAACTGCTCATGGACGATGACCTGCAAGTGTTTCTCCACAGATTCCCAAACCTCTTCAAGATCATGTTCAACGTAGCCATAGGTAGCCTGCATTTCCTGCAATCTGGCTTGAGCGGTTTCCAACTGTTTAGAAATCTTATCTCTGTCCAACTGGAATGAATAATTATGTTATTACAAAATTCAGATACTTTCAACACAAAAAATAATTACATTCCCAGAGAATGGATTGTGTTCCAAACAAGTTTTCAGGAACCTTATGGCGTCTTTTCGCACATAGCTGCTCTTGTCAAGGGTCATCTGCGCGATCTTTTCTATGGTCCTCAGTAGCAACTTGGCAGGAATTACTTCAGCTTCACACAAACTTGTCCACGCTTGCAGGGTCTGAAGAGAACGTTACTAAGTGCAAAATATTATTTTCTCTTGTAAGTACCTTGGATCTTGCAAAGGCATTCGTGTCCAAGAGATGCAGTTCGAGAATCTCAAGCAGTGCATCTCTCTCTGTAGTTTGCTTGTCAGTCAAATTTCCAGAGGCATAAATGTGCATCAGGAGATTCTTGGTGGCTTCCAACATTCCAGTGCGAAGAGAGTAGGGCTGGTACGCAAATATCAAAGACTGTCAAAATATAAAAACGAAAATTGTGTGCATACCTCATTTTCTGAGATGTCAAGGATAAGATCAATATTTTGAATGAGACTGGCAGGTTTTTGCTGTGACAAAGATACGACGAATGATCCAAAGTTAGAGCCGGCCTTGGGAGTGATATTGGTGTCACTTTCAACCTCTGTCAAAATCGAGTGCAGCAACCCAGTGTTGCCGCCGGATTCTTCGAGGTTGGAAATGCTGCTGGCCAGAGGAACAGCCAAATGCTCATGAAGCATTAAAAGCTTAAGAAGCAAAAATTTATAACACTGTGGATATCTGTGCATAAAGATAATTACCTGCAAGAGTCTTGGAATGAGGGAAAGGCCAAAAATGTACTCCTTGCAAAGAACAGAGAGGATTTGGAAGATTGAGTCCCTCATCGACTTCTTGTTCACAAAGCCAATTTCACGGTCTTCGAGAATTTTCAAACAAATACGAGACACTTGACTGAAAACAATTAAGCCTTAATGCACGATGAAAACGAACAAAAATGAACTCACTCCAAAAAATCATCAGAAATGTTAGCTTTCTTCCAGAGGTTTTTAAGAGGCAAACCAACCAGCCTGTATAGTTCATTAATTCCACAGGTCTTCTCGTCATCCCAACTGAACTCATTTTTGTCAGCACCCTTCTTTCTTCCCTGAGCAAACCAAAAATGTTATCAAACTTTTAAAAATTAAAAATTGTGAGAAAAACCTTTGTGGGTTTGCTGCTGGTCTCCTTTTCACTGATCGATCTTTCTTCAAATTTGTACATTAGCTCAGTGCAAATATAAAATATCATCTTCGTATTCCGCAGGAGTTTTTCCCGAATGTTATTCTCGATGTTGCCCTTCTCCAGGAATGGTCGCAGATTGGCAACATGAAGACCAAAGGCTAGCGAAAAGATCACAATTAATCAAATTAATTACTATTAATTTTTTTATAATCAATAATGCACAATACCTTTAAGGGTGAGCTCCCAAACTTCACGAGTTACTTTTGGAGACAGTTCTTGGAAGTTTTTGATGCAGCTGTACAAAAGATCAAATTTTCCAAAGATGAAGTCGCTTAAATCCTCATTTAAGGTCAAACGCAGGCCTGGAAAAGTTTTTTAATTGAATGAATTGCATTACATACAAAAGGAAAATTTGGAAAATTTTAAGAGGATTGCTTACTGCTGTACTGATCTCTGATCTCCACTGGCGCAAGGACGTCCTGCACATAATACTGGTTTTCACCGAACTCCAGCAGCTCATCAATGCTGTGCGGAATGGTAAACTCGGCTTCTTCCATTTTTCAATGTTTTGTATGAAATTTTGTTAAAAATCAACACAAAGTAAGACAACACACACTCAATTCGAAGATAAAATTTCTTTTTGCAACTCAGAACCGCAACCCGCAACTGTAAAAACACAAAACACAGCTTTTTGGCGCGAAATATCATAAGCTATTTTAGCCAACAGGACAAAGTTCTACCACCATGAAATCCTTTTCTAATGAACACACATTACTCGATATAAATGTTGCAAATAATAATAATTAATTTAAAATATTATTTAAATAATTTTTAACTTTGAAATTTCGTGACAAGACGCCAGAACGATTGAAAGGTCAATGAATAGTTTTATGACAAAGTTGGCAATGTATTATGATTATGATTCATCAAGTCATCCCAGGTGGGTGGACCCGGTGTTGTGATAATAACTTTGGGTCCTTTTGCTAATTATTTTAGCCTCTATTTTTCACACTTAGTAGGAGGCAATAAAAGTATTCAATTGACACGATGAAATAGCAACAATGCTTTATTAAATTATTAACGCACCCGAACGCACCGAAGCCCCACGTATAATTCGAGGAGACGAGGAGCTGAATCGGTTCAAAAGACGAAGAAGGAATCTCCGAGTGTGTTTCTTACATCATTAGGTCGACAGGTATGTAAACACTTGAAACCACTCTGGCAAAAATGTTTCCTTTGGCAGTGTTTTTAAATGAAATTTTGGGATTTCAGGATGGAACCTACTGTGGCAATCGCTCTGGTCTTCATTGGCTGCTGCTTCAATGTGGTTTTCCTTGAACTCTTGGTGAAGGAAGACCCTGGAAGTGGCAATTTGATCACCTTCTCTCAATTTTTGTTCATTTCCATCGAAGGATTCATATTCACCTCAAGGTATGCATAATTATTAACATAAAAAATTTTATTTTTAAATGTCATTTTTGCGCAGATTCGGCACGAAAAAGCCACGGATTGGACTTTTTGACTATTTCATCCTGGTCGTCATGTTCTTCACAGTCAGCGTGTGCAACAACTACGCCTTCAACTTCAACATCCCCATGCCACTGCACATGATTTTCAGGGCGGGCTCCCTGATCGCCAACATGGTCATGGGCATGTTGATACTCAAAAAGTGTTACACACCATTGAAGATCGTGTCCATTCTGATGATCACGGCGGGCATTATTGTTTGCACGCTCGAGTCCGGAAAGGAGGTGAAGGCTACCGACCCCAAAGAGGTCAACTCTGACCCTCAAACTGACTACTTTTGGTGGGTCATCGGCATCATTCTCCTGACGGTTGCACTCTTCATGTCTGCGAGAATGGGTATTTACCAAGAGGTAATGTTTTCTATTTTATACTATAAGTAAAAATATTTCAGTCAACAAGGAATCTTATCTAAGGATTTTCAAAGGAAAGACTAATATTTAAATTAATACATAAATAAATTTATAGTCAAAGAGGAAATTTTGAATTAATTATAATTAAATTGAAGTTTTGTTTGCAATTATGCTTACTCTGTAATGTTATAAATAATATTTTTTATTATAATTTTCCAAAATTGTTTAATTTCAGGTTTTGTATGTAAGGCATGGCAAACACCCAAAAGAGGCACTTTTCTACACCCATCTGATGCCCTTGCCGGGATTCCTGCTGCTCTACTCTGATATTTGGTCACACTGGCTGCGTGCCCTGGACAGTCCCGCACTCGACGTCTTTGGCTTCACCATGCCCAGCACGATTGTCTATCTAATTGGCAACGTCCTCACGCAGTACCTTTGTATCAGTTCTGTCTACGTGCTCACCACCGAGTGCTCCTCGCTGACAGTCACCCTTGTCGTGACGCTGCGTAAGTTCCTCAGCCTCCTCTTCTCCATTGTGTATTTCCAGAATGAGTTCACAGTGAGCCACTGGATCGGCACCATTCTCGTATTTTTTGGCACAGCGATTTTCACAGAACTGCTGCAAAGAACATCTGCGTTCTTCAGCACTCCTGCCAAAAAGAAGGATTGAGCAGAATTTGTGTTTCTGCTACATTGATGTCTTTCAGACTGATTTAAAAGTTGATTGTCATTACGAAAGCTTCAAATTTTTTATAAAATTTGACCTGTATGATTATGTTTGTTCCTTTGAATTATCTATATATTTTTTCAAGGCATTAATGTCTGGTCAAACCTCTTAATTTTCAGAGAAATTTCAATCAAAGATAAAAAGAGGAAAAATCTTTTTTAAGAACTGCTTAAAGTGAATTGCAGCTAAACTAAAATCATTGTTAATTTTTTCTTAAGCACATGAAAATGCTACTATATTGAAAGATATTTTGAAATTTTTTCTTTGATACTCAAAGAAAAAAACTGAAGCTGAGTGATGCATTTTAAAAACTTCAATTTCAAAAAACCTTGCCTCGTTACTCATAACAATCATAGCTCACCAAAAATACTGTTAGGAAAAAAATGGTGATTATTAAAAAATTAAATTATGCATTTGATATCTTGTTGAAAACACCTTGTATCAATAGCCAACTAGTTAAACTCTCAAAATTTAAGTCTTTGCCATCCTTAAATTTGCTTTTGAAAGTATTTTGTTATGATTTCTTTAAGAAACACTCCGTGTTATTTAATTTTCCTTATGGAAAGCCGTTCAGCAATTTATTCCTTCCACCTTATTAACTCTTCACCAAAGATACAAAAAAAATGTGTAAAAATATTCTAAATTATTTTTAACCAATCTATCGTTTGTGGTTGTCAATTAGCTTGACAAGCGTCGAGCTTAATTTTAAAGATTAGTAAGTGCTGGAGCTTTGTTGTTTAAGCGCTTTGTGATGCCAAGTTTATAAGCGCTCTTCTGTTGTGTACGATGTTCTAATCATTGCAATGGGATTATTTGAATCAACCTCTCTGTTTTCCAAATAAATAAAATCACAATTTATGTTGATGATAAATTTTTTAGCTCATTTAATTAATTTAAAAAAAAAAAAATGTTTTCTCATTAGCATAAGTTTTGGATAATTATGTGGGGCACAGACTGAAAGTGAAATGCACCCACAAAAAACAACAAGAGGGTGGGTCTTCGTGACGCACATTCTCTCGAGAGCCTAGGCCGCGCTTTTGAGGGGCACACAGTCAGACAAGAATAGCCCGGCCCGCGCGACTGACTGTGCGAGTCGCCCGCCGCCGCCGCGTGGTCCAGTCTTTGGTCTGTCGGCGGTGTCTGCTCGTCTGCAGGCAGAATAAATAAACCCTCGGCGGCTCATTAATCCGTAAACGCCGCTCCTCGCAAAACCATGGTCGGCGGCGTTTCCAGCGGCAGAAGGTAGTTCCACGTGCGCCGGGTGAAACGAGTGATGTGAGAGCAGGCCCTTGGCTATTGTCAGCTCGCTGGCACAATGAGGAACAACGTGCCTATTGAGGAGGATGAGCCCGGCAAGTGCTGTGCCTTCTGGTACTGCGTGTGGAAGGTGTTCACCTGCATTTGCTCGCACTTCATTCTCATCTCCATGGTCGTCTCCTATTGCATTATGGGCGCGTACACTTTCCAGGTACACAGCTTAAAAATTTCTCAATAAAACCCAGATTAAAAATGTTGAAGAGTTGGTTTTACACAATAAAAAGTTATAGTTGAAAGGAAAAAAAAATTTTGTAAAATGTATTTTAATAATTTTATTTAAATTTTGAAAGAGCTTTTATTTATAAATCTGAATTGCATGGACTTAAATAATTCGTTCTAATTTTATTTACAAAATTTACACGCAAATATATAAATTCTAACAAAAATAAATAAGTTTTATGCTTTCGCTTGTTTTTTGTGTAGGCGCTCGAGGCCAAGAACGAAGTGGCGCGCAAAGTGGACATCAAGTACAAGCGCAGCAATTGCACCGACCGTCTTTGGCAGCTAACGCAGGAAAGTGACGTCCTGCGTCAAGAAAACTGGACCGAGCGGGTCATCGTCGAACTGAAAGAGTTCGAAAAGGACCTGTTGACAGCCATGAAGAAGCACGGCTGGGACGGCACGGAGAACGAAGAAGCCAACCAGTGGACTTTTTCCGGCGCACTTTTTTACTCCATCATCGTCATCACCACAATTGGTCAGTATAATTTTTTTACATAAATACATAATTTTACACAAGACAAATATATTATCACGTAATTATAATCACATTTTTATAAGTTTCAAAAAGTTCAAATTACTCGTCTCCGGGGAAAAGTTTGTTTGTTGCTGGAAGAGTGCTACTGTTCAGCTTTCGAGGGTGAATTAGGGGTTCTCCACTTCCTCTGGGTGGAACATCAACCGGTCCTCCTGGGCCTACGAGCACGCCAGGTCCTCTCACAGGCCGAATGAAATTTCCACCTGCGCCGCTGGGATTCAGTTCAGGCCTTGCGTAGTGCTGGTGAAGGGCCGTGTTTCCGAAAAAGGATGGCGGTTTTGGTTTGTTCGAGCCTGATACGTGAGAGTTGTAGCAACAATATTGCTTTCCGGCGTCGCAAGAACCCTAAAAATACATTTTTCAACAATATATTTTAGTACATTTAAAAAACGCGGTGACATGTGGCATTAGAAAAATTTCTTAAAGGCAATATTTTTAATTTAATTTATTTAAATATATTTTTTTCAAATGAACTTCAAAAATATTTAAAAATTAATTAAAAATTATAATGCTTACGAATTTGATGCCAGGAGAATTGCAGTTGAAACTGAGGGCGCACTTGCACGTGTCATATCCTCCAGTAAACAGCGACGGGTCTTTCAGATATGGATTTTCGTACGCGGGCGTATGACCATTGTGGTCACCTATTACAGGACGGCTGCCGCCGAAAGGTCGATTTCCATCAAAGCCGGCACCATAAGGAGGAGGAGGTCCTCCTGGACCACTTCCGCCAAAGGGTCGGTCTGATTGAGAGTTATGCGGGTTGCCCGCAAATCCTCCTCCGCCACCTCCAAAAAGTGGCTTGGGGTTGTTGATGCCATTTATGCCAGGAATGTTTCCCAAATGGGGTCCACCTCCAATCAGGGGCCGGTTTGGGAATTTTTGGGGTGGTCTTCCACCGGGAAGGATACCGCCGCCGCCACCCTTAAAAAATTTTATTTAATAATTTTTAGTTACAACACAATTTATTTTCATTCGAAAATCTTACCTGGAATCCAACTCCGGTTCCACCAAAGGGAACGTCACTGACTGTTCCACCTGAGCCGTATTTTGTAGGGAAGGGCAGGTGTCCACCGTTGACCCCAAAGGGTGGTCGGAAATGCGGTCTGTAATATGGGCCGTCTTCTTCCAACTCATGGACAGGAGGTGCACCACCTATAGAACAACAAAAAATTACACGGAAAAATTAAAAATGTAAAAAACTGCATCAAAATTTCATTTATTTTAAAAATGTTCAAAATCAAAACTTTTTTAAAGTAAATACCTGGCCGATTTGGAAATCCACCTGGTCCACCTCCTAGCGGCTCGATGAAGTTACCAGCATCCGAATTTATTCCGAATCCACCTCCAGGTGGTCCACCGTAGCCTCCGTAGCCACCCCCAGAGCCGCCAGGTCTGGGACCGTTTCCAGCAATGCCATATCCAGCGCCGCCGCCTCCGGGTGGCCCGTTGAATCCGCCACCGCCAGGCGGACCGTTGAAGCCGCCCCCGGGTGGTGGCCTGTTGAATCCGCCGCCTCCAGGTGGACCGTTGAACCCGCCGCCACCCCCAGGAGGACCGTTGAATCCGCCGCCTCCAGGCGGACCGTTGAACCCGCCGCCACCCCCGGGAGGACCGTTAAATCCGCCGCCACCCCCGGGAGGGCCGTTATATCCGCCACCCCCAGGTGGGCCATTGAATCCACCACCCCCGGGGGGACCATTAAACCCACCACCACCAGGGGGGCCGTTGAATCCGCCTCCAGGTCTAATTCCTCCAGCTCCACCAAGACCATACGAGGCGCCAGAGTCGTAAAGGCTGCCTGGTTTGTTTGTTGCGGCCGGAGGCAGCAAGGTGGGGCCCCCAGTCAGTCCGTAACTGCCTCCGTTTAGAGATAGGGTAGGTCTGTCACTTTGGGGGTTGCTTTGGCAAATGTGTGCTAGGGCTAAGAGGCTAGCGACCAGTCTTAATGTTGCGGCTGATAAAAAAAAAATCAACAAAAATATTTTATATACAAAAAATAATATCTTATATAATAATTAAATAATAAATTTTTAATTGTAAATATTTTAATTTGAGATAAAGATAAAGGCGTGTAAAATTTCGACTGGTGATTTAAATTAAGAACTGTTTTTTTTTTATCAATTATAATCAAATGTAATCAACGTTGTAAATTTAATGCGCAAGAAGCCCAGAATAATTTAAACTTTTCAAGAAATTTGAAGTTTGTAAAAAGAAAATATATATATTTTTATGATTTATATTTTAAAAAGTACTTACTCATGATTTGTGTCTGTCACAATTTAGTTGTGGTTATTCCAAACTAAGCAAGATTATTCCAAAATGCAGCACCATTGGGGTTCACGGAGCACTCATGCACCGAGCCAGGTCTGCAGGCAACTGAATCCAGGTGCACGCAGGTGGGGCGGTTTTATCCAACGGTAGTCACGGCTGGTGCATGCCTATCAATTTGGGCGACCTCGCTTGCAAACACCGACCCGTGTGGCTAATCCTTTGTCGCGAGCCAGGGGATCTTGTACGAAAGCAAATTCAGGGCTTTTACCCAAACCCTGACATCCAATTTGGGAATTACAAAGGCCGAGTTAATTTTGACTAAATTCGTGAATTTTGAAACAGCAGTCAATTTATTCGGTTTAAATTATTTTCCTCCTTAATATATAATGAAGAGGACAAAGTAATTTTTTACGGTGTCCCCTTAAAATAGTTCACCGAAAATATTTCAGAATGGGTAATTTATTAAGGGACAAGAGAGAGATGGGCATCTCTTTCGCGGCCCTCATCTCTGACAGGCTGGCGAGTCGAATTTTGGCCTTATGCCACTTCAACTCACTCGATCCACATATAAACCTATCAAACACACGCACACGAAGGCGCACTTTGCCGCCGAACGCGCGACCACCGAAATCCAAAACATTGTTTTATTGCTTTTCCTCATGGCCAGCTATATGTACAGATGTCAGGTCAGACTCCATCGTACTTGTTGCACACTGGCTTGCCACAAATTCTTTCTTGAAAATCACGCCGCAACAAAATTTCATTTAAAAAAAGTTATAATTAAGTGCAGTTCTCAAAATCATAAAACCAATTTGTATTAAGCTGCAGCATGTATAAAAATATATATAATATTTTATTTAATTCAAAAATTATTTCAAGTTAGTTTCATAGATCTTTTGGCTCAATTTTCAGCAGGAATGATTTTAAAGTAATTTTTCATTTTCATTATTTTGATGTTTATCTGTTCTATGAATCAGTATGTATTAATTGTAAAAGAACGAAGAACAAGTATACAACTGAAAATTATAAACAATTACAGATGCACACAATTATATTTAATTTGTAAAAAACAGTGTAAAAAATAACATATTTTGTAATAAAAATATATTTTTGTGTAGCTTCAATCTTGGCTTACTAGGTAGAACAGGTTGTGTAGTTGTTCAGTTCATGGTTCATTGATTATGATGAAAATGGCTTATAATTGCTTTCAGTTTGAAATTATAATATGTATAATTATTTTTGAAGTAACTAAGTCTTGCATTAAAATACATATTGAAATGAATTTTTATTGCAAAACTTTTTGCCAACTTTATGTGTGTTGTTAATTAAAATGCATGAATTGAGAGAATGTGCGAATAAAAGAAGAGACAGTGAGTCGCAAATCGACCTTCACCTAATTGCTTGGCGAGTATACTGACCGCGCGCGTAATGCACTCCCGCTGCGAGACTCCAGACCGGTCCTACACATAAACAACCAGCATGCGCGTTTGTTTTTATTTTTGCATAAAGTCCAGGCCGGAAGCGGCGAACAAAAGGATGAGCCGCGGCCAACTTTCACTTATCAGCAGATCGGAATCGCTCGCTCATTAGCAACACAATATTTAAGTGCTCGACTTAAATGCCGAACGACACATGCGTTATCCCATTATTTGTTCGCGGCATCTCGGGCGGAACTTTTTGCCCTGGTGTTGCGCGGGATGAGTTGGGATTAGCGGTGACGAGAGCCCAACTAAAACAACTGTAGCGTGAAGAAATGACGCAGAAAAAAACAACAACTTGTAATGTTTACTTACAGTCACACATTTTATTTTTTTATAATTACGTTGTTGAAAAATTAAAGCTAATTTGACTAAAATACATAAAGATATAATAATTCTTTTAAGAAAATGTCTTAATAATTAATTAATATTTTGGTAAATAAAAATAATTTTTGAATCTTTGACTTAAGAATCTTTTAAATTCACTTCAAATTTTCTAAGTGAAAATTCAATTGAAATTTTAATAAATTTGCATTTTTCTTTTTAATTTCAACTTTTAATTGATTTTCCAGTAAATTAAATTTTTTGTATTTCCTTCTCAAAAACACGAAATCTAAAACAGCTAAGCAAAACTAAGAGTGAAAATTACATTGATTGTGAGAGAAATGGCAGCCAGCTTTATGTAAAAAAAGACTAACAGGCCCATAAAAAAAATGAGCTTTTAAAACTTAAACCTACTTGCCGTGCTGAAGCCATAAATGGGGGAAAATATCAAAAGGGTTAAATAATTCCTACGCTCAGTTTTAAATCGAGGATGCAAATAATTTCTGAAATGTGTGGTTTTCATGAAGAAATAACATAGATTTTCAAAATAAAATTTATATGCATTTAATTGGTATGAAAAAATTATTTGGTGCCTCAATCTGGAAATTATTTAACTCTTTGTCCGAAGAAGATATTTATATATAAAATTGAGAGTTTTTAGCGCTTTATCTATCAAAAACATAACTTTAAGTGAAACTTCTTCAGCCATGCAAGTTTTTATTGCGACGATATGAAAGCCACAGCGAAACCAAATATGCAATACATGATTCTTTTCTTTACGCTTGCGAAGCAAAATCTGATTCCGCGGGGCCGCGAGCTGCTCGCAAGAGAGAAATAATATAATTATTCTTCCTCGCTCAAGTGTTGCAAGCGCGTGAGTGATGCGTCGGCCGTTCTTGAATGCACTCGCTCCAGCGTTCGAAAGTCGCCGCAAATAACCCGGCTGCATTCATAATGCGATCGTGGGCGCGTCGGCCAGACACTGGCCGAGTTAATTTTCTCTCTGGGCGAAATTCGTCGTGTTTAATTACACCACACCAAAACATCATTAATTTCGGTCGCCTTAAGAGACGCTCAGTTTATGATGTAGTTTTTCTCAAACGCGACATTAAAATCTACTCTCTGAAACCCACAGCAGAGCTCTTTGATTTTTCAAAGGGACCACGTCCGGAGGAAAAAGTTTGGTTCTTTTATTTGTGTCTGGAGCGTCGGTTTCGACATTTATCCCTGCCATAATTAACAAAAAGTCAACTTTGAACTGCGAGTGAATAAAAATAAAATTAAAATAACAAGGCCTGAAGGAATTTTAAAACATCTAGAAATTTTTTTTTAAATGATTATTATTTTTTTAATTTCTTCAAAACTGATTGAAATTGTTCATAAATAAAATTAGAATCTTTGAAATACAATAACATAAATTTAAAAATTATAAACGCGTATAATATCAAATTTACTTGGATTTTTTTTAAACTTAAAATTACAGAATCCTTTAACTTTTTATTGAACAATTTTTATTTTTTAGGTACACTTTTTAACTCTGTGATGGCACTGCTGTTAATTAAAAGTCCACCCGTGGGACATCAATTAAAATCGGGAGCAAAAACAAATTCCACAATAACATGTAAATGAGCTAAGAGAATCACAAGCTCGCGGCGGGGCGAGATAAATTTTTCTCTCAGGAGGGCATGCCGAAGACACGGGACGCGTCGAGTGACACGGAATATGTGCAGGCGAGGCGCGAGGGCTGTCCTGTCATTCTCGCACGCACCGCGCGCCTTGGCCGCGCTCCAAAATCTGCCGCTTTCGTGGTAGATTAGGCCTAAAGCCACTTGAGGCACCCGAGAGAGGCAAAATAAAATATCACTCGGCCCGAACGCTGTAAATTTCATCTGCATCGATCTAGCCAGGCGGAAAAAGATGGAGTGCCGGAATAGGGCCGAAAAGAACAAGGCCGAAAATGGCTGAGCAGAACAGGGCCGAAAAGGAATAGGGCCGAAAAGGAACAAGGCCGAAATACCGGTGCAGACGAAATAGGAAGAACCGGTTTTTTAGGAAATCACCGCGATTACCGTGTTATGTCAACCCACCATCCCTACAAGAAACGGGACGTTTCGGGACACAAAAACTTTTATCGTCGTACTTTTAAGTCAAAGTAAGAATTATCTCAAATATTTAATTTATGGTAGGGAGGAATTTTTTTATATTCAATGCAGTTTCATCCTATGGGAATTTTCTAAAATGTATTTTTTCATAAAACTGGCCCGACCAAAATTGATAAAAGTTTCACCAAATCACGTTCATATCACCCCCAATTAAATAAATTAAATGGAAAAATAAAACCAATAGGTCAGCCGACATAAAAAATTTACATATTGATCTTATGGGAAAAGGTTGAGCAGTATTATATACAGAGTAATTATTATCATATGCTTCTCATTTATAGGAAAATTTTAAGTGAAAAATAGAAAAAACAATGATACCTCGCCATATTTGCCATACATATGAGTGATAAGTGTCCACGACAAATAATTTCTTATAAGCTCATGGTTTCCGAGTTCCGATGCAGAATGTTTTTTTTAAAGAGATCAATATATCTTTATCTTGCGTTGTGTTGTCCCCCAAATTTCTGTGACTTTGTGATTATGTGTCTCGCCTAAAATGAAGATTTTTTGCCATATTGTCAAATCAATCAGTTTTTAAATTTTCAACTATTTTCCAATGCGAAACGGCCGCATGAAGGATTTTGGATAATGATTCTCGCTGAGACGCGCTCGCGGTTATCGGTTATTTTTCAGCTTTCGGCCTTGTTCCTTTTCGGCCCTATTCCTTTTCGGCCTTGTTCCGCTCAGCCGTTTTCGGCCTTGTTCTTTTCGGCCCTATTGCGGGACTCCAAAAAGATGAGCTGATATTTATCAAATTAGTAAACAGCCCACGCGTCCAGATCAATCTTATCAAAGTTATGAAGAGGAATTCGTTTCTGGCTGTGAATTAGAAGGGATTTCAAACATATTAGAATGTTGGTTTAAAATTTGTTTTAAAGAAAACACAGTCTAAAGGTATAAAAGTTTCAAAAATGTTTATTTAGAAGAAAACTTAGATTTTATTTATTTTAATCATTAAAATTATTTAGATACGGGCAAAATTTTATGTGCACCTTATAATCATTTTTATTTAGTTTAAAACATTGACAAAAATTAATATGCTAACGTATTCTTTTCAAATACATTATTTTATTAATTAAAAAAAAATAAAATTTAAAGAAAATAAAATTTGATCAAATATCATTTTTGATAACCCATTTATTTTGCGCAATTTCAAATATTTTCAAATGCAAGAGTCCCAATAATCTTTTTTCATGTTTCTGTGGAATGCTTGCTTGAAACTTAAAAATAATTTTACGCGGACACATGGTGTGATTCACCACGGTGTCGCACGCTTGGCCGCCCATCGAGGGGAAGCACGTCCAATTTGGACAATTTTACGCTTACGCAAGGATCCCGTGCATAATAAATAAGCGCTCTTACTTTTCTCCCATCAGCGGCACAAAGGGCATAAAAAACAAGCGGTTATGAGCAGCATGTGCCTGACAACTGAATGGAATTAGAATATATATGATGCAAATCACAGCCATTAAGTTTGACATTGTGTCGTTTGTTTATTTCCACTGTAATTGCAAATAATGAATATGGCACAATGCATTTTAAAATAGCGAGGTTTTGAGCGAAATTCCATTTGCCTCTAAAAGTGGTGTTTGCAATAACTAGTAATTTGAATGCACTTCCTAAACATATCAAGGATTTTTCATACAAAAACAATCTTCAAATATAAACAAAGGAGCCATTTAAAAAAGAAAAACAAATAACACTTTTGAAAATTTGTAGTTTTTTCAGACAGTGATTAAAGGTTTTATCTTAATCTTAGATCCCAGTACTTGAAGTTCATGAAAATATGATTTTTCCCCCTCTTAAATCTGATTGCTGTAATTTAAGCAATGCGCAATTCCGTTTCTTTTTCTAGGCTACGGCCACATCGCGCCGAAAACGCACTGGGGCAAGGTGGTGACCATTTTTTACGCCATCCTCGGCATCCCATTGATGCTCCTGTGCCTGTCCAATATCGGTGACGTCATGGCCCACTCGTTCCGATTCATATACTGGAAGGTCTGCTGTTACGTTTGCACAAGAAAACCAAAGAGGTCGCATCGAAGGGGACGAAGCGCCCGAGGGGGCACCATAAGACAGCACAGGTACGGAAACGTTCATTATCAAAATATTTTGATTCTTATGCTAATTAGTATTTTGGTTGAAGAATTTGACATTTTGCAGGGACTGAAAAAAATAGGTTTTATCCACGTTGGAAAAGAATGTTGGGAAAAAAGCAGTAAAGGTTTCTTTTCTTGTTCGATCATTTTTTTTTTTTTTTTAATTAAATACTAATTTTTATCAAAATTGTAATCAAGAATTCAAGTTAAAATCTTGTTTCCAGATTGATTTATTTTTGTTTAACAATAAGAAACGCATTTTTTTTTCTTTTACTTGCTGAGAGAAAATTATTTTCAGAAGCTCTGGAGGTGCAAAATCGCGGTCAGCGTCTTTCCGTCGCTCAGCAAGAACGTCGCAGCGCTCGGCGGACAGCGCTCTCGGCCTCTCTGACAGCGTGATGACGCGTTCCTCATACTCAGACAATGAGTTTAGGTGTGTAGCATCAAAAAATATTACTTCTCATCGAATCAAATTCAGCAGCAAATTGTTACGTGAAATTTTGCCTCTCGAAGACGCAATCGGTGAGCGCAGCAGGATGTGAATGAACGTGAGAAAGACAAGGCCGACGGCGTGCGAGTAGGCCTTGTTTGAAATTCAATTGATAAAACTGGAACGGCCGTTAAGAACACAATGAGAAACATAGTAGAGAGCTTTCATTTTATGTTGCGAAGAACCACCAATCAGTCTTAAAAGAATGCAATCGTTGCAAAACAAACTTCGATAAATTAATATCTTTAATAAAATTTAATATTGAAAAAGGATTTTAAATAAGTCCTTAAAATCCTTGAAAGGATTTATTTTGAAAAATTTCAATTAATTAATACTTTTGATTCTCACTTTAAGGAATTTTCACTAGCCCTTGTTATATTGTTAGTTTTTAAATAGTCTTATTTTTTTCTTTTATATTCTTTGCTATTTGACCCGAAGTGAAATAAACTAGGCGATGAGAAAACCGATCGTAAAACCTTAGAAACGCAATAAAATCTGTTCGAAGCTGAGACTCGTTCGCGCCTCCTTTCAACTAAAATATCAGCTTAAGCAAAAAGCAAATCAAAAAACACGGTGAAACAAGAATTTAATTTACTTTCTCGGGTGTGCATATATTTATATATTTTCTATCTTTGTGACCGACAAAGGCCGCGCGTCAGTCAAAACGGCATAATTGAGCCGTCAACGGACTGCTCTGTTTATTTACTGTTTGTTTAAAAAAAGAATTGGAAAGAAAAGCTGACGAATGGGCCAGTGGCCAACATTATTTTCTTATCTCCCGCTCTATTTCAACAGAGACGCTTTATAGTTATATCCTTTCATGTTTTTTTTGCTTTAAATTGTTATATTTTAATTAAAATTTCAGATACGATGATACGGGCATGGAATTAGTGCAGCATCCTCAGAATCTCCAAAAATCTCGCGGGGTGGACGCGACCCTTCAGGTGCAGCAACCCTCCATGATGGCAATGGGACCTCAGCTCAATCAACCTCTGCAGCAAGCCGCGCAAGGTTAGTTGAAGAAATTTTTTTAATCCACACTTTGAGGTGGCAATTAAGATTATCAATTGAATGTTTTGGTGTGGCCTATGTGACGAAGCCACTTCCTCCAATGGATGCAATTTTCGCGTCCTGTTTATTGCTTATCGCCTTTGTTAATGCGTGTCCCAATTCTTAAAAGGGATCAGCGTAGGAAGCGACAAACGTTTGGTTTTCATTTGAGGCTTTTTAATTTGACCAGAAGAATTAACCAGAAGTAAAATACGATTGTAAAATTTAACCGCTAATTAATGATGTATTTATTTTCTTTACATTGGAGTTTAAAAACCAAATAATCCAAGTATTTTTAAAAACAAAACATATTTTCCAATTCAATTTTATTTTAAAATTTGTATGCTGTAAATTTTCCAAATAAATTGGTATGAAAAATGAGAAAATAAAATAAGTGATGATTATTTTTTGACAATAATTTCTTTTAATCGTGAATAATAAAATAAAATAAAAATAGCACTACATAAAATTAAATAATAAATTTGTCTCTTTTACACTTTTTTTATTTATATTTTTACTTCCACAAAAGAAAATATTTTCATAAAAATTTCAACTTTAAATAATTTAATTTTAATTATTTCAGGAGGTCAAAATCCGCCAGTTCTATTTAACCGGTACATTGACGATGCGTCCCAGCAGCAGCAACAGCAAGGGTGGCGAAACAAAGGCAGGCCAGGGGTGGAGTTGGACGCCCTTCCAGCCGGTCGAGGGGACTCGGTGAAGAGCACAGCCTCCCTGCCCAATCCAATACCCTCCCCTACTGGGCCTTTGCCTGGGCCTCCGACGGGACGCTACCAGCGGCAGGGCAGTTCGCGTCTGGGTCGTTTGCGGGAGGACCCTGAGATGATGGACGAGTTCATGTACGTGTACGAGTCCGAGCCGGAAATCGATGACACGCCGTCCAAGCCGGTGCCAATTTGGCTGTGCGTCTTCCTCGTCGTCAGCTACATCTTCGGCGGCGCCTTCCTCTTCGCCGAGTGGGAAAAGTGGGAGTTCCTGGACTCGGCGTACTTCTGCTTCATCACCCTGACGACCATTGGCTTTGGCGACTTTGTACCGGCGCAAAGGAAGGAAAAGGCCGAAATCAGCATCGCCCTGTGTTCGCTGTACTTGTTGTTTGGTATCGCACTTTTGGCCATGAGCTTCAATTTGGTGCAAGAGCAGGTCATCAACTCTGTCAAGTCGGTCGCCAGACGGCTCGGCATCATCAAGGATGAAAATGAAGACGAGGACTGAAGTTCAATTTCAAACATTTTGAAGTGATTTTTTAAGGTGAAAATTTCTGTTAAAATTATATCAGCAAATGATTATTTCTAGATTGTATTCCCCACAATTTTTAACATTTTGTTTCTTATCTTGGAAAATCCATTTCGAAATTTTTTATTAACAACATTAACTGTTGAAATAGTTTTTAAAAAGTTCTAAAACTCCCGTTAGCTGAAATTTATTCTGAATCATTACCCCAAAGAAACTTATTTGCGAAAAAAATTTGCCCTTTAGTTGTCTGTAAATACGATCAATTTAAAATTATATCCGTGGCTTTTCAAGCAAAATTATTGGTTTATTTTATAATAATAATAATGATTTTCATCTCTGACGTTTTTCAATGCATTTTTCAACTTCTCAACAGCATGTCTGTCATTTCTTTTCTACCTCTCAATCAAATTGCAAAACTGTCTAATCGCGGCCTTCCTCTGAAATGTAAATAAAGTGGCGAACTATTGATTCCATCAGCAACTGGTTTTCTTTTATTGACTGGTTTACGCCTCCTCTAACCGGCTTCAACAAGATCAGCATAATCTGCAGATATTATAACAAAGTCAGATCACGCCAGCGAGGAAAATAAATAGGGACGATGAACTAATTCCCCTCCCTTTTTGTAAACAAAGAACACTTTTTAGTGATTTAAAAAATAAAGGCAACCTCTAAACCGTGCGCATTTGTAATTTATATTCATCCCCCGTGGCGAGAACTGGTTCAAGAGCAAAATTTGCATATGCCTGCGCCTAAATCCAGGCCATAAGGGTGGCGGTGTCGAAGCGCGGTAGCAGTGTTTTCGCATCAGCGTCACTCATTATAACCCCTTCCCTCACTAGCCGCGTCTCTTCTATTCTGGAAGTGCGCCGCGATATAAAAAAGGCGCGGACAGAGTTACGAGATTTAGTTTGTATCGCGACCAGGACCAGTTGAAACCTCGCATCCGAAGAGTGTATTTAATTATGAAGAACGCAGCGTGAGTTCATTTTTTGTGGCGATTATTTTTGCATTATGATCAGGCAGACCGCTCTGAGCGGCCATGGATATTCATTTTAATAATACAAAGAAGACGAATTTGACTATCGCTGCGTTTGAAATTGGATTTCATAACTTTGACCTTTGACGCGACAAATTTATCTTTAATGCGTCCGATCACTTTTGCAGGCTGGCTGTGATTTGTTTCTTCTGCGCCATTTCTCTCACATTCGCTTGGGTGAGTCATAGAAATATATTTAACTTTTAATCATGAAATAGTTATTTTATTATATATTTTCCACACATATCTTTTTTAGATATTTAAAAATGTTAGGTCAAAAGTGTCAGTTTGTTATTAATTTGTAAAAAAAAAAAACATAAAATTAGATTTAATTAATCAAAACGGAATGTTCTGGAATATTAATGACACCAAATTAAGCTTTTTATTGATTTTGTCATTCTAAAACCTTATTCATTTTAGAAAAAGCCTGCACCTTTGACCGACCGGGTGGTTGGCGGCGGTGACGACTATTACGGAAAATTCCAAGGGATAAACCGTGATGACCCTTTCCAAACCGACGGCAAGTGGGTGTGCAACCCAAAATACGACCTGGTAGACCGCGGGGACGACATTTGCTGCTATAAATACAACTCTTACGAGGGCAGGTGCTGCACAAAGGCCGACGCTCGTAACTGTTTCCATGTGGGCCACATCTCGCACCACATCCATTGAATCTGTTTTAATTTATTTGCCTTAATATTTATATAAGTTTATACATTATGTTAATCATCTGTGTGGAATTTATAGTCAAAGCTGGTTGAAATTTCAAATAAAAAAATGTGTATTAAATTATATTGAAAACAGTTTTTTAGCATAATTGTACAGTAATACGTGAAAAAATTGAGCATAATACGTTTTAATAATTCAGTATAGTATACATTGTATTTTTTTTTTCAAATTTAAATCGAGAGTTATCAAATTTGTATTAAAAAAAATAAGCGATTTAAACACACGTGAGTGAAAAATGTTTGATATCATTATAACATGTGAATCGTCAGAATGGTAGGCAAAGCTTTTATGGCTTAAAATTTTACTCACATTATTATTTAAAACTTTGAAACAAACAAAAATTGGTATTCTCAAAAAAAAAAAACGTATTGAACACTAATTTGCTCCAACATGTTTAAACAAAACTATATCAAATTGAGCTGAAATTGAGCTTCTAATCGAGAAATCGTTGTTTTTGTGCTTCTCTTCATGCGCGGAAGGAAAAGGCGTCTTGACCAAATCATATTGGCGGGTGTTGTAGCAATGGATCTGTCGGCGCGCAACGTCCGGTAGGACTCCAGCCTGTGCCCGCTCAGAGTCAAGTCTTTTTACAAAATAAAAATGCAAATCAGTCAATGTTGTATTTGAACAGTGATTGATTTTTTTTTTCAAATGCTCAATTAAGAAAATTTTTATAAATGCACAACTAAGAAAATAATTATTTCGCTCTCAGCCCGCAGCGATAAAAGTCATCGCTATCATATGGTACATGCGTTTGAAACTTTTTAACATAAAATCAACAATGGAAAGCTGGTTGCGTTTGACGAGCACAAGCTGGTATTATATCTAGCCTATCCCTATGGCGAGGTGGGTGAAAGTTGCTGGTGAGAAATATAGAGGGTGCATGCATTTATGACTTCTATGCACGGTTTGACTTTTTTTCCGCACGCACTGCGGCGCTTTTAAGAGGTCGCTTTTTTAAATCCTACATGGTCAACTGCATAAAATAATTTCCACAAAACCGTTTGGTTATAATGCGAGCATAAACGTTGAAGAGAAAAATTGTTCAAAAGAGTCGCTCGCGGACGACAGCTGCATGTCGAATCGACCTTGCATTAAACCATCGCATAGTCAACGCATTCATCCAAATGGGCTTTTTCACAACACAATAAAGGTTCCCACTTGGGACTGATACACTTAAAATCTAGAATTTCAGAGAACCGTTCATTTTTCAGTAACCAATAAAATTTTTATCAAAATATGTAAACGTCTTAAATAAAATTTTCATATTTTTTACTCATACATTGCCACTTAAGTAAAATTTATTTATTATTTTTGTTGTGGCAAAAAACTTCGTCAAAAGCAGCTTCGACATGGAATAAAATTTTAAAGAAATTGTCTCCTTTTGTGTTTCAATTAAAATAATTGCTGCCCTGTAAAACTTTTTACATTGTACTAAAAACTTCCGATATTGACAGATTATAATTTTTCTACATCATTGAGCATCCATTGTCATTTACCGTTATTTTGAGTGCTCATAGATTTTGTATGAAATGTACTTAACAATGAAGTACTAATTAATGAGCATTTAGATGCAAGACGTATCCAACCTCCCTGTCTCAAATTAAACTCCGCCCCTGTTCTTAACAAAGAGGTCGCTTTTTCGAACCCTACATTGTCAACTTTATATAATAAATTTTAACAAAAACGTTTGTTAAGAGCGAGCCTAAACGTCGAAGAGAAAAGGTGCAGTTCAAAAGTCACTCGCGGACGACAGCACAGCTGCATGTAGGGTCGACCTTGAATTAGCTTGGCCATCGCAGTCATTCATACAAAAATAGGAAATATTTTTCTCAGCAATGACGCCGATGCACACATTCAACCATGTAAGTGAAACTTTCATTTATTATTTTCAATAATCAATTAAACCCCGAATTTTAGCAAATTATTCAAACGACTAAAATTAAATTATTGCCACTCAGCAAAATTATCATTTTAGTCTTGTCGTAAAAAGAAGCGCAGCTCTCACATTAAGCACAATCTAAAATTTTTGGCTCGACCGCAAATGTCACAATTTCTGTGCTCGCTTTGCAATCTGTCGTCCATAAAGGAAGTGAATCTTGGGCACCATTTTAATTAAATGCAGACGCTTGTTTGTTAGTCACAGGAAATAAAAAAAGCAATCAATAATCCTGCACCAACTTAATAGCGTTAAACAAATAATTAAAACTAAAATAAAATGTTAACTGCTAAATATTAGAAACTACACTATAGGAAAAAATAAAAACATAATATTCTAATAAATATAAATCAAAACCATTTTGTATAAATTTTAAAATTCCTACTGGATAAGATCGGTTTGTATTCATTTCATTATTTTGTTCTATATTCGTCCACATATTATTATTATTATTACTTTTTTTTAACTCAAATCATCAAAGAAAAACGGGATATATTTCTTGTTAAAAAAATATCATTTTTTGTCACGGTCTACAACCCTGTTTACAAGCGCGCTGCTGCCCCTTTTCATTGTTTGAATAATTTTTCTAATACAACAATGTAAGCGCCTTGTATTGGCAAACGTGCAGCACATTTGTTCACACCGAGACCAAAAACTGGGAGGGCCGTTTGCTTTTTAAGAAAAAAAAAAACAATTTCAGAGGGTAAAGCCTCGCTTTATCTCTATATTATGTGAAGAGCCTGCAATTTTTGCAAGTTCGCGACTTTGCTTGGGTGTGAATAAAATGCTAGTCAATTAAAATACTTGCACTTCTGGACGCACTGAGGCGTGACAAGCAGCAAGGAAAATTTCAAAATATATTATGAGAACACTGCTTAGTGCGCAGAAGTTTGCACAGAGTGCACCAGAAGAACCAACGTGCTGAACCCACGCATCGTGTCAGTTTTCAATATTTTTGCAATCTTTTACATGTTTGAATAATTTAGGTAAATTGGCTCTTTTTAAATAATTATCGTGTTGAAACGGTGGCGGATAGAAAGTGCTATTATATTTCTTTTCATTTTAATACAGAAACGCAGGAAATTTGCCTAAACAAACGTAGACTTTTGATTCCAACGCCTGGAGGTTAGACTTCCACCGCAGCCTTCAATTTGCCCGAGAAAATGGAGACCTACTCGCGTGCCCTTAGCTTTTCCCCAAGACGAAGGTGGAATGGCCACTACAAAAAGTATGCAAACTACAGATACGGAATTAAGGTATGTTTTCAATAGATTTTCAAAAAAATTTAAATTCATCAAAGTGCAAAAATAAATATCAAACAATATTCATGAAATATTAGATGACGTTGATGGATGTATCTGTTAATATTTTAATTTTTCTCTGATTAAATTACTTCTCACGATTACGAAAGATATATAAAAATTTAATTCAAATAAATTTTTAATAAACTTATTATATAAAATATTTACAAAAAATTTATCTTACGTAGTCTTGTTTTATTAGTTAGTCATTTTAATTTTATCTCTTTTTAACAGCGATTTCAAAATGAAAATTTCCTGCGATTATATCCTGGGTGCCAACGGAGACCTCAATATGACGCGAGAAACGTTGAGCCGAATATAAAGACCAGAATGAACGAGCTCATTATGATGTGGCTTAAGGAAAATGAACGCCGCTTTCAAATGGATCACGTCAACTCACTTTTCGAAGAATTTAACAACTACTTTATGATGGTGGTCATGGATCCACTGTACCGAGGAACTGTTCCTTTCCACCGTCCACCGCCTCGCAATAGGAAAAGTCTCAGGGAGATTCAGATGAACATGCAATATCTGCTCGGAAGACGAAATTCGAACCACGTCGTGCAATTGCAGCGGTACTTTGGGAGTGGAAAAGATAAAAAAATTCGCTGCTTTGTGACCAACGGCAACTGGCAAATTTTCAACGACGGCGAAAAGGCCGAGTTCGCCAACAACTTCTTGGTCCAGAGGATGAACCCAGTAATCTCGGTTGGGAGCAAAAATTATCCCAACACCTTTAAGGAGTTTATACTTCAGGAAAAAGATATTGTTGATGTGATTATGCATCCCAAGGGCTCACTGAGATGTTCCGGAATGCTGCTGATCACTAAAGAAATGTTGCAGCTCACCGTGGAATCTGTGTCCAAGGTTCTTTTTTGCTTCTACGAAAAAACCTTGCGCGACGGCAGCCTGCCCAAAGATTGGCTCGACACAATGATAGCGCTGAGCCACAAGGGAGATGAGATGGACCGCGTTGAAAACTACCGGCCAATTGGGTTGACCTGTCTCCCATCAAAGGTAATAAAAATCTGTGCAAAAATAAAATTGAAAATATTATTTAAAATAATTAAAATTTCTGATAGTTTAAAAAAATTATTGGCATTGTATTGACATACTTATGTTTTTCACGATATTTCAAGGGTATTTAATTTTATTTTACTATTTAAACAATATATTTCATTTAAAAGCAGATAATAAAAAAAATCAAAATTTTTATTTAAGTTGTAATGAAAATTGTTTTGAAAATAGTGATTATTAAAATTTTTCTTTTGGCAATAAAATGAATTTAATCATAATGAATTTTTCAGATTATGGAAACAATATTGGCCAACTTTTTGCGAGTGGCGGTGGAAAAGAAGCTGAACCCATATCAGCACGGCAACAGGCCCAATTATTCAGTCGAGAGCCAGTTGGTGAGCTCTTTGGAGCACATTCGCTACCGAGTCCATGTGCATGGGCGCGTGGACTGCGTCCGGTTGGACTTCACCAAGGCCGGCGACATGGTGGTCCATTCGATTTTGATTGAAAAACTTCGCAAACTGTGCATTGACCCCACAGTCGTCAAATGGATCGAAGCGTTTTTACGGAACCGGCGTCAGTGCGTCCGAATCGGAAACGCAATCTCCAACTTTCAGGAGGTCACTTCCGGCCTTCCCCAGGGCAGCCCCTTGAGCAACGTCCTGCTCAACATCTACTTGAACGATCTGCACAAAAAGCTGGACAACGATTTTGTCTATCAGTATTGCGACGACACTTTGATCACAAAGATCGTCAAGAAAAGGGCGGACTGCGAAAAACTGCAGGAGGAGCTTTTGGAGCTGGAAAATTGGATGAATGAGAACCACATGACGATCAACGTTAAGAAGTGTCAGGTTATGAACTTCAGGTTCCCCAACCGGACACCAGATTACAAAGAAATCTTTCCGTATCAACTCATGGGCGAGAAGATCGACAACGTCTCCAGCCTGAAGTACTTAGGAGTGTACCTGAGCAACGATTTTTCGTGGGATGCGCACGTTCAGTACCTTTGTGAGAAGAACGAGGAAAAATTTGAACGCGAGATGAAATACTTGAAGCTATGTCACGACGCAAAGAAGCTCTTCTACTACACGAATTTCCTGCGTCCAACGTTGGAGAAGAGCCGCAGCGTCTGGACCGTTCCTCTGGACAGGAAACATTTGGAGCTGATTGAGAAAATGGATATGATGCAGAACAGGGCATTGAAAGATGTGAAAAACGTTGGAAATTTTCCAACTTTAGCTGAAAGAAGTATCATATTTTTGTTGAATTTACTTTTTAAGATTTTTGAAAGGCCCAAGCCTTACTTATCTCTCGTCCAGAAAGCACTGGACATTTGTTGCGAAGAATTCAACTTGGAAGTATTCCACATCGCCATGGCCACCGAGGGGTCAAGGTTGGGTCTGGCCATCAGAGAACTTTTATGGTTCAATCAAGTTTTGAAAATGGAGGGAAATTTAGAATTAAAAGATCTCTTGAAGGAGAAAAATTTAATGGATAATAAACTGGGTGATTACGCCAAAATGCGTTATGAATGTTTCCAGTCTACGATTCAGATTTTTGATAAAGATGCTGCTCTCGAGCTGGTTTCCAAGTGTTTGCACAAACAAATGAGCATTGAAAAAATCAGAGCAAAAATCGCGGAAATTAAATCTCGCTATCAGTTGGATGTTTCTAAAAATAAGCCAAAAGTAAAGGAGTGCGTAGTGGCACTTGTACATCGAGGGTGAACAAAAAATTAGGATTATTTATTTTAAAATTATAAATCGCAAGCACTAACTAGATTGATTATAAAATGAATAATATCATAAGTATTTTGATAAATTTCCCTGTAGCTAGAAAATTCAATGTTATGATAGAGAGAGAAAAGGGATAATTTAGATGAAATTAATATTTTGGTTTATTATGATTGCACAAAAATGTCAATAAAAGCAAGAAATGTTAAAAAAATATAACGATCTTCTAGTTTGATTTCTTAAAATTACTGTTTTGCAGAAAATTCTCAATGGCTCCATGATAAATTTATCAGTTCGCATGAACCGCAGTAGTTACTTAATTGTTTTTTTTCTTGTTAAAAAAATTCATAAATTATTAGAAAATTGACTTATTTCAAATTTACACCTGCAGCTTATGCAACTGGCAGCGCTTATTTGTGTTCCAGGTTGTCTCAGCGCTGAATGCAAGGATGAATATCAAGCGCGAAAAGAAAAATGAAATTTATTTTTTAATTAAAAAAAATAAGGAAACAAAGAAATAATAAAATATTAAAATAAAAGGGAATTAAAAATTCACACTCACTATTATCTGCGGCGAAGGTCCTCTTCCGAAAATCCATTACATAATTTTGCAAGAGGGCCGTCAGAATTTCTGATACAGCTGCGAAAAATCTATCGCCACCACACTGAATTGATTTCTTGAAGTTTGGGGATGCACATAACAAAACTTCACAATTGAAAAGTTGCGAAATAAATCTTCCAACTTCCAATTTTTTTGCTCTTCACACATGACAACCCCCTGATTTCCATGCACTGCTTAAGTATGTAATGACACGGTTAAATTTTGAATGCAAAAACACGATGCATACTTATAAATTAACGTTTAAGTCGGCACTTATATTCATTCAGTTGTCCGCTGATTTCCACTGGTTTTTGTCGACTGAAGTCTCTGGCATCCTCTGTTTCACCCATTCCTTGGCTGCGGGAATTCTTTACATTGTTACCCGCCAATATCTTTCCTGGTATTTACACAAATGAATTTATTAAATGTGTTTCGTGGCTCGTGCGCATGTATTTCAGTTTACATACACATTCTTCATACCAGTATGCACCACCCTCTCTATCTCTCTCCACGGCCTGTTCACTCCTATGCGCAGGTTTGTACCACTGTTCATACTTGTGAACTGGCTGGTCACGTGACCGTTTCATTGGTTGTTATCATTATTTCGTTTTCCAATAGATGGCGCTAGAAGGCGGAAAACGATTGAAAGTACATAAAATAATACCTCATGGGATTGTTTTGATTGATTTGTTATTTATCAAGTTCTAACAAGCTAAATTCTCAGACTGTTCGTAAGTTAAAATAGAATTACTTTGGAGTGGAATTAAAATATAAATCATTAATGATTTATTGTTTTTCAGCTCTAATTGGCTTTTTTTAAATGTAGAAATGTACATAAATATTGCATAATTGTTTTTAGTCGCAGCTACTCGGCTCGGCACTCTCGACAGAATTGAATTACATACTTTTTATTATTTATTGATTCATTTGCAGAATACCGAAAAGTCTCACCCAATTGATTTCAAATTGTACCAGGGATGATTTTGGCTGTATCCAAGAATGATGATGAAGGGAAAAGAAAAATGCCATCGGTGGAAGTTGAAACAGTTAATAAGACGGGAAGATCTCATCTAAACGTTCAAGTTAGGAAGTGCCATTACATTGATTGTGATAGCACTTCATTAAATGGAATTGATCTTAAATGTGCTCCAAAGGCTTCAAGTATAAATAATGCTGAGTGAGTAACATTATTACAAAAATTAATTTTTGAATATTATTAATACTAAGAATTCGATATATTTTTTATAACTATTATTGTATCCATATAATGTGTGTCCGTATTTATGATTTTATTCAGATTTTATTAATTTAGTGAGTTTGCAATTTTCCTTCAATTCAAAATTACATACTAATAAGAGCAATTTTTATAGGCGTAGAAGACAATGGTTGATAAACATGGGCTTGCCTGCTGATGATGAGCGAACAGATATTCGATGTTGTGTCAAACACTTTGACATAAAATTTTTTTACGGAAATGGTAAACTGATCAAAGATGCAGTACCTAAGCCATGGGTAAGAAACTTGAGTATAAGAGATTGCTATGCATTGAAGTTTTATGAAAATAATGTGTAATACTATCAGATGCCAGCTTTACCGACGAGAAATCTAGATCCAGATGTGGAAGATGTCAATCCAATTGGGGAGTCTTTGGATTGTTCAATACGAAAAACATTTGATGCTGTTGACGGTCCATTGCGAGGATTGGTGAATATGGGGAACTCATGCTATATAAATTCACTTTGCCAGGTATATAAAAAAAATAAGAAGTACTTTGTCAATGTATTTCACAGAGGCTACAATTGGCTGCTATTATTTCCATGGTTATTTGTTTTAGGCTTGGTTTGCATGCAGCTGGATTTGGATGCTGCTTAATAATCACAAAGAAGAAAGTTGCCAACTCTTGAAGTCTAAAAGTTGCATTATTTGCTTGCTGAAAGAAGTTGGTCGTGAGGTAACAAAAACTTGTGCTGAGCCTTTCACACCCTTGGACTTGCTTACACAAATTTGGAGTAAGTTAAAAAAGTAACATTTGAACCTTATTGGATTAGACTATTATTCTTATAGGCACAAAAGATTTTGACGAAGGTTTACAGCAGGACTCCATGGAATTGCACAGAATGTTACTCGAAAAGATTGAGTCGTTGGATAAGAAGGGAGTGAGTGAAGTTTTCGAGGGCAAAGAAGTTTTTGAGCGTAAGATTAAAATATATATTTAGAATTACATTGCATCAATATCCTCCAAAACAATATGCAGGTCAATGTTTAGTGTGCGGCAAAACCCGGTATTTAAGTCAGCCCATGTACGACCTTTGCCTACCCATGGCATCTGATTTGAAGGAAGCTCTGCGTATTTACATGAACAGTGACGATAGCTGCGTTCATGAGCCGTATTGCTCACATTGCCACAGAGGAACTCCACAAAAGGAAATAATTTATTTTCAGGAGCTTCCAAAAGTTTTGGTAATTCAACTGAAAAGGTGATTTTGATTCAAATTTTGATGAGCGTTGTGTAACGGGGATTTATTTAATTTATGTTTTTTATTATTTTTTCAATTTATTATTATTTACTCTGTAATTAATTTTGTTTCTGTTTCCAGCAATCCAAATGAAAATGTGCAGACCCATTATGTGACTAACAAAACTGAGAAGAACATAACTTTTATTTTTTCAACTCGTCTTGTTTTTTTTGCAAGCGTTATTTTTATTTGTTATCAGGGAAGTTTTAGAGTTAAAAAAAGAACATTTTACTTTGTGATTTCATTTTGTAGGTACATGGGTGAAGGAATGTTATTGGTGGTGTTGAAAAAGTGATGTCTGTGGTTTTGTGTTGATGTGCCTCATCAGGTGGTGTGTTCATTTCAAAGAATTAATTAATACGGGATCTGGTATGGATTGAATAAGTGATATTATATTCATACTAAATTATTCTCTATTCAACTTCAATAATAAAAATTTAGGTTCAGCAACCAGGCCAACCAGCTTTTGAAAGACTCTGGTGAAATTGTCTTGGACTATGGTTTGACGTTGAAGCAGAGTATCTTTGCGTTAAAAGATGGCCAAATTATAAAAAAAAATGGAACTGAGGAGGTGTCATTTTTTTGCAAAGCCATCATCCATCATGAAGGTGATTTGAGCAAAGGACACTATATTTGTCAAAGTCTAATGCAAGATGGTACGATCAATATTTACAACGATTCGAAAGTAAGCGAAATTCACATATCTTACAATTTTATCAGTACATTTCCCTGCAGGTGTCCTCCTTCACTGTACTGGATGGTGACAGCCAGAAAAGTGACACAGGTTACATATTATTTTATGAGAGAACCACTTCTGATTCTGATACTTCTTTTGAACACTTTCAATCATCATGTAAGAAAAATAATTATGCACAGAAAGCTAATAAAGCATTAAGAAATATGATCTTACATGATTTGTTATGATTATTTTGAAGCTTCGTACAATAATTAATTTTATTTTCAATGTAGGTAATAGAACACCAATGAACAACCCTCGAACCGTCGAGAATCAAAACCTTTCGCCTCAGATGCTGCAGTCATGGACACCATCTTCATCACCAAGGCTACCAGTTAGAAGTTCTCCTCGTACACCACTTCGCCCATTGAACTCGGATTCCAGCTGTGGTCTGATAGGAGAAAACTGTCAGGCTTCACCACAATTTCAGCAAGAAACGCCTTCATCACCCTATCTGCCAGCCAGAGGCCCAAGAACAAGAAAGCTGCAAATTTCTTCGCAAGCAGACAATTATCGATTTTTGAATGATAACTCTGAGCTGGAGCCTGCAACTTCTCCAGGGTCTCCATACAAACCAAGAAAAAAAATTCAGAGACTGAATAGTTCCAGCTTTGGTGGATCTACAGCATACAATCTGCTTCAAGGGTGCCCTTCGTCCAAGAAGAATCTCAAGGCAGAAGTGGTGAAACAATATGTTTTGCCTCATCTGCCTTTAAATCGGTCGAAGCCTTTTGGTCGGAAACCAACAGACGAACAACATAGACAATCATTACCGCAGCATCAACAAACACCATCTCAACAAGAACTACCACCTCCACCACCTACGTACCCACCTCAGACTTTGCCGCAAGTAACCACTACTCTGCAGCAACCACAGCCACCGCATGAACAACAGGTAGCACCGCCATCCGAGAACGATACACCTACGACACCACCACAAGAACAACCTCGTCCAACACCACCTCAACAGCCACAAGTACGACAAATACTACCACCTCCACCACGATCCGGACATGCGTGCCCACCTCGGACTTTGCCGCAAGTAACCGCTACCCTGCAGCAACCACAGCCACCGCATGAACAACAGGTAGCACCGCCATTCGAGAACGATACACCTACGACACCACCACAAGAACAACCTCGTCCAACACCACCTCAACAGCCACAAGTACGACAAATACTACCACCTCCACCACGATCCGGACATGCGTACCCACCTCGGACTTTGCCGCAAGTAACCGCTACCCTGCAGCAACCACAGCCACCACATGAACAACAGGTAGCAGCATCTGAGAACGAGCAAACTCCAACACAACCGCCTCTATCACCGCCTCAACAACCACAAGTAGCATCACCTCAACAAGAATCACCATCACCACCACGTCATGCACAAGAACAGCAACCTCCACGTCAAAAACAACTACCAGCAAATCCATGTAACATAAAAAGATATTAAAAAAAAAAAAAATTACGGAGGACCATACGCTTTATTAAATATTATCTTTTCTTTTTCCAGCCAAGAAAACACTATTTGAAAAGCTTGACAGAAAGAGTTTGATTGCATTTGCAAAGAAGAAGAACAAAGAGGTCAAGAGGTTGAAAAAGATGAGGCTTAAAAGAAAAGCCACCAACCCTGCTTCGAAGGAAGCTGCCATACTCTATTTACGAAAACACCTGCCTACAAAATGCGTCGATTTTATTGATCGACAAATCAAGCTTCAGAAAGTAAGATTTCATATAATAATGATGTTTTAATGAAATAATAACTTAATCTCAATAGGTGAAGCCACAAGGTCGAAGATATGATCGACAAGACCTTATACTCACCATGGGTCTTCAGAAAGGGGGACGAAGAGCAAGAGCGGCTGTCAGTGACATGTTCATTCTTCCATCAAAAAAAACTCTTCTTCGTTTCACGCAAGGGCTAAGCATCGAACCAGGAATAATTGAGCCTATATTGGAGGGTGTTGGAGATTTTACATCAGATTTAGAGGATGAAAGGGACTGTTACGCAGTTCTCTTGTGGGATGAATTATCCATTGATGAGTTTTTGATGTGGTCCTCAAAGTGGAAAAAATTTCAAGGATTTAGCGATTATGGGCCAGGAGAGGAGACCACCAAAGAATTGGCGGATCACGCACTTATTTTTTTCGTTGTTCTGCTCAGAAACAAGAAGGTCAAGGTTGGTTAATTTTTCTTTTTATTTATATTGTTTTTCATTGTGGTTCTAAATTTCAGTTCCCAGTCTCTTACTATTTTTCTACAGGAACCACGCCTTCATCAGTCTTAGCAAATTTGATTGAAAAAAATATTAGGAGGTTGAAAACTTTCGGAGTAAAAATAAAATTTTGCACTTGCGACCAGGCGCCGACAAATTTAAAGGCCCTGGAAATATTGAAGGCTTGCGCAAACAAACCTTATTTTCTAATAGATGGTGAAATATTTCTTTAACTTTATTAAGTGATAAAACAAATACTTTAATTTAGGGGAAGAAATTTGCTGTGGCCCGGATTTCGTGCATATAGGAAAATGTATAGTAAGCATGTTCAGAAAGTATGACCTGGAAATTGGACCTGGACGATATGCCAAAATTAAGCACGTAGAGGAACTTTTAAGTTTAAAAGGCAAGCTCATCGGAACAACATTAGCACCGAAACTAACGGCTGCGCATATTTATGCAAGAGACAAACAGGCCATGAAAGTGAAACTGGCATTCCAGTTGGTCAGCTCCAGTGTTGCGGCTTCTCTCAATACGTTAATTGCGCAAGGTAAGTCAACAATATAGATTAGTTCACAGGGTGGATCTTCAGTTTTTGGAAACAGGTAGATTTTTCCGGCAGAGCCCGCATCACAAAATTTTGATTTCCAGTGTCGTGATTTTTTCCCTGACCTAAAAAACAAGGAAGAGGTCAAAAAAAAAATCCTTTTAATGGTCATATATTAAAAGTAAAAAAATTAAAATGTGTTTTATAAACTTAATATCAAGTATATATTTAATTTCATTATTTTTATTTTTAAATAAAAAGAGCTTATATAATTTACACAATTATCATTTATCTAACTACAATAACTTAAAATACTTCGTAAATAACTGTTAAATAATTAATTGTAATATATTACATGCATCAAAATCATATCACTTAAGAGAATTTTTTTCTTCACAATTTAATAGGTTATCATCTTTTCAAATTTTAATTTAATTTAAAATTTTATAAAAAATGTTATTTAATTTTTTTTTATTAACAAGGATAAAATACCATTTAACTTTCATTAATTGAAAATAAAATGTTATTTTTAATTTCATCATCATTTTATTATTGCAAAATCGATTTTCATGGTCACTGAGGTCAATGACCTTAAGTGAATTGACCTGCATGAGCGTTGCATGGTTCGATAGGTGAGGTCATATAAACACTTTTTTCATTATTACATGTTTTTGCGTATCTCTAACAGAAACAGAGTTATCGCTGTTTGAAAATTAATTTCGTTTGCGGTTCCGTTCTTAGCATTCTCACACACCGCGTACCGCGCCCAAAGTTGATGATAGAGATCTGAGAGTTTCACAACTTAATATCCATTACTTGAAGGGAACATCCCTAAATTTTTATCAAAATATTTTCAAAATAGCGGATTTTACGGGACATTTTGAAAAAACCAAAAACTTCAATTATCTCGGCTTCTCTTGGTCGGAGAACCAACATCCGGGTATGGTTGAACTCGTCTCATTAAATTCTACAACTTTGCTGTTGATTGCAAAATCATAGGTCAAAGGTCAAGGTCACTTCCGATGACCTTGTTTCATTCAAACTGGAATTTGAGCATCAAATGCAAACATTTTTGAAATTCTGAGATGGCCATTCAATTCTTCGTGAAATTTTACATACAATGTGTGAAAATGGCGAAGTGGTTTTTTCTCTAATTTATATTAAAATAAAAAGATTAAAAAACGTGGTTTTTTGGTGCTCGGATCAGCGATTTTTAAGAAAATCGAAAATAGCTCGTTTTCTGTGCGTCTGAGGCAAAAAATGATTATGTTCAAAATTGATCCCCATTAAAAGTTCTATCTAAATATGCAAAGGTCATTGACCTTTTGTAAACTTGGGTCAAAGGTCACCTTGACCCTTGTCCTTCAGTGAAAAGACCCTAATGTGTGATACATGGTTGGAAAGGTTTTATCACTAAAATAACAATGGTCACCATATTTTTGTCTCTGGCTTTATTTTCCACCAATGTAAGCTGATTATTTAATATATAATGAAAGAAAATGCGCTTTTTTCACAATAAAACCATCATAACTAGGTCGAAAATGAAGCCGGAGACAAAAATATGGTGACCATTGGTATCCTAGTGATAAGACTTTTCCAACCATGTATCACACATTAGGGTCTTTTCACTGAAGGATAAGGGTCAAGGTGACCTTTGACCCAAGTTTTCAAAAGGTCAATGACCTTTACATATTTAGATAGAACTTTTAATGGGGATCAATTTTGATCATAATCATTTTTTGCCTCAGACGCACAGAAAACGAGTTATTAAAGTTTTTCTTAAAAATCGCTGATCCGAGCACCAAAAAACCACGTTTTTTATCCTTTTTTTTAAATATAAATTTAAAGAGAAAAAACTACTTCGCCATTTTCACACATTGTATGTAAAATTTCACGAAGAATCGAATGGCTATCTCAGAATTTCAAAAATGTTTGCATTTAATGCTCAAATTCCAGTTTGAATGACACAAGGTCATCGGAAGTGACCTTGACCTTTTACCTAGGATTTTGCTTTCAACGGCAAAGTTGTAGAAAGTGAAAAGAGGAATTCAGCCATACCCGGATTTTTGTTGTGCGATCACGGAAAGCCGAGATACAGCCGTTTGAAATTTTCAAAAACCCAATTTTGAACGTCCCGTAGAACCCGTAAATTTATAGATATTGGGGTAAGACTGGGTAAAACTATATATTTTTGAAAATCTCCTTGCATGGTCTTTCAGGTCCTAAAATTTTGTAAAGATCGCACGACCCTTGCCAACGCATTGTACCTTTCACGAATTTTCGCCGAGCTGTGATATTGATTGAATGCAGAATGTCAAAATTCACTTTTTTTGTCATTACACATTTTGTCGTTTCTGTAACAGAAATAGAGTTATCGCTGGTTGAAAATTAATTTCTATTGCGGGAAACCAATTATTCAGTTTTTATAATATTCAGTTAAAAAGGTAACTTTTCATCAACAATCACACCCAAATCATTCCTGGATCCACCCAAATACAAAATTATTATTAGTGACCTCCGAGGATAGAAACTTCAGAAATTATATTTAATTTATTTTAATTGAAATAGATATCAAATTTTTAAAATTTTAAATAACAATAAAAAAGTATGTTTTAATTTTATTTAAAAGGTAATAAAAAAATTACACTGAAAATTAGTAAATTTAAAATTCAATGTTATTTCGTCTTCAATTATTTGAAATTTTTAATTAATTTTAAATTTTTTTGTAATTGAAATTAAAATTGATGACATTTTAATAAATTATTAAATAGTATATAGTACTTTTCAATTGTTTTCAATATATAAAATACAAGTTATAAAATAATATATTCTATTTTAACAAATAATTAAAATTGGTGTGTGTGTAATTTAAAAAAATTATTCTAATATGAATTAAAAAAATTATATATGATAATTATGACCATGCATTTCGACTATTTCTAGCCAACTTTTTTGTCAAATTGTTTTCCCACACTTCACCCTTAGAACCCTGGCTCACCCTTTGAGGAGTTAATGTTTCTGGCTATCAAATCGAAATGTATATGTCTCCCTTTTAAATAGAATATTTGAGTCCATGGCGATTATAATCAATTAATTTTAATTTCCAAAGTAAAATTTGGTCGTTTCTGCATCTGATATTTTCCATTCGACGATAAAAAAAAATTATTAACAATAATAATAAGGCACGGAATGTTAATTCTCCAGGGGCGAAAATTCACCACGCCGCCTCTGTTACGTGTTCAAGTATTATGATTTTCATGGAATATATATTAGTAACAAAATTTTTGTAGGTCTCCTCCCGTCTGAAGCGTGTCATACCGTAGAATTTATACAATTCATGGACAACTTGGTCGACTCGTTTAATGGAAGCTCGTATTCGCATGCAAAACCTTTGAAAGGCCGGTTAGTATCATCATGATTTTCTAGACGAATTTGATTGAATTTGTCTTTGACAACTGAGCTCATGCATTTGGCTCATTGATCGGAGCCAAGTTAAATAATGTCTTGGAATTATTATTATTAAGCCAGAGAGGTTTAAATAATAGGTATCATAATTTTCAATTTTTTAGGCTGCATGAATCCTCTGCCCACTGGGATTTTTGGAATAAAGCTGAATTATTTGTGGGGAAATGGAAGTTCAGAAAAAAAGATGGGACAACAGTCTGGACGCCATCCATACACTCTCTTGTTTGGCTGATTCGATCAATGAAACTATTTTTTCCGATGATGCGTGCAAGAGGGTTTGAGTTTCTCTTAACAAGAAGAATTCAGCAGGACCCTCTAGAGAATTTCAACGGGGAAATACGAGAGCAATGTGGTAGCGGACATTCCCCCACAGTTTTGACTTTCTGCGCTTGCTTGGTTGGAGCTTTTTTTAACCTTTTAATGTATCTAAAACTCCACAATGAAAAGAAAAATTGTGAGGACGATGGATTAAGCTGCCGTGAGCTGGCACCTTATATTTTTGATGCATTTTTTAGAAAGGTACATTTAAAAAATTAAGAATGAAAAAGTAATGAAATTCTTTCCATAAGGTACAACAAAACCCCACCTTGCCTTTGGAGCCTGAACCATGCGAAGACAGTACATCTGATGAGGAGTCTCAAGATGCGGACGATGAACTCATTGACTTGCAGAGCCAAAGTGATTCGTATTTTGGAGGAGTCGCATTGAAAAAGGTGGACAATGTTTTGCATTGTGCTATGTGCATTGAATCTGCGACATCCAGTGAAACACTGCCCAGCCAGGTCTATACCATGTTTAGAGAGTATCGCGATAATCAGTCCAAACTGCTGTACGTTAGCGACAATTTCGCAAACTTTGTTTGTTCAAAACTGAGGAGAATTAAGTCAGAGCTCCATACTAAACAGAGTATGCCAAAAGATGTATTCAGACATATATATGACAAGGTTTTGAATGATGCTTCATGTGAGTTTGGTTGTTCACGTCATTCTGAACAATTTCTTCAAATATTATTTCAATATATTTTTAAATGTGCAGTGCATTGGTACGCCAAAGAAACTTTGAGGAGTAAAAAGAAGTATTCTAAATATTACATTATTTACTTTTAATTTTTTCAAACGGATACCTGTCTGGAATTAAGAGAATATTTTTAATCATTATTATTTCTATTAAAAAACACTTGCTATGCGGCCATACATACGAAATGTAACCCGTTAATTTATTTTTCCGCGTATGACTGCCAATAAATAATATTTGTTTTGTGCGTTGACCGCTGGAGCAAGACCTTGTTGAGCAAGACCACACATTATTTTTATTGTTGATTTTTACCGCCGCAAAAGTACAATCCACAAGCACGCCTTGATTCTGATTGGATGAGAGCTCGATCGCTGCGCCTCTAGCGGATAAAGTATTGTCAAAGAAATTTAACATTGAGTGTCCCATCTCTATTTACATTGTCTCTGTCTCTCTCTCTGTTAGTCTGTTACTACCCCTGACCCCCCACTTCTCGTTCTCGCTCCCTCGCTGTCGTTGCACGACTTGCCCGTTCTTGTTCTGATGTTCTTTCTTGTTTCGGTTTTCGCTCATTGTAACAGAAACAAGGTCACTGTACTCGAACTGCACAAGAATTTTCATAAATTCGGCAAAAGCGGCGGCGGAAGGCGGATCTACCTCAGCTAATTTTCGTCTTCACAAAGTGTTAACGGTACGTATGCAAAATTTTGAACTCCAAATTCCTATTTTGACCGTTTATTTTATGTGTATTGGGCTAAAATTCAGGACAATTTTGATGCGGCCACGACGAACAATGGGATTTATGTATGTGTGCCTTGTGTTCGCCTTCAATGCCGTTATATTAGAATTTTTCGTCTTTTTTTAAATTATACATGACAGTTTTTATTATTATTATTTTTTTTTAATGAACTCTCTGCCTCCAGATTTCAGTAATATGATGTAAAAACCTATGGATAAAAGAGGTCGGATCAGAATGTAAGCGCAGCAGAGACTATTTACATGGCCAAGGCAACGATAGGCTGCTGAATTCGGAAAGAATCTTTGACAAAAGAATTTTTTGAAAATTTCTTGCTAGTTCACTCACTCAGGTATGTACCAGTAGCTAACACACCATTTCCTTTAAAAATATTATGTTGAAAAGTTCAAGGAAGACTTTTATTGTGATGATGATTCCAAACTCAATGTTATATTTTTTATTATTAATTAGTGTTTTTTTCTAATCATGGTTTATAATTAGCAAAAAATTTGCAATTTATCGTTTGTTTGAAATTTAAAATGTTAATTGTTTTAATTCTCAATTAAACTACTAATTTTTTTAAATTAAATATTGCCTGCTTGATGTGAATAAACCTGTATCATTATTGTAGCTTTTTTTACAGCATTACAATGTCCAAGCCCGTAAAAAATTATCAGTATGTCCTGGCCGACAGAGGAAAGATGAAGGACATTTTACAAGATAAGAAGACTATGTGGAAGAGGGAAATGAAGAAAGTAAAGAACGAGGAAAGTGGTCAACGAATCCAGCAAATCTTTGATGCTCTAGAGGCTACCCTTCTAGATTCAGTTAACATGTCTGTGCCATACAAATACCAACTGTAAGAATTTATGTAATTTCTGTTTTGATTTCAAACAATCAAAATAACACAATATTTCAGTAAGCAGAATAAGAACTTAACTTATTTTTTTTAGACCGAAGGATAAAGTAACTGCGATTAGCCTCGAAGAAAAACAACTTTTCCTGAAAAAGCTGCTTGACGAAAACTTGACGGAAAACTGGAAAACAGCTCTGAACTTCATCAATGATGAAGTGAAAAACCGACAGTTCATCCAATCCATGAAAACTAAATCAGGCAGATTGATGAGAAAACACGAGGAAATTGCCACCTACCTGAATTCGCAATGGACAGCAAAAACTATTGACAGCAGCAAATTAGTGAAAGTGTTGCTGAAACGACCTAAAAAGGTACCAATTTTTCTTAATCAAATATTTTATAATTGCTAATCTTTTCTTTTAGATTGTCGAGTTTGAGCTGAGTCCCTCAATCATTGCCGAGAAAATCGATGACTTGCCTGTCAATAAAAGTCATGGCACCTCTTCCCTTACGAACGAGATGCTCAAACTGGCTCCGGAAATTGTGTCTGAATATCTTTATGACTTGTACAGTATGTGCTTGAAATACAAAAGGTTGCCGGCAGAATGGGTGCACAGCCAGGTCACTCCTGCATTTAAAGACAAGGGAGACAGAGATAACGAAGACAACTACAGACCCATCAGTGTTTCTCCGACCCTCGGAAAGCTTTTTGAGCATATCGTTGCAGACTATCTGAACACCGTGCTCGAAGATCAACACTTTTTCCACCCAAGGTAAATCCTTCTCAAATATATTAAAATCAAAGCTAAAATATTTTGTATTTGTGAACAATTAAATAGGCAACACGGTCATCGAAAAGGGTACAGCAATGAGAGTCAACTTGCCTGCTTCATGGAGGAGCTCTCCATGTTCACCAGAAATGGATCACAAGTCGATTGCATCAAGATTGATTTAAAATCGGCAACAAACTTTGTCAACCACAAGCTGTTGATGAAGCTCATCCTCAATTTGCCTATTGATGAAAAAATTTACAACTACATCAAAGTTTTCTTGAAGAACCATGTGCAAACCGTAAAAGTGGGAAAAGAGATCTCTCCGGCATTGAGACTGATGCAAGGATTGCCGCAAGGAAGTCCTATGACCAACCCTCTGTTTCTGGTGTACATAAATGGAATCTATAAAGCTTTGCGTAACCATTCCCGCATTAGAGGGTTTGGTGATGACATCCTGATGTACCGAGAAATAAAGTGCAAAGACGACCAATACTCTCTGCAAGAGGATATCTACTGTGCTCAAGAATACTTGGATGGTTATGGCTTGGAGGTGTGTATTTATTATACATCATCATATTTAAAGTTTAAAATATTAATTTTACATTTTGACTAGGCCAATCCAAAGAAGATCCAAACCATTACTTTCTTCAATCCCAAGAGGTTCAAGCAATTGAACTACTTGCAACGTGACTATCTAATGTATGGCGTGAAGATTCCTCAAGCCAGCCACATTCAGTATCTCGGACTCACTTTCTCAGAAAATCTCACATTCTTTCAACACATCAATGAGATTTACAACAAGTACAACAACCAGTTTGACAAGTATCTGGAGCTAGTCAAGCTCTGTTGCCCCAACGCCAAAATTCTCCTGTACAAGGCTGTGTTGAGACCGAAGCTAGAAATGCTGTCGTCGATTTGGAATCCAAGATCCAACTATTCACAAGACCATTTGATTGCAAAGCTAGAGAGTCTGCAGCAAAAGTGCGCTGCTTTTTTACTTGGCAAGGAGTTTCACTCTGAAAGGTATTTTACCATTTTGTGTTAAATTGACTTCGTTAAAATTGATTTGATTTGCAGTTGGCATCCTAGTTGGGCAGATAACTTGGAGGCCCTTGCCTTGGAGTCGCTCCATGCTCGTCGCATTTATTTCGGTTTGAAGCTCAGGGAGAAGATCTATTTGAGGGAACCAAGCTTCAAGGAGATGATCCACATTGAGAAAAAGCATGTCAAATGTGGCATTTACGATGAGATGAAGACAGATTACACCTCATTGAACACTACTGGAAAAGCCATGTGGAGGCGCATGGTGCACTACTTTGAAGAAAACCCCTTCCGAGATCTGAGCATAGAAGAGTGTTGCCAACATTGGAAGGACAAGTTCTGCGCCAAGATAGTTGAAAACTATACAGCAAATCGGAGGAAGTCTTTGGAAGAACTGAGAGCTTGCAACTCTGAGGTGATCGCGGAATTGGCCAAGATTCACCCATATGGACTGCACCACTTGCTGTGAGTGAAAAGGATAATTATTTTAATTTTCAATTTCTTCAATTTTTATTGTTACTTACAATTAGAACAAGAGAAAGACAAGTGCTAAATGCAATGCATTTTAACCAACGTTGTTATGTTTTTCTTCTACAATATTGACTTGAATGTCAAATAGAAAACACAGTATTTCTTAAATAAAATACTGCTAAGTTTTTATTTGAGTTCATATCTTGACAATTAAATTAATTGTTTCCATACAAATAAATTTATTGTTCTCCTTTTAAATATAAATTCCTAATTATTGAAAAAATCATAAATATTCCGTTGCCTCTTCATTTTAAAATCTTCTACTTATAATCAAAGCATTTCACCGCCCGCCTGGATAAAAGTTTAGTTGTTTAACCGTTGCTTTCCGCGTGAAATGTCTCATATTTTTTTTGTGATATCCAAGCCCAATAATCACAGACGAGCCTGTGTTAGCTGTGTTCCAATTTAATGGAGTGCCTCGCAAAGTTTATGGCGTAGCGCATTTTTTCATAATTGCACAAGCCGAGAATGAGAAAGGACGTCCGCCTGCCTCTGGCCCACCTGGCCAAACACAAAGGTCAGCGCTAAATAACAGCAGCAGCCTCTGGTATTTTCGCGCCACTGTCGTCAGTGTGAATGACACCGCGTTGAAAATAATTCCTCGCTTGTATTTTTTACTCTACAAACGCCAAAGGAGATTATTATGGGCAATATAAATAATATTGCTGTAAGGTTGGCACTTTTTAGTCGGAAGTTACAAAATATTAATGCTTATTAGGCGAACACGGAAAGTAAATAAATACAATTAATGTCTTCAAGATAACTTTTTATTTTCTTCAGTCAAGATAAAGTGGCAACAAAGCCAGAGGAACATAAATTTAACCAATTTAACTTTGGACTGAATTTTTCAAAAGATTGGAGAGTTGAGCTAATTAAAATTTCATATTCACATCATGACTGAAGATTTTTTGAAGAATTAATAATTTTAATTATGGGCCATTTTTTTCTATCGCATACTTAGCGGAAGGAAGATTAGCCGGACGTATTTTTTTCACATTAATCATCAGGCCTATAATATATGCCTGATCTCTCTCAGCAGTTTTTGATGGTCAAGGTTGTTGGCGACCATCAGGCAAGGCCGCACCTCCGAAAATTCTGCACTCTACTCCAAAGGACAATAAAAGTGACGCACAGGTGATAATTGCTCCGCCAAATACACAGACCCTCACGAAATTTCCTTGTCTCGGATCTCTTCGGCTGAGCAAACATTTCTGTCGAGAGGGTGCTCGAGAGATTTGCACAGCTTCCGAGAATGCATACCACCGCGAACTGACCGTGGCGAGTTTGATGAGTTGCGTAAGCGCTAAAGTGATTTGCAGAGCACCAAATTATTTGCTCTGCAAATAACACTCACCTCGAGACTTTAATTTGATTTATTTAAGGAAATAATTTTTCTGTAAATAACGGAGTTCTCATAAAATGGGCCTGTTACCTAATATGAATGCCAGAGTAATTATATGTTTAATTGCATTTGAAATTAAAAAATGTCAAGTTCAAAAATTTATTAGAAACCAAATAAGTGTACACACCTTTCAAATTTTTATATTTCATTCAATTTAATTGCAAAAAAAACTACACTTTTATTGAAAATAATTTTTTAATTGAATCTAACCAGATAAGTGTGGATAATTTGGTAGCAGTTTATTAAATTTGCTGTAAATGCGACGTCAAATACGTCAACCTTATAATGAAGGCGATTGATGTGCGCCTGCCTAAAACAACATCAATTAATTTTGACGTCATCTCGAAAGAATGCAGTTAACTTTTTCCCTGAAGAGATCCTTCTATGGGAGAAACGTCTACCGCCTAAATGGCTGTAGTTCTTATTATTACTCAACCAGGGCCTTGATTAATGTGCAATTATCGGCGCCAGGAAGGAACCGCTTGGACCTCCCTGTGCAGAAGTACCGCGAACAACAATGACGACAATAATAAGCAGTGACAATCTAACGACACTCCTCTGTTCCTGTAGTGCCGCGAGGACCGCGCGCGCTGCTTATTCGGCTATGTCAAGGGCGGCTTTGGAATGCGATTCAAAATAATAACACTATCTCATTCCGACCACAAACACGCGCATTATCATTAAAGGAGCGCGGTTGGAAAACCTCTAAAGTAGCAAACACTTTCGGAAGTTGGCGGAGCGCCGTGCGAAAAAAAGCAAAGTATAATTAAGGTGTTCGCTCCGCATTGTCCGAGGATTTATCTCTCCGTCAAAGAAATGCGTCAGACTGTATGCATAATGCAAAAGCAGATTATTTTATAATTAAGGTGCTTGCTGAAACAATATTGTTCTGGATAAAATCATAATTAATTTAATAACATTCAAACTAATCAACATTTTGAGATAATTTAAATTATTTTTATGAGCATCTCTTTTTAATTTTAATTTGCACAACTTTGTTTCCTCTTTTATTGTTAATTAATGCTCTTATATTTTGTTTTGTATGTGTTTCTTAACTTCTTTATGGCAATAGAAAATTATATAATTTAATATGTTGTGTAACTCAATTTTGTTACTTTGTTAAATTTTTTTGTTTAAAATTTAGTCTTAGGCCCATTGCAGTGCTGGATGGGTTCTTATTTCAGAAGTTTTATTAAAATTTTGCCTGTGGTAAAATAATTTAATGTTCCTTCGCGAAATTATTTTCTTTTACTTTTAAATCTTTTTTACAAATTTGGAAAAATAAACAAAAATATAAATAATCATAATATTTGACACAGGAAGCACCTATTCAAAGATTGCCGTCAATTTCTCTCCATCAAATTCATTTTAGAGTGAACAAAAAAACTGCAAAACTGCAATTTTTTTCTTGCTTTGTGTAGAAATTCTTCAAATTTGTATTCACTGCACACTTTTTTCTGCCCTACCAATGCTCGGATGAATCACTTTTGAACGCCGTGTTTACACTCCAGATAGAATTTGTGCTCATCACGAAAGGAAAGTAAAACTGGTCTCATTACGGCGATGACATTGTGCTTTTAGCTCTTTTTTAGATCATGAGTGCGCGCAGATGAGTACCATGCACACAATTCTCCTTGCGGTGAATTTTTCTCTCTCCCGTCAATTCATAATCAGCCAAACTTTCTATCGCTCGGCGTCGCCACTTTTTTGCAAAATTAAAAATTCTCGCATCCTTTTTGGCAAAAGAAACGCTCCAATCACTATTCCACTCATATACATACAACATTGCATGTGTGTATTTTTTTCTCATTCACACATTATCTGCGCCGCGTGCATGGGTGGAAATCCCCCAGAAAAAGTGCCAATATCTTTAATCAGCGATGCACGCACTCGCGTCATTCCGAATAAAAAACTGCAATAAACAATCTCGGCGATCTTGCTCAGTTAATAACAATGAGAGAAGAAGAAGAAGTGAATTGCAAATAAGAAGCGCACTGGCGTGACCGTGGCAATTACAATTTAATCGCCTGGCTCTCGCGGAAGAAACAAAGGGTACGAGTAAGACGCAAATTATTTGCACATCTCTTCTTCTTCTTTCTTTTTGAGGAAAAGACTTTACAACCGGCTCGCCTTCGTCGTCTGTCGCAAAAAAAGCTGCGCTGGGAAAAATTTTAACGCCAATTTTCAACGTCTAGCAACTTGCGATTTTGCAATTATAAAGATATTAACTGTGCTTTTAAGAAAGTCCTTGGATGGTAATTGTTTCAAAAATTTCATTGTATGAAAATTCAAGCTCAGCGCAAACTTCAATTTTTGTGAAATTAAACGCGCTGAATAAATTTGCAAACAATAATGGACAGCAGTCAATTTTATTTTCTGCAATCCTTGTTTTAGCTTCTTCAAGGATTTTTAAACAATAACAATTTTAAGAAAAGAAATTTTCCACCTTTTAATGGGTAATAACTTAATTTGTTTCAAAATTCTGATTGAGGAAGCTGTCAAAATTTGATGAATCGATTAAAAGTCAAAAACAAAATGCACATGCGTCATTATTCTCCTTATAATTGCGCAGCTGGTAAAACTAAGTCATTGAAAACAAAAACACGGAACCAGAGAGGTGCACCCTTGATTTTTTTGTTGCTCTCTCGTCATCCTGTGTCGAACAACTTCATTGCTTTTTTTGCGCTTTATTATCAAGATCTTTTAGCATTGGCACAATTATGCTGCTCGAGTTGCACACGCGAGGCGTTTAAAACTTTTTTCCCTGAAAAGTATGGAAGCAGCAGCATCTTGAGCGACGATGAATCGATCCGCTCGTCCTGTGGGTGGTGGTGGTGGTGCGGCGGCCGCCAAGGTTGGATCGTCCTGAGATTATAAAAGGCGGCGGCCGAGCGGACTCAGGCTTAGTCCTGTCCCTCGCCTGCCTACTCTCCGCAATGACGCTCTCCAGAGGTCTACTTGCACTCGTGGCCACCGTGCTGGCCGCCGCGCCAACCACCCTGGCCAAGTCTGTCCAACCAAAGACACTTCGTAAGTATAACAATAAAATTATTTTTCATTTGAAACAAAATTTAAATTTCAGTTTAAACAATTTTTATTTTGGCTAATTTTGTTTTTATGTGTTTCTCCCCATTTCAGCTACTTATTTTAAACTTTGTGAACGCGACTCTGCAAACTTCAGCGAGTGCATAGCAGAATCAGTAAATCTCCTCAGGCCGTATCTTGAAAATGGTAAATTATTTTTTGTAATCAATATGTTATATAACAATCTTTTAATTATTTAATTAACCTTCGATAAAATTGCACTTTGAATTTTTTAATTCCATAAAGTCTTTATTCAATTTAAAAATTCCATTATATCTGAAAATGTTAAATTTTAATTTGGATTAGCAACAGTTTTAAAATCAAGTTTTAATACTTTTAATGGATTTATATTTTTTCATTTTTAAACCAAGATTGACTGTTTTAAGTTGCCAAATAATTTCCAAATTATTATTTTTAAATAATTTGCTCGTAGGAATCCGTCCCTTTAGGATACCGCCGCTGAATCCCCTGAGTCTGGAGGAGGTGAGCATTGACGAGGGCATGGGCCCAGTGTCCATCAACCTCAAGCTGACCAAGCTGAGCGTGGAGGGTGGCCAGAACTACAAAGTTAACTCAGTGAGGTGAGTATTCTGTCGGCGTGGATTTCTCCTGCAAGTTCAAGACCAGCGCCGCCTCGACCGTGACCAAGCAAATATAAATAAACTCGTCAAGATCTTGATGACGACTCGCGCTCACTTTCTTCTGCAGTTCGATTTTTTTGTCCCTTTTTTTCTGCTCGGTTATTAGTTGTGCCCTTCGGCGTGCGGCAATTATTGTTTCTTTATAGCCGTTCACCTGGCGCGCGCGTCCATCGAGAGTGGCGATTGATTGCACCGGTTGCACTCTGACATCAATCCACTATTGCTTTACCCATTGTTTATTCGGCTCGACGTGTCCAGCGTTCAAATGAAATTAATTCATTACACTCAATAGGCACGCCTGTGACACTAAAGAACTCATTTTCCTCCTCCTCCAACAAAAAAAAAAAAAAAAAAAAAAAAACTAGAAAAATGAAATTATATGACTCGAGAGTCGATTAAATAATAAGTAATAAAGACCGGTTAACATTTCTTTCTCGACAGACCGGAGCTGGAAAACCACAAGATCCACTTCAGCATTGACCTGCCTTTGCTGGAGATGCATGGTGATTATGAAATGGACGGACGGGCCCTGGTGCTGCCCATCAGGGGCAAGGGCAAAGCAGACATCAATGTCTGTAAGTTATAGAAATAATTATCTACATTTTTTGTTCGCAATTTTTTTTTATTAAAAAAAAGGAAAATATTATATTTTTCATTCTTTATTGCAACTGCAAAAAATAAAAATGTTATTATTTAAATGTTTAATTCGCTTCAATGTCATGTTTTATTGTGAATTTCTCAGATAACATTTCGCCGAACGCAACCCTGATCGGAAAGCCGGTGTACCGGAATGGCGTCAAGTACATGGAGCTTGAGGACTTCCCCGTTTCCATTGGACCTGCCAAATTGGTCAAGCTGAACTTCGGCAACCTCTTCGGCGGAAACAAACAACTTGGTGAGTCACATGTATACGTTAAAATTGCCGGTGCCGCACGTTAAACAACTCAACCTTCAGACGGGAGCAATTTCAGGAAGAACCCAATCCGCGTCTTATAAATTATATTTTGCGTTGAAAAAAGCTGCTCGGCCGCCGCATTTAACTCGCTGAAACCGGCACTTTGCCTTCCTGTTTCGAGAGGATCATTTCCTTATGGAAATGCCAGTTTAGAAGTATTAATTTTTGGTCGCGAGATCTATGGAGCCGGGGCAATAAGAAGTTGCGGGTCTAATGAGCGGCCAAGGTCGCGACAGAGAGAGATCATTTTGCGTGCAGCGTGCACGGAATCTTGAATCTTGATTTATAATGTGTGAGCGCCGCGCTCCGACTAATTGATGCGAAAATAACAAAAACACACACTGCACGGTGCCTAAATCCAAATCACTTCCTTTGAGTGTTGACATTTTTTTTCTTGGAATTTTGGAAACACAAAGACATAATTTGAGCTTCGAGGCTGTGATTAATTGTAATGAATTATTAAATAATTTCATAATTAACTAAAAAAAAAATGATCAAACATTTTATATTAAAATTTGTCCGTTCTTTATTTAAAAATATATAATTTATTCATCCATTTAATTTTATCGATTGAAAAAAAACTTGCATTCTCTTTACTGCGTTTTCTTGACATGCATTAGACGATTGAGTTCGCGACCTTCTGCCTCCTTTCGTTGCAATTAAATCCCCCGTAAAGTTTGTCAAAGTGAGCTAGGAGGGCACAAACCCAACTCCTATATTAGCCGTGCACGCAGTCGATCGAGAGTGAAAAAGCACCTGAGTTGCATACCAATCAGAATTAACTCATCCAAGGTCGAAAAAATAACACACACACGCTGGAGAGTTTATAATATTATGTGTGAGCTGTAGCTTTTATAAGTAGTGCTATAGCGCACATATATCACTTACATCATGGGTCGCACAAGGCTGTCAAGGGTCTCGTCGCGCGCGCCGTCGAAGAAAAAGAGAATTAAGCCAATCTGATTGCACACAGCCAGCAACACACGCCTTTTCACGCATTGCACTTTCATTAATTAGAAAACTATTTATTACAGGGTTAAAATGAAATTCAGTGCCAAAGCGAGAAGAACTTGAAAAATGATTCTTTGTTAAAAAAAAAAAAAAAAAAAAAAATGCAAATATCAGGAAAAGACAAAAAAATATTCAAGATTCCAAACGAAACTAAAATTTTTATTTTGCAAGTTTTATTTTGAGCGCAATAATTTTACTTTTATTTTTTTATGAACAAAAATATTTTAAAGGTTAGAAATGACGCTTTTGTGTGTTTTTTGTTGCTGAAGGTGACAACATGAACCGCTTCCTGAACGACAACTGGAAAGAGGTGATGGATGAGCTGCGTCCAATCATTGAGAACGTGGTTTCGGCGTTCCTCATTTCGGCCTCGAAAGGGATCTTCCACACGGTGCCCTTCGACTCGCTCTTCCCCGAAACGAAGTCTGACTAAATCGTATACCCACTCGTCACATCTCACAATCACTGATCTTTTTACACATACACATGTATATTTAAAAATATTTAGCATATTTTTATTTATTTCTGCAACTTGGTGTTTTGTTGCACCCGCGGCTTTAAGTGTATTATGGAAAACGAACCCTTCGCATTTATTGTTAGCAAAAAAATGCTAATTATAGAATAGCTATTTTTACGTTTTGTGTGAAAAGGGCCCAAAATCAAGTTTGTCACATTTGAACGTGGCAAAATGATGGGTGCAAGTTCGACGTGCAAAAACCTGTAGGTGATAATGACTACTTATTACTCCTTTTTTTGTAAGAGTGGCGTGTTCTTGGTGGACTCTGCTGTCACTTTGTACTTGTTCTTTAGTTTTGCCCTACGGTGCTGAGCGCCGAGGGAGGTCACCTTCAATAAACATGTTTACTGTCTCTAGAGACAAATAAAATCAATTGTTTTTTTTCTATAATGTTAATATCAAATAATATTTTGTATAATTTAAATTAATCAAAAGCTATGAAGTTTGGCTGATCATCGATTGGTTTTATCGAGTATAGTGGAAAAATCTGAATTTAAATTTAAACTCCATGAATCAACCTCCGATTAAGAAATTCCTCAACATAGTAAAAAAGCACATGAAAGGCTCAAAGGTATATAAATTTTTGTTTTTTCTTTTAAATATTCCCAGGAAAGATAAAAAACATTAAAAATTTAAATTTGACTATTAATGTTAGTCGCAGTTAATAATCCAATTAAATATAAATTCTTTAACACCGAAAGTATAACACTAATAATCCGCTGGATCAAAATTTACAAGACTGATTTTGATATATTTTATAAGAAGTCTTTATTTATCTCTCTATAGAGTTGGGGCTTGAACAAAGGGAAATGAAGCAGCAGTAGCACTCGCGCCCACCGGCCAACAGCGATAATTTGTCGATTTATTATTTTTTCTTTTTTCATTAAGTGCACATGGTATTTCCCGCGGGTGTTAAAACGCTGGACCGATTGATCAATCACTGTGTGTACAATAATTATTTACAAAAAACGGAACTTGTTGAATATTGCGAGAAAAAGACTTGTTGTAGATTGATTGGGTCCAAATTCTGGGAGAGCAGCAGAGTGTCTCTTTTAAAAACGGGAGCATTGGCGGCAACACACTGAAACGAGTCTCGCTCACACTGATGCTAGACTTGCGTGCCGAGGTGAGATCTGTGCAGCCGGGGTCGCGCCCACTCGACAAAGTCGTCGATCAGCACCGGCCACGCGCCCTCCTCATCATAGTTTGTCATGTCGTCGCTGATCATGCCGGCGAAATCCAGCAGCAGGTACCATGTGTCCTTCGGGATGCTCCGCTTATGGTGCTCCTAAAATTTTAATTTAAAAAATAAATTAATTTTACAAACAGTGAATGTTGAATACTTATTTGTAATCATTTGTAATATTTGCATAAAGTTGAAACCAACATTTTTGTTTTCAATATTTTCAAATTAACAATTCTTAACACAAGTCATGAATCAATCTAAAAATGATTGATTTATGTTAATTATAATTCAAGGCAAATTGAACTGTTTTTCGTAGCAAAAATTAACAACTCCAATGCCCCATAAAAAAGCGAACATTGATTAAATTCAGCCTCACTGGTGAACCTAATTGGAATTTTAAGTGTAAATAATATTGATTTATTTATGTTTTTATAGAATTTGAAAATCTAATAATATTATATCAAAATTTTCAATAGAAGTGTCATGAAAAAGTCATTAAAAAGAATTTTACAAGGGTTATAAAAAAAATAACATACCTGAAGGAACTGACACCAGATGTCTAAGAACTTAAATCTCCCTCTGAGCACAATGTTCCAGTAAGCGATGGCCATGTCTAGGTCCAGACCCTTCTGGCCAGGGTTTTTTGCATAGTTAAAGGTGAAATGGTAGAGCTCCTTGAACTGATTTGGATCCCTGATGTCCTGCTCCAGGGTCGGAAGGCGCATCTTTAACTTTTCCATGGTGTCACAACTAATAAGTAAATGAAAAAAAAACTGATAAGAATTTTGGAAAAATTTAAATCCGAATTGTGATTAAGAGAAGATTCCGAATCTCGAACTGTTTATTTTAATAAATTCAATGTACCCGAGATCACTCAAGCCAGTGACAAACTCCTCCCTTGTGAATTCACACTGGACGGCTGCTTTGCATTTCCATGCAATAATGAGCACTTTGATTGAATCAGGGGAGAGACAGAGGTCATTGAGGAACCTTTCGACACCTTCCGCCGTGATCTTGTCAGGCTCGGCGGGATCTGTAATTTGAAACCATGGTAATTTACTCAACAGACCTTAGCTCAATGACAACGTTATGCAAATGAGTCACAAGGTATAAAATTAATGAAATGTGCTGAAGCACAATTGAATTCCTTAGAAGAGTAAAATAAATTTTTTTTTATTTAAAACTATAGAAAAGGTCGAAATAAACTCTTAAAAAAATTATTCACCTCTGTAGAATAGAAAGATCTGCTCAATTTTCCTCCTGTCTGTGTTGATTTTTGGTTCTTTGCAGTAGTATTCAGGATTTTGGAAGTAGTTGTCCGAAGCCTGAGCCAACTTCCAGTCGTTGTGGGTGAGACAGTAGATGGCCGTGCTTTCACCAGCCTGCGTGAACGACATGAATTTGCGCACTTTGTCGCGCTGCGAGCTCTTCAGCTTGTGCTGGAAATGCAAAAATTAATTTAATTTCAATCGAGTGGAGGCGAAAAGCAGCTGCCGAGATGAAAGAAAATTAGGCCATCGGGACGGCCGAGTCTCTCGGCGCGGGACACACACCATTTTGGCTGCTCGTGCCGCGCACTCAGGGTCGCTCCTTGGCCCAGGGCTCGGATCAAAACTGCAGGACCAACATTCGGCCTCTTGCCACGCGATTCGGCGCGTCTTCCCTTTGCTGTTTGTGGCGATTTCGGCGACAGATGCGACCCGAACCAAACTGCTGGTCTTTTCGATGCTCGGCTGTCTGCTTTATCTGCTGCTGGAAAAATGTGACGTCACGAGTTGGTTTGAATTTACGCGGCACTAGAGCGCGCAAAGCCTATTTTTCGTTTTTAACGTTTTTAAAAGTGGAGCGCCACGCATTCTTCTACTCTGCAAAAGCAATATTTACAAGAAATGAAAGCAAATTAATACAGCTGCAAATTTTTTATATAAATTATAAACATAAACAATTCGAGTAAATTGAATAATAGTAAAAATGGCTAACGTAAATTTCATTGCTGTGATGATCCATGGACAGAATTTAATAAAAAAATTAAAGTTTTATTTTAGTTTTTATTTCATTTTTATGTTTTTACTTCACAGAAAAGGACATCATATTATTAATATTGGTTTAATATATTTACATTGATCTCAAAAAATATTATTCTTATGATCCCTTCTTTTACTGACAATTTTTTTTACAAAAGACTATATTTCCTTTGAGAACTCAAAGCAAGGCGCCAGGAAATTATGTAAACGCCACATTCAAAAGCATTTTTTTGTTGTGGCTAATATTGGAAGATTAGTTATTTTATTCAAAATTATTTATCCACTTTGGTAAAACTTTTTAAAGGCAAAAAGTCATCATTTTTTAAATGATGATAGCATATAAAGCTATATCAAAAAGAAATATTCTTGCGTCCGTTAATCGTCACCAAATCAAATTAAAAGTCAGAGTTTTTTTTAGCTAGATGCCACTTTTCTGGTAATTGTTGCAGTCGGTGATTTGCTGGTTGCTCTGGTTGTTTGGTGTCGGTGCTGCAGGAGGCAACATAGGCCCGTTTGGAGACTTGCTCCGGTGTCGGTTTTTTTCCTTCTGTGACGTCAGTGACGCCTTCAGGTTAGAGTTTGGCGAAAGGTTGTTTTGGGCGACGGTAACAGTGGTGACGTTATTGTGAGGATCAGTTGGAATCACGCCGTTTTGTGACGACGGTACAGTTGCCAAAAGACCTGTTGAATTAATGCAAAACATTTTTAATCATTTTTGAATACTTTAAGAAAATATTGTCTTTAAAAATATTGATTTGAATTATTGATTCTTACAAAAATTTTACCAACCTGCTCCTCTGTATTTCGACAGTTGCTGATAGACCTGCTTCATCCTTTCCATATTGATCCTGGAGGCCACTGCGTGATTCACCATAGGCACTGCGTAGTCCTTTCCAATAATGCATTTTGCCGCACGTTGTACAGCTTCCGGAGCGTTCCACGGCTCGTGAATGTATTTTGTTGGAAAGTTCTTCAAAACTGGCAAATACCTCCTTAAAAATCAATGAAATTATTTAATATTTAATTTTTTAATTAATTAATAATAGTTCATGGATTTTATACAATTTAAAATATTTTAATTAATACCTTATGTAATCTCCATTAGGGTCTGCCTTGCGGCCAAATCGCACAGGGCAGTAACAATGGAAAAACTGTTGGAAAAATGAGGAGCAGGAAAGCCACATCCACATGCCCCCATTCACAGACCAGTCAGCATCAAGCAGAAGCTCCTCAAAAACCTGCAATTTAAATATAATTTTTATCCATTTTAAGAGATTCGTCTAAACTCTTACCTTCATTCCTTCCTCCCAGGAAATCCAAAGATCACCTCTAGTCAAGAAGCAGGCGACTGCGTGCCGAGCGAGGTGGTGAATCCAGCCCTCCTCCCTCAGCTGCGTCATGATGGCGTCGATCCAGGGAAATCCCGTTTGGCCCTTGAGAGGAAGCAAAATTGGTATTTGATTCAATTTCCGATTCTCCTTGATAAACTCACATTTGCCCACTTGGCCAGGGCCTCTGGGTTTTTATCCCACGGGATCTGCACGCAAATAGGATTTCCAGCCATTTTATCAAAGTTAGGGTTCTTTGTGGCGGCGCAGTAGAAAAACTCGCGCCACAACAGCTGCCCATGCAAGGACAGTGGGGGAGCAGCCTTTTTGATCTATTCACGTGAAAATTAAATTGTAAAATTTTTCCTTTTAATTAAAAGTGTTGAAATTTAACCTTTTTATAGAGATCCGTTAGCTGATAGTAGAAAAGTCTTGTAGAGAGGCAGCCAAACCTCAGGTAAGGGCTCAAGCCCGTTTGGCTTGCCAGTAGGGACTGCGGGGTCATTTTTGGCCTGCCAAAAGAGGCCACCCACGCCTTGCGCTCCAAATGGCGCTCAAGTCGAGCTAGTGCTTCCGACTCACCGCCTCTCCACACGGGGGGCAGCAATCCTTCTGTGTCAAAACCTGCAATTCCAGATGGGAAAATTAAAACGTTAATTGATTTTTGAAAATTATTATTTTTAATCACACCAAACATCAGACTATGTTATTAAATTTGAAAGAGATAAATTATAGCAAAAAATGTTCATATTTAGGGCTTTTTTCATATATTTTTTCAAGAATTATTACAATCAATTTTTGCAAACAATAAATTTGAATAAGTTAATTTCTTTTAAGTGAATTTAGCATCTAAATCATGAGAAAATTAAATAACTAAAGGTTTAATGTTGTTGAACATATAAAATGGAAAAAAATATACAGAGAAATAATATTAATAAGTTAAATAAGAGCAATTACATTAAACAAAGTAAAAATTTTAATAAAAATACAATATTTTATTTATTAATTTTAATTATTTTTTATTTTACTACATCATAAGTTAAAAATAAATAATAGTAGATTTATAACATTCAAGAAAGTAGGGATATTAATTGCTGATTAATTGTAAGTCAAATAAAATAAAAATTTACAAAGAAAATTTAAATTCAAAATATTAAAAAATAGTTATTTTTAAAACTTGCTATATACACATGCAATTATATTAAATATAAATTAAATTATTGTTCTATTTCACTAACCTAATTCCTCCAACGAAGGCACGCCGTACTTGTCGTCATGCTCTTCTGTGAGGGGCGTCCAGCAACCGCGCAGATTCTCCAAAGTGACCATTGGTTCGGGCTGCGGTGGCGCGTCCATGGAGGCCACCACGTTCTGAAACTGGTGGTACGTCAGTGGAGGTTTGCCGCCGTTCTTCTCCAAAATCCTGCGAAGCCAAGATTTGCAAAAAATGCCAATGATATAGCAAAAAGACGTTTCCTAATCAATTCGCAGCCGCCAACGGGAGCGCTTACTTTTCCAAGTCGTACAGGGTGTGCGATGTGCGTGAGTTGACGGTGAGTCCAAGCTCCTTGCACAGGGTCATGATGTTTTGGTCCCTGACGCGGCCAAACGGCTCGGGGTCCTCCTCGAAGGTCAAACATGTTGTGCCCCATTCCTGAATTACATAGGGGAAAAAATTAGAAAAATTAAACGTGACTGCTGTTGTTCGATGGGAGCATCGTTAAAAAAGGTTGCAATTATACAAATTTGGATCACATGTCGCAGTGCCTGTTACGCTTGACCATCAGAATTTGTTAGGCTTTATTATTGATTTTTGGCTCTCAACGCGCTGGAGCAGGAATAAAAATTTTCTTGATGATATTAATATTTATATATATTTTTTTTAAATTAAATAATCATAGAAAAATGTACAATGTTATTCAAATATACGGCAATTTTCCAACAAAATTTAATCAAGATACCTTTTAATGTAAAAAAATTTAATAAACATAAATAAGCAAAATATTAATTGCTCTCTGGTATTATTGCTTTAATGTTTTTCCATTTTCATGAGACTTAAGAAATTGATTGAAAAAACAAAACCTACACCAGCAGATATAATCTTTTCACAATAACGAAACAAATGCCTTAATCTAAAGTGTTTCTCAAAACTTTGCATCACCCATTGGTTAATTTTGATCTCATTGTTGTCTGAATCTGAAGTCTCCAAGATACAAAAAATAAAAAGCGGTTTGTAAATTGCAAGTAGTACAAACGCTTTAGCCGCTCACAAAAAAGATATAAGGAGGAATATTTTTACTGGTTTTTCATACCTTGAAAAGTTTTGGCAAGGCGTCAGCAGGTTGTCCTCGAATGACAAAGAGCCGCGAGTTCAGTTTGCGCAAGCTGCGATCCAGGTCCTCGAGGCATTGCAGCAGAAACCTGAAATTCGTGCCCGCGTGCGTGATTAACATTTGTAATCGTTAATCCCTATTTACAGCTTTGCTGTCCAATAAAAAACACTAATAAATACAACTTATACAACAAAGTGATGTTGTTGCCAATTGGCAGCTATATTATTATGTTGTATACTTAATGAAAAATTGCAATTCAAAGAACGAACATCATTATGCAGCCTCGTGATTCTGATAAAATTATTGAAAGGATTTGAATATAAAAGTTATAAAACAGCGTAGAAATCCATAGTATTATAAGCTATTAAGTATAATATTAAAAAACAAAAATCAATATTTTTATGTTTCTGTTCAACGATATTCACTTGATTTGATTAAAACTTTTCTCGAAGATAAAAAAAGTGGACCCATAGTTTAAAGTTAAATTTTATGTGTTGTAAGAAGTGCGATTTATTTAATATAATTTTATATTTATGATGTTTCAAAAGTCATACACAGAGTGTTTTAATAAATAAATTTATAAATCATGTATTTTAATGTGTAAAATTATATGCCCTTAGCATAATGGGGAATGTATAAAGATAAATAACATAATATATTAACACATTTTTTACTATATTAAAATAAAAATAAATATTTTAAAAGGGTCGTGCATAAGAATAGAATAATTCAAAAGTGTTTTCATTTTTATAATGTTGCATAAGAGTAAAAAAAAAAATACATTTTTATCTGCGTAAACAAACAAAGTTATATCACATTTTTGCAATTAAATGTAAAATAATTGGGCAGTCGCCAAAACTAGTCACCCATTCACAATTTACATAACTTGCAAAAGTGCGCGCGTCGCTGTTGGCTCCATTTTGCTGGTGTCAAATATATAGATAAAAAATTCGACAAGCCGCGGGGAGGTGCTGAAGCAATATGACACTTAAAAGTGTTTTGGTTAAGCTTAAAAAAAAATAGTCCAAATAGTCTGTATATCAAAAATTGCAGATGAGGTTATTTAAAATCAATATCAATGTAAAATGCAAGCTTTCACTTAAAAATAAATTGTCTTTTATAAAAATTCAGAAGAGATTTAAATAAAAAATTGTTGAAATTCATTTACCAGCTGAGCTACTTTTAACGAGGTTATAAACCTGATTTAAATTTGTCATGAAATCCACTTAGAGTAATCTAAATTAAATTGAAAATAACCTATATAAATACGCAAAAATCCAATTCAACAAAAAAAATAATAAAATTACTTGAAAAAAGGTAAAAATTCGTGTGAAATGTTAACTGCGCATTAAATTTTGGCAACGCGCAAACAAAAACAAGAAGTTAAATAGCGCCGTGTGTAAAAAAAACACACCCACCGCGCACTCGGCACGTAATTATTAAGGACTGACCTCCACTTGTTGATGCCGACGTTGGACGAGCCTGCGAACCAGGGGTCGAGGATGAAGACGCACCTGAAGGTCGTGGCCCCTTTGAGGCCTTCGAGGAGGCTGGGGTTGTCGTGCAGACGCAGTCCCTTGCGGAACCAATGCACCGTGTGCTTGTCTGCCTGCGGGGACACTCTGCTCGCTTCGCTCATCCTTCGGCGGTGCTAGTCATTTTTTTTTGTCTTCTGCCAAATCCTTCGGCCGCCCAATAATATAAATTTCTTTGATTCCGACGCCTCAAGTTAGGTTCCGTGCGCTTCGGCCGACCAGTTCGTCTCGCCTGTGCCTTGCTGAGGCCCACACCGCAGGCAACGTGACCCGCGCTCCGCTGACGTCGCGCCCGTCTCGATTGGTCCAGCCTGGTCACATGGTCGCGGCAGTCACGTTGCGAGGAGCAAGACGCGTGCACCCGTCCGCTCACGTGTCCGTCGCCCTACCACACGCCGATCGATTCAAGTAGTGAATTCATCCGCCACCGCAGGCTTCCTCCCTCCGACACCCCTTTTATTTTTCGCAATTTTTTTCCCTCAAATTTTTGGTAATTGATAAAAGAGAGCAGTTATTAAACGCAGACAACGGACACGCGCCGCTTTTGGGTGCGTTTTCGCACTTTATTCGAAGCTAATCGGCGGAACAGGGAAATGACGCAAATTATCATTTTGCCACATTCGGGAATGGAATTTATTTCGCATTGTGAATGTACGTGTGAATAAATGAGCCAGAAATTCACGTGGCCAATGTTTTGTCCTAAATTGATTTGCAAAATCGTAAATATTGCGTGAAAATCTACTATAACGTTTTTTTTTTAATTTCATTCGATTTTCAATTAGTACATAGAACAACAAAATTTTATTAGATTCGATCAATAATCATTTTTATAAATATATTAATAAATTTATTTTAAATCTTAAGATGTGCTTTAAATTTATGTTATTTTGTTTCAAATAGGAATTTTTTTCCAATAATCACTGAACTAGAGGGCAATGACAATGACAAAATAATAACAATAGCAACAATAGTAATAATAGGCAACCTGTCAATGTCAAGCGAGGGTAGGCATACTGCTTTGCATTCTAGTCATGCTTGTTGCATATATAAATACGAGTCATTCCATTTCCGTTACCGGCAAGACTTTCATAAGAATTTAGATGCGATAAATTTTTATGTACGTCAAGCTTGGATTATCTACAATTTTGATGGATTTTTTTCATCTCAGGCATCTTATTCATTAATAATGGAATCCTATCTGGAGGATCCCTTCCTATCGACAGTGAATAAGAGATTAGAAATTCCGTTCATAAATTGAATTGAAGCGTGTCCGTTTTTATATAAGTGCTAACCAATGAATTTTATTCATCGGAGTATGTGCGTCATCCTCATATGATTTTAAGTGAGCTTCTTGACAGTCAGTAGCTCTCTTGGAAACATTATATTTGAAAGTTAAATCTGCGCCGATCAAGCCACTGCTGCATGAATAATAATGAATGGGCGAATAAATGAATCCTTAGTATGGTGACGCTTTATTGACCTGCGACTTGTTGAATTAGTTAAAATAAATCTTGGAATTTCTAGTTATGGATGTGTATTGATTATATTCTTTTGAATTTTTTTCTGGGAATTTGCAAAATAAAATCACTAGATATCGCTCTATTAAAAAGGGCGGAACGGCGGAAGGGAAAATAGAGGTGGCGAATGAAATTTGTTGACAAGATGAATCTCAACATTTTTCTTACAAAAATATTTTACTGATTAAAAAAATAGAAGATAATATTTCTAAATAGGACAATAGGAGATTATTCTTCTTTACTGCGAAAGTGACACAATTAAACCTTGTTGGCTCATTTTCTTTTATATTATTTTGACGAAGTTATTCAAATATAAAATTGGTTGATTTTTATCAAATCTTGAAAACTTATTGATTTGTTCGTCTCCATTTAGTATTAGGGCGTTAGAAATGTTGAATTGTCACAGAAAACTGGTTATTCATTTCCTAACGTGAGTTCATGCAGTTGACATAAGCATAAATGTTAATTTCCATTGACGCCGGCACCGGAGCGCGTCATCCAGCATATATTATCACTTTTAATTAATAAAAAAATCATATATTTATAACACAAATAGATGTCAATATTGCTCTAGCGGATGGTGTGGAATAATTATTTTATTCCTCTCTTAATTTGTTTGTTTTGACTGTGGCTGTGTCATCGGAGAACTTCATTGTTTTTTTTTATTATTATTATTCAATTAATTTTCGGCTTACAATTAAATTCATTTTTTAAGGGCTTTCTTTTTAATTATTTTTTTTTTAATTTCTGGCAATTGTTTTAAGTTGAATTCTTACAAATAAATCTTGCATTTATTTTAAATTTAAAGTAGCTTTAAATTTACAAATAATTAGTATAAATTCAATTGGAATTAGCTTGTAAAATTCATGGGATTCTATTTCGATACAAGGGAATTTATAAAGGCATTTTAGAATTCAACTGCAGATTCACAGAACTTTCTAGATGCATCTAGAAAGTTCTCAATGTAAATCAAATGGGTGGGTGGGTTTTGCACGACCCTCCCAGGGCTGCTACCCGCGCTATAAAAGGCGCTCCGTCCGCTGGCTCGATGCAGAAGGCTGACAGACCTCAGAGAAATCCGAGGTAAAGCTCCGACACTCGAGCCAGCTGACGGAGAGCATTCAACCCTTTGCTCTTTGTTCGCAGGACACCTGGACTTCCAGTGCAGTTTCGGACACCCGTCCGAACCCTTCGCACTCGTCCGAGCCGTCCCAAGGCCCCGACCGCTGTCTCGTCCCGACGCTGTCTCGTCCGAGGACAGCCGGAAGGCCGACCGCGTCCCGAGCCCCTCGAGCGGCACGCCTGTGTCCATCGTACTGTCCGGGGTGTGGCCGAGCCGTCCGAAGCCGTACGGAGCAGTTTTGCCAGGTAAGAGAAATTACAATTGTTTCTCCCTGAGGCCTTCTTTTGGCCAAAAGGTCAAACCACTACGTGAGACGGAAGTACAGCCGAGTGACCCATTGTTTTTGTCCCCAGCTCCTTCCTGTCCGAGGAATCGGGCGCCGACGTGGCACGTCGCCAGCGAGCGCTCGGACGAAGGCGTCCGAACGTCCGCCGCCAGAGACCCGCACGCCGTGGGCCCCGGCCGCGCCGAGAGCCGCCGCCGACCTGCAGGGAGCCGTCCGGGTTCCCAGCAAGGACGTTTCCAGGGCAGCCAGCCGGCCTACCCAGGGAACACCGCTCCCATTTGTTTATTTTCCAAGAGACATTATACGGACAATTTCGAGCCAGTGAATTTACCCTATCCAGCCAGAATTGTTGTGAATACAATAAAGCCCGTGTGTAAGCCAACTTACATTGTTTTAAACAATTACAAATTAATCATAATAATTTACACAATAGAAATTACTGAACAATTACCCATTAATAATTTATTAAGCAATTAAATAATCAGTCAGTATAATCATATGCAAACCCCTTACTTGCAACTTCTTATTATCATTTTGGTTTGCAATAAACTAAATTTGTAATACCAATTGGCGATCCTGGCACTCCTGGGGATTATACTGACAAACAAAATAAACAATTAAATTACAATTTACACAATTTTTACAACTTTATTTTGTTAAAATACAATGGCAGACAAAGAACAACTGTCTCCTTTATTTTTAAATCAAATTCATTTTGAACCCCTGGCTTGTGAGCAGACAACAACGGGGTGTGACCCTGGAGGGTGTGACCCTGGAAAGACTCTACAGCCGTACAAGTCGGACGACAACGATCCAATTGCACAAATTTCCCTCCCAGTTCAACAACAACAAACACTTCTTTCTTGCCAATACCAGCAGTACACTCAGGTGGATGTCCTGCACCCTCAGGAGCACCTCCTCCCCTTGGACGGCGCATCACAGGTTGGCCAACTGCTGCCTGAACACCCAGTGTCCCACATCAATCACGACGAGGCGCCAAAACCAGACGTACTCACAGAGGGACCTGAAAGAAAAACTGGTCAGCAAATATTTTATGACAGATTATACAAACAAACAGAAAACAGGGCAACATCACTACACACTACACAATTGTCCAACCAGACACAAAATGGGCAATATTTTCGACCCAAGTTGGACTTGACGTTAATCCCTGTATTCTCTGGAGATAAAACAATGCTGGAGGATTTTCTCGTCAGCCTCGCTGGATTTTTCACCTACCAACAACTGCAGCCAAATGACGTGTGGTGGTTGTTACTTTTCCGCACTTCTGGACGAGCAAGAGAGTTTGTTAAGCATCTTGACGAGGCCACCATCGGCAGCTTCTCAGCCCTCCAGAAAGCGTTTCAAAACGAATTTGAGCCGCCAGTAAGCACCCTGCAATTGCACAGAAAATTTGTAAAAGCCTGTCAGCTTGAGGGGGAAAGTTCAGAGGAATTTTACCTACGATTGAGAGGGCTGGCAGACAAATTGTGGCACCAGGAGCAACTAATTGTTGGATTAAGTTTAAAACAAAACTTTGAGGTCAGAGAAGAGGAGTTTCTGCGCATTTTCATCCATGGCCTACGAGTCGACTTTTATTGGCAGGTGTACATCCGGCAGCCAAAATCAATTCTTGAGGCACGCAAAATCGCCATTCTCGTTGAAGAAACTGCCAAACACATTAAAGATAGATTAAATGAAGACTTCCAGCAGGAAAATAGGCAAACTCACCAACACTGTTTCCCTCAACAACAAAATTTTCCTCCACTTGCTGCCTTCAGAAGCCACCCTCAAATGAACCAACGCTGGCCAGGGCCATTTCCCGCTGCTTCGAGTCCGCAATACTCATCGGCAGTTCCTCCACTCTCCAGTCCGTTTTCCTCCCAACAATGGCTGCCAGCCATTCCACCTGGTGCAGTGCTTCCACCGTCAAATTTCCATGAACAGACAGAATCAAGTTCATCCAAAGCACCTTCTAACCTGAGGGGGAACGAAGAAAATGTGAATGAAAATAGTGCAACTTTTTCAGAAAATTTATTTACCAGCAACTCCACCTCTCACGCTCCATGTCCATTCTCACCTCCGTCAAACCAAAAGGTTATTGTCCATACCCACCGACCATCCGCCAGCAACGACCACGTCCCTTCTGCGACTCGTAAAGAGAAACGTCGACGGAAAAGAAGATTCAAGCGACGACAACAAAGGGCTTCTAAAGCGATCTTGCCGTGTCGCACAGCGTCCAACAAAATTTGCGAAGGCAAAATTTCTGCAAATGAAGAGAAAATCTTGAGTGCATTGAGCCGGTTAATACTGCCAAAACTTACCCCACCTGCTGACCACATCGCCCAGCGTGCATTTACTCGCCGACGGCGCCGCCGACAACCGACAGATAAGGCCGAATTTGCCATTAAAACTCCCACACAAAAAACCACAACGAGTGCGGCAAATAAACAACGTGGGCCAGCTGTTATCTGTGGCGGCCAAAAAGTCAATGAACTTTTCGCAAGAGGGGGAAGAAAAATCAGCAGGAGAGAGATGAGAGTGGCGCCACAACCAAGTTCGCCATCAAGCCAGGAGAGGGAGAAGGAAAAATCAGCACACAAAGAACCAAGACCTCGCCCTCGCCGCATGCGAAAAACAACAACAACAAGGCCGGATTCACGCGTGATTATGGTGCCCACGACGTTTTTCCTTGAGGACAGCGCCAGCTCAGGATCTGGACAGTCTACGTGCAGTACGTCGTCCTGGCAATCGTCCTGGAGATCATCCAGTCACAGCTGACCACAGCCGCCAGTCAAAAGAGGGGGATTTGGTGTGGAATAATTATTTTATTCCTCTCTTAATTTGTTTGTTTTGACTGTGGCTGTGTCATCGGAGAACTTCATTGTTTTTTTTTATTATTATTATTCAATTAATTTTCGGCTTACAATTAAATTCATTTTTTAAGGGCTTTCTTTTTAATTATTTTTTTTTTAATTTCTGGCAATTGTTTTAAGTTGAATTCTTACAAATAAATCTTGCATTTATTTTAAATTTAAAGTAGCTTTAAATTTACAAATAATTAGTATAAATTCAATTGGAATTAGCTTGTAAAATTCATGGGATTCTATTTCGATACAAGGGAATTTATAAAGGCATTTTAGAATTCAACTGCAGATTCACAGAACTTTCTAGATGCATCTAGAAAGTTCTCAATGTAAATCAAATGGGTGGGTGGGTTTTGCACGACCCTCCCAGGGCTGCTACCCGCGCTATAAAAGGCGCTCCGTCCGCTGGCTCGATGCAGAAGGCTGACAGACCTCAGAGAAATCCGAGGTAAAGCTCCGACACTCGAGCCAGCTGACGGAGAGCATTCAACCCTTTGCTCTTTGTTCGCAGGACACCTGGACTTCCAGTGCAGTTTCGGACACCCGTCCGAACCCTTCGCACTCGTCCGAGCCGTCCCAAGGCCCCGACCGCTGTCTCGTCCCGACGCTGTCTCGTCCGAGGACAGCCGGAAGGCCGACCGCGTCCCGAGCCCCTCGAGCGGCACGCCTGTGTCCATCGTACTGTCCGGGGTGTGGCCGAGCCGTCCGAAGCCGTACGGAGCAGTTTTGCCAGGTAAGAGAAATTACAATTGTTTCTCCCTGAGGCCTTCTTTTGGCCAAAAGGTCAAACCACTACGTGAGACGGAAGTACAGCCGAGTGACCCATTGTTTTTGTCCCCAGCTCCTTCCTGTCCGAGGAATCGGGCGCCGACGTGGCACGTCGCCAGCGAGCGCTCGGACGAAGGCGTCCGAACGTCCGCCGCCAGAGACCCGCACGCCGTGGGCCCCGGCCGCGCCGAGAGCCGCCGCCGACCTGCAGGGAGCCGTCCGGGTTCCCAGCAAGGACGTTTCCAGGGCAGCCAGCCGGCCTACCCAGGGAACACCGCTCCCATTTGTTTATTTTCCAAGAGACATTATACGGACAATTTCGAGCCAGTGAATTTACCCTATCCAGCCAGAATTGTTGTGAATACAATAAAGCCCGTGTGTAAGCCAACTTACATTGTTTTAAACAATTACAAATTAATCATAATAATTTACACAATAGAAATTACTGAACAATTACCCATTAATAATTTATTAAGCAATTAAATAATCAGTCAGTATAATCATATGCAAACCCCTTACTTGCAACTTCTTATTATCATTTTGGTTTGCAATAAACTAAATTTGTAATACCACGGAGATAACGACACAGTTACATAATGCACTGATTAAAAGATCATAAGAATTTTCTCAACACGTATTCGCAAAGATTTTAAATATTTAATTTTAGAACTAAATATTTCTAGCAGAAATTTATATCTTTTTCTCGCCAAATTGAAATTTATTCCTTCAGGATGAAATGATTTATGAATTAAACAATAAAATGATATATCTCACCTGCTCAGTAGCCAGATCTTGGGTGAGCAACCATGTGTTTCATAAATTTTAAACCGCAGTCTTTCACTTCTCTCACTTAAATTCCATCACGTCCTATCATAAAGTTCCACACGCAACGAAGACAGAAAAATTCATGTATAGCAATCAAAATTATGATTTCTTTTCACTGTGAACAGAAACCGTTGCAAGTCCCCTTATTTATAGAAAACAATAATGAATGAGAAGAGTGTTGTCAAAAACGAGCCAGTAGGCAGTGTTGTGTGGAAAGAGGCGGCTAGCGAGCGAGAAACGTGCGAAATGACGCAAGCAACACACAAAGGCTGCCTGATGACGGTCCATGGACCAAGCCAGTTCCCTCTTGCGGCAGATCGCGTTGTCGAAGTCCCAAACAAGATGTTGACTGTATTTAGCAATAATTATTATCTCAAGTCTTTTCACGATTATCAATAATTTTCCAGCCGAGGCAAAATTAAAAACAAATCATCTTAATGTGTCATTCTCCAATAAAAAGAGATTTTTTCTTGATATTGATTTTGTCCAGATTTTTACAATCAAAATAGTATAGATGAGTTGCGAGTTTTGAATAAAATGATAAATCGTTGTTGCTCGCAACTCTAGTTTCAGGTTAAAATCTGGTAATTAGATAAAAAATTAAGAAATGCAACACTCACACTAACGTGGGTCTGAGAAAACAGAGAGCTTCAGATTGTGTTAAACCAAATGTTTATTTTAATAATTTTGGAACAGAGCTTCAAATTCGAGACGGGTACAGCATCTGAAACAAAAACATCACCAAATAAATTAACGGTCCAAAAATAACAATCAATATAAATAATTATAAAAATTTATAGTACCATTGAGACTTTGTTTATGTTTATAATAACATTTTATTAAAGGAATGACGTTTTCAACTCTGGAATTAAATTGATATTTCCTTGAAGTGAAAGAAGCATGAAGTATTTAAGTGAAAAGAGGCAAGGTTCCTGTCGCTGCAGGAATGCCCCGACTTTTTTCTTCCTAAGTTCTGATTTTTAGTTAGTAATACAATTCACTGTCATTCATTAACAAAATATACAGAAAGTCTGCCATGGCATCTTAAGTCTCATGATAAGTTCAGCTTCCAGCTTATATCAGTCATAAGAGTAACTTAAAGTGGCAGTTGAAATGATTCTTAATATATTGTCGCAGATTATTGTCTTTCCAATTCTCCATAAGAAACAACGATAGACAGGTGAAGCTCCACTCGGAGATCGGACAATTTTCAACAACAGTGAGAATATAGGCAAAAAATTGTGTATAGGAATGAAGTAAAAATTAGCTATTTATATGTCACTCCGTGACTTCAGTGTAGAGTTTAGTGTTAGACACAGAAAAATTTCCAATTACGGTCAGAAGTTTTGCCTATTTTGGTTTATTTAAAGGAACTAAGTTTCAATGATGAGCATAACACCTGAATGCATTTGAGAAAAATTCCATAAAAATTTGGAAGTTTATCATGGTTTAAAATTAAAATAATTTAGGCCCTCTCCGAATTGACTTTAACCGTGTTACATGAGAAACTAAATAAAATAAAAATTTGAAATCTTCATTTGATTTACAAGAGATGGAAAAATTAATAAATGAAATCTAGAGTTGATGAATAAAATTCAATAGTATGTAATAATAATTATATAAGTTCCAGAAACTTGAAAGAAATCACACAAGTCAATTATTTCAACTCTTAATTGACTTATTCGTAGATTTTGAATAATTTGAGAAATCAATACTTACAATGCGAATGCGATGTCCAATAGCCTTAGCAGGAAGGTTGCGTCTGAATTTTGCCCTGACACTGCCACTGCAGCCATGTGGTCTGGTCACCTTTCCCCAAATAGCGCGCACCTTGCTCTTTTTGTTTGAGTTAGGTACCCTCGTCTTCCTCTTGGCCTATTGAAATATTACTTATTAAAATGCAGTTCAGCAGTTAATAAAAAAAATATTCATTCCACTAAAATAAAGACAAAGTGTCCAAATTTCTCTAATTGCACACATGTTTACCTTGTAGACGAAGACGCACTTCTTGCCAACATAGAACTGAGTTTCCTGTTGGTTTTTGCACCCCTCAAGCTTGAGCAGAGCAGTGTTTTCGTGCTGGTTCCTCAGGCCGCGCTTGTAACCTGTGAAGACAGCCTTGGCGTACAGACGGCCGTGCCTCTTGAGCGGCCTCCTCGCAACCTTCTTGGGTGCTTCGCTGGTAGCTGGGGCTGCAGCAGGGGCAGGGGCGGCCTTCTTCTTCTCTTTAGGCGCCTTCGGCTTGGTCGGCTTCTTTTCTGTGTCTGCCATTCTGCTGAAATTGGGACCCAAATTAAAATCGTAAACAAACACTTCAAAGACACAATCAAGGAAAGTCAGAACCGAAATTAAGACGAATCCTTCGGTACATTAACAAATTACCGCGGATTTGTGATATTTCTGCATTTTTGGGTAAAAAATTAAGCTGAAATGCTGAACCTGTTTGTTAATAAGCATGCCAGACTGTCAATACACGTAGCTACACATGGCCCTTGACATTTTTATCCAGAGTCATCCGGCTCAAAATGAAAAAAGTTAGCCAAGAAAAGTGAATAATAATGCAGGAAATATATTCAACTATCAATTTTAATGTGTTGTTAATTCGTAATTAACGTAAATTGCACGGAAAATAGAAAATTTAAAATTACTTACTCGTTTTTCTAAGCAGGCGGCAGTAAAAACAGAGGGGGTGGAGCTTCACTCGCGAGCTTTCTGAGGGTCGGAAACGCCTGAGCGCAGCCAAGCGCAGCCGAAAAGGCGGCGGCGAGATGGTTCGAATTTCAAAAGTGGCGTTTGGCGCGAAAGCGGTATGCTCGGCTACACTGATATTGTAGATAATTACGATAAATGCAATAAAAACAATAAGCGAGAGACTAAGAAAATTAAGAAATTTTCCGCAAACGAAGAATTTTTTTTTTATAAAATGGAAGTTTCATATCATATTATTATACAATTATCGATAATTATCATAATTATACAATAAAAAAAAACGCTGTGACCCGGAACTAGTACATAAGTAAGTAATATTGGAATATATGATAATTTTATTAATTTTCCTAAACAGTTTTTTGTTTATAGATATATTTGGCACGTCCTCAGAAAATCTTCAATGCAACTAAAAAAAAAAAAAAAAAAAAAAAAAAAAAAAAAAAAAAAATGATCGCCTTCAATTTATCAACTGTCGCAAGAAAACATTGAAAACATTAATGAGTTAATGAGTTAACAAAATTGCGAGGAAGCGTGTGACGAGATTTTTCACTGTACCGTTTCCAGAAGAGTGTAACTTTGTCACTCTTACCAAGTTCTTGGACAGTTAGTCTGTGCGTGATGAAATCGCAAACATGCATTATGAAATAAGTCTTGCTTTAATTAATTCTTCCCAAAAAGCATTGGAACCCAAGTTTTCCTCCGAAATTTGCCAAGCAAAAAAACAAAAAAAAAAAAAAAAAAAAAAACTCTACTCGCTAGCAATTTTATTTTTCGTGATAATTATCTTTTTCTGAAAGTGCAGACTGAAACAAATTTTGTTTGTGTGGACGTGTGTGTGTATGTGTTTTTTTTTTTAAATCTTAACTTGTATTTGTTGGATCAATATGTATTTTTTTTTTTTTTTTTTTTTTTTTTTTTTAATTTGTTCATTCTCTCTGGAGGGCTTGAGTGGATAAAGTGAGCCAGCAAAGAATGAAACAGTGAAATTTTTCAAGAGCCGAAACGCATGAACTAATTTGAAATTAACATAAATTATGATCTTTGTGTTATAAAAATACAAAGTTTTAATAGAATAAAAATGAATGCAGAAATCAAGTTTTAAATCGGAATTAATTTTTTTACGAGGGCTTCTGATCTGAAAGCTACAATTTATTAGCCAGAAAAAAAACATGATTTTATTTATAATAAATTTAATTTTAATTTTAAATATGCGTCGCATATTCTTGCTTTGCGCAGAATTCTCGAATGGCGACAAGAGCGCTTCGGGTTTTATGCTTTTTAACGCATGAACTTGACCGATGCAGTATCGACAGAAAATAGGGATTGAAAGCGGGCGCAGACAGGAGAGAACGAGAAATGACTTGCACCGCATCGTTTGATGGTCGCCCGCCGTCGCCATTCTGTCTGCCCGATTTCTGCATTTTTTTCACACTTTTTTTTCACTCTCCCCCCCCCCCCCCACGTCCTCCTCCGCCGGCAACATTCCACAGACATACATGCATAATCACCAATATCACCAACACCATTGCCAAAAGAGATTCCACAGCGTCGACACCGTGTGTGTTGGTATCTCTTTTTATTCTTTGCTGTAATTTTTCTGCAATTTTCCTTTCATTCCGGCGTCCTCTGCCCTTAATAGGACTTCAGCTCGCCCGATTCACGATTTTGTGTGAAAAATCCTATGAAAAAAATAGGACACATCATCTGAAGGACAATGAGTCGGCCGCAGCAGCCATCAAACAAAAGTATAAGAATTTATTTTTATTCAGCAATCTTATTTCACCAAATATTTCTTGTCTCTCATGCATTATGCATTATTTTTACTGAATTCGTTGCATTTATTTTAGGAAAGCGGAAAAGGTGCAACGCTGTGCCTGCCCCTGCTGCAAACAGGGAGAATGCGCTGCTCATTAGAAACCCGCTTCGATCATTTCTGAAGTTGCCCGAGCCGTACGCCGGATACTTTGACACCATTTGGAAGTTGGGGCTCAATGGCAACAACAGGAGGGACAACAACTATGTCAGCATCAACGAGTACCGAGACATGCAGGTCTCGGTAGTCACGTAAGTGTGCATTTGCTTTGAATTAACATAAAATACCTTCATTTATGATTTTACTTTTTGCAGAGACATGTTGGCGCAGCTCTTTGGGTCCAACGTTGGCGTCTATTCGAAAAGCGCCATGGACGAGCAGGTCGCCACAATCCGCATCCCAGGAGTCAAGATCTTCTCCATTTTTGCTTTGGGAATGTTAAAAGTTGTTAGATTGACTGCCGACAGACTGGAAAGTACGTTTAACTGCAATTTTTGGCAATTATAAAATAAATTTTGTTTTTCATCTTAGAAGACTCGGCCCGCTTTTTGGACAGTCTTAACAAAGCAATGAGGATCAAAGAAGTGTAGGTTTAAATAAAAAAATTTAAATTGGTGTTTTAAAATCGTCTCTAAAAAGGCCCAGAAAAACGTTTTCCGAGTTTCAAGAAATGGCTTCCACGGCTGCCAGAGACCAACGTCGGTGGGAGGAGGATTTTAGAAAGAGGATTGCAGTTAGAGAAAGAGGTTTTTACTTCTTGTTTTTTTTTCTTAAATAAAACTTACGCATCTCAATTTTCTTCCGTTTTAGATACCAGCATCACTCTGACTGAAACAGTGAATTTGATATTACCTTCACAGGATGATTCATTTGTTTCAGATGATGTGAGTATTTTCCTCATTTCAATCAAAAGAGAAATTAAAATTTGTAAAAATTACTTTTTGGAAATTACACCAATTTATTTATTTATTTATATTGAGCGAAAGAGCCAAATTGAATTTTATTAGTTTTAATTTCACAGCATCGACAGAACTGTTGCATAGTTGATTTACATTTATTTTTTATTAAATGTCTTCGTTAAATATATCTTAATCATGTATTGTGTGATCACAGCCTATCGAAGATCAACCACCAAAAGAACCTGAAACTATAATCCCTGTGATTTTTGATCCAATTCATGTGGTGCAGGAAATACCAATCAACCCACCACATGTCAGCACTACTGACAATGATGTTGCTATTAGGACTCCTCCTGATACCACTCAACCCAACAAACGAAGAACAAATGTATCAACTGATAAGTGGGTTATCTTCCAATTAATTTTATAATAAGATTATTTATTGAAAGTAGTAATAAATGTGTATCATATTTTTTTAATAGCGGATCAAGGAAGAAAAAGGCAGGTGTTGGGGTGTGTTTAAAGTAATTCAAAAAACATTAGAGAATCTCATTTTTTTAACTCTCCTCAGGCGTCTCCTCAGCCAATTAGTCCTCAGACGTCTCCTCAGCCAATTCTTCCTCAGACGTCTCCTCAGCCAATTCTTCCTCAGATGTCTCCTCAGCCAATATATCCTCAGCCAATTCTTCCTCAGCCGTCTCCTCAGACGTCACCTCAGTCAATTCGTCCTCAGCTGTCTCATCAGCCAATTCTTCCTCAGATGTCTCCTCAGCCAATACATCCTCAGCCGTCTCCTCAGACGTCTCCTCAGTCAATTCGTACTCAGCCGTCTCATCAGCCAATTCTTCCTCAGCCGTCTCCTCGCCCCATTTCTCAATCATCTCTTAGTCTGATTCATCGTCCCACCCCTGAACCATCTCCTCGCCCATCTCCGCAGAAGAGGCGTTCAAAAATTGTGCCTGCTTTTAAAACAAGGGATGCTAGGAGAGCCATATTGGATGCTCGAGAGGTATCAAGCCAAAAACAAAGCAATTGTTTTATCTTAAAACATCTCATTTTCAGGAATACGAGCTCTTTCAAAGTGGCTTCGCTACCATGAGAAGATCACGACGGCGCAGACAGCCTAAAAAGATGAATCCTCTTCTGCTCCCTTTCAATGATTCTGACGGACCTAAACAAAGAAGGCAAGCCAAGAAGAAGGCTCTGGCTGACTTTGCTGAGGTAAGTTTAAAATTTATATTTTTATTTTTTTAAACTTAAATATAATCTTAAATTTGCAGGCCATAAGAAACAGACCAGCGTCAGTCATTACTGAAAGGCCTGAATTCAGAGTCAGAACTCCTCAGCAAACTCGAAGGTCGAAACAGAGAAAGAGCAGGAGACGACGTCCTCCACCGATGCCGACACCGCCTGTTCCGCAGCCTGGACCAAATTCTCAACTGCCTGACATTCCTGATACTATTGACGAGCAGCAGGTGCTACCTGGACCTGAGCCACCTTTGCCTGGGCCGCAAGAAGATCTGCCAGCGCCTCCTGAACCTGAACCTGAGCCACCTTTGCCTGGGCCACATGAAGATATGCCAGCGCCTCCTGAACCTGAGCGGCTGCATAAGCCTAATCCTGATCCGCCAGTGTCTCCTGAGCCTCCTCCTCCATCACCATTCAACGAGGACATCATCAGGGATCTGCAGTTCACTCCGATGAGCAAGCACAGCATCATGTTCAAATTGTCGCAATTGCATGCTGGTGCTGGCAGTGAAAGCAACAAGCGAATCTCCTTCAAACATCTGGCCCCGGTGGACAGCATGAGCAGAAAGATCGCTGCGCTAGCCTTTGCTCAGTTGCTTGGTACGGTTGTTATTTTTTGCCACACCGATAGGTGAGAGTTTTTTAATATTCATATTTTTTTTCCAGAAATGTCCAAAATGGCTTACATTAAGCTGAACCGGCCCCATGCCTATGGTGATATAAAAATTACTCTGACTCCCACATTCGACCATGACATCGAGAGGCCAGAATTTGATAATGTCATTCAACCAAATGAATGAAACTTCAACCAAGATACATTGGCGAATATGTCACTTCGACTCCGGCCAAACTTTTGCAGGTTGTATTAAAACTAATTTAGTATTCCTACTAAATTTCATGAAACAACTTCGTACAAAACTGTTTTCCTTAAAATAATTATTTATGGAGGTCAGTCTGACAGTATTTTGTATTTGGCTACTTTTTGATTTGGTGTGTTATTTTTAGTTTATGTAAAGCCACAAATTTAAAACTATATGTTATTAAACATAGACAAATAAATAAATTTTCCAAGAAGAGATACATAACTAAAAAACCGGGCTTCTTTTATCATTTTAAAATTATGTATGTACAAAAAAATAGCCCGTTTTTCTTCATCTCTACTCTTATTCTTATATAATCATCATTATTTTTTTTCTATGATAATTATCCAAAGCTGAAGTGTATTTAGCATTTTGCATGTAATTTAAACAAATTAAATTCTCAGAAATCTCTATAAACGCGTAAAAATTCATACTTTAATTGCTCATTTTTTATTGTTTCATAGCTTATTAGACCACATTAAAAGCTAGATTCAATATATATCATCAAAAATTTCAGAAGGAATCTAATTAAGTTTTTGGAAATGTCAAATATATGAATAAAATTTAAGATGCATAATAAGAGAGTAAAAAGACATAAATTCATTAAACCTCAGTTTTAATTTTCTTTTCAGAAAATTTTGTAATCATCAGTATGGTTTTATTTTATGAATATTTAATCTTCATACCGTAAATTTTATATTGAAAAATATTGATTACTCTAAAATTTATTAATGAAATTACAATATTACATACATCAATAGTGTAAATCTTTAATTTTTATATTTTTAAATGGATTAAAAAATATCCAATTAAAAAAATTATCATTAAATTTATTGCAATTAACATTTATCAAGCCACCATTTGAAAATTAAAAATTTTCATAATTAAAAATATTTAAATTTCCAGGTTCCTCAAAGAGCCAGTCTTGTTAACACTCTTCCCACTTTTCATCGCAAAAGGAAAAACGCATATCACCATTGGCAATTCTCGAATCCTCTTTTATCATTGTCAGTTGGTTTTTGCGACATGAGAGCGGCCAAGCCCTCTCCCCTCATCGCGAACAAGGGTAGCTGCTGACCCGAATGCATGTCGTTATATAATAGTTCGCGGGGCAAACACCGCTCCCTCGTCGCTCCGCCTAACCGTTCGCCAACAACCCTCAGGCTAGTGCGGGGGTGGTTCGAGAGATGGCGGCGGGACGCGCGAGGCACCGCGGCTAAGATCCACCCACACCGTTCGCCGGAGAGAGAGAACCATCCCTTCCTCCACTCGCTGCCACTCCAGCTTCTCCAAATGAAAGGTAACCTCCTAACCTGGTGAGCTCGGAGTCAAAGCAGCCGCCATAAAAATCAGCCCTAAAATGTTATGGATAAAAAATATCTGTCCCCTCCGAACAGTTTATCCTAAACGGGTGTTAAATGTCCAAAGGGTGGCTTTGCCAAAGGGCAACAGGTGCCACATTCATATTGGAAATATATCCGAAAATTCAGGTTGACCCAAATTCCACAAGGGATATAAATAGTCGAATAGAGGAAAATTTGCTTCACGTCCCTAGACGACCTTAGGGGATGGCCAGCGGTGGGATTAGCCCATTTTTGCATGATCCCTACCAACAACAACCGAACCGACGGCGCACAGCTGAGTGAGAGAGAGAACGTAGTGGAGAGAGAAAGAGAGAGACCGCGCTTCACACAGTCCTCCCCCGATCGATGCAGCTAACTCGAATGTTCTCCTCAGCCCTTGCGTACAGGGATAGGCAAAATTAATGGCTCTTTTACCTTACCCTCGAAACATAAATAAAAATCCTAACCTTTTATTTGCTCGAAATTACTTATTGACCATCCCTTGAAAAAAACGGCCCGGCGCAGTATTATCTTTTGTAAGGGTGGCTCGCAATTTAACATTTCAACGTATTTCTACAGCAGCGCGTTATAAGGGCGCTCGAAAACATTATACTGGAACCTGCTCGCCGGTGAGCAAAAGTCTCTCTCATCCTCCCTCTCTCTTTCCGAGGGCCATGTGCCTCCCTTTCTACGCCCAGCATGCATCCTATATGCAACCACCTATACAAATTGTGATATTAATTGTGTCCGTGACCTGGTTATTTTATTGCACATTGCTCTTCAGCTTTTGACCACCGCCTATATCGCGAGCTGCAAAAACTTGTACATGTGCCTGGCACACTTTTCACCCACACCGGCGATAAATGTATGCAACCAGCCGTGCACCGAGCCTCTCGCGACAGCCAACACAGCACTCGAAAATGTGCAGCACGTGGAATGATTTTGCGACGTTGTTTTAACGATCATACCCAGCAAGGTCAAAATTTAGTTAGGAAATAAATATTCAATGATTATTTTTAGTTAACCCAGCGCATTGATTCCAATTTCCAATTAATTATACAATTGAGAAATTCGCAGTGCAGTTTGATGCAAGGTGTGATTTAAGAATGATTATTTAATTTCAAAATAAACACATTGCTATTTAAATTTAGTCCGATTATATTAAAACATAATTATTATATCGCACCTTTTCCCTATATTTCAAAATATAGGAAAAATAAAAAAAACCTATTTAAAAAATTTATTGTTTATTTTTATACGTATTATATTTCTAAATGCCATCGTATTTAATATAAGTTAAAAGCTCTTTTAGTCTCCTTCTATTTGCTTGGTGACAAATGCAGCATGTCGGCAAAAAAAATGGAACAGGTCAAAATGCTCTCTGCATTATTCCTTTCTCTCTCTCTCGGTGTGCTGTGAAAGGAACACTCGAAAGATTTAATTCTTGCCTCGATCCCATTGTTCAGCAGTTTAAATGCACAATTTTTTATGTGTGCCCGAACGTCAACTTGAGAGCACCGGTGCGGGAGCAATTTTTCATTTGACCCAAAAGCTGTCGGTGTTTATTTCTACCCGCCTTTTAAATTCCAGCTGCTCTTTTGAACGAGCCAGCAGCGATGAGCATCGACTGAATGAGAATAGTTTTTATCCTTTTTAAGCGGCATCTTTTTCTTTTCCTCGCGCAAAAAAAAAGAAGAAAAAACAGTAGGCGGCTAAGTAGAGAGGGAGAGAACGATTCTCGAACAAGTGCAGCTCTCCCGCGGCAGACGCAGAGGATTTAAAGCTTTAAAAAGGCCTAAGGTAATGTGGAATAAATGAGAAGGGAATTGGTGCATAAACAGCGACTGCTGAAGCGCCTCTATTTCTCTCGCCGTGCTCTCAGCTCGTCTGCTCGCTGAATAAATTTTGCGACAAATTAAAAGAAAACAAAAGCATTGCGCCAGCCCAATTAATAAAGATTTGGCACACTCACCACTCAAAGGCCTGAGAATTCCTTTTTTTTACTACTTCAAAAATTTGTTGAAAGTTGCGATCAAATTAAAAAAAAAATAATAACAATAATAGTTGAGGAGCATGCACGGATAAATTTATTTCTCTTCTAAATTTTGAAGGTATTTTTAAGCTGATACTAAATTGTTAAATAATTATAGAGAGTTTTGAAAGTAAATTAAAGTAATGGGCCGTTCACTTTTTATTTTTAATACTTAATTTAAAATTAATTTTAGAATACGAATTAATTTTTTTGAGCGATTTAAAAATTTGCAGTAAGATTTTAGGCAATTCTATTTGTTTTCAAAAAAAATTTCACCCGATTAGATTTAATTGTGTTTAACAATTTTCTTTGACGACCGATAAATCAAATTAAATTTAAATATATGATTCATTAAAAAAGTAAAACTGGAAATTATACCAATTTTTGATAAGCTTTTACCCTCCTGCTACGATAAATTTTTTATTTTCCATTGGATAGTCACATATATTTTTTAAAAATAGAAAATAATTTTATGTTAGAAGTACATCAAGAAGCTGAAAAACAGAAACCACCGTTTGAAATTTAATTAAATTGAATTCTTCTTCAAGTTTTAACCCTTGTATACTATTCTATCGTCCCAAATGGAAACCAAAATAATGAAGTGAATGTCAGGACAAAATTAACGATCCCCTTCTTCAATCCAGAGGTTGTTCTTGGCAGTCACTCTCGTCTGCTGCTCTCTATGTCGTCGAGCGATCGGCGACGGGCGGGTGTGTGTGTGTAATTTATCCGTGCGCGTCGCCAAATCAGTTGGCCATTAGTGGCGTGGCGAGAGAGTGCTGCGATGTATGCAGCCTGCACGACACATGTGTTCAACAAAAAGCCTACTTTGTCGCCGCTCCTCCGGCAATCCGACGAGGAGGGTGAGCCGGAGAAGAGGGGAGGAAAGCAGGCAGGCGACCCCGTTAACGTTTTATTTATCGGGGATTCGGGGAATGGCACGAGTGGAGCAAATCCTGGAAATAACAGGATGGAATCGGTGTGTTCTTTTTTTATAAAATAATCCGAGAAAAAGATCTCCGGTCCTTTTTCACCTGATAAATTTTTCTTGGGAGGATAATTGACAACCTCAGAGCTTTATAAATTCGATCTAGTTTATTCGAGCACCGTCAGCACATTTGGTTGGTAGCGAATGAAATTGCAGAACAATTGAAGTTGATCCACCTTTCGCCGGCGAATAAATTATTCAGCGCTCGTCGTATAGGCGGCAACCAGAGGGAAATCTAGCTGGGAATCGGAGACTGCTGAATAAGAAATGCAGTGCTCACCGGGTCTATTAGATAAACGGTCAAACGGCAGTTTTCGCGCGCGCCAAGCGAGGCTTGGGTGAATGGAAATAAATTATTGACGCACGTGTCAAGCCGGAAGCTGGTGTGCGAGAAAAGAGAGCTATAGCGAGCAGAAATCAACAAGGGATCAAATAACCTGCAGTTTCGCCGTCTCAAGGGTTTTAAATTCTTACACTGGCGCAGATCCACTCGAATTCCGCCAGCCCGCCGCAGCATCGTTTTATACACACACATATACTCACGCGGCATAACCAACCGACTCAAACAGGGAGCAGAACAAGGCCAAACTATTTAAAATTTTTTTTATGGAAATAAGAAAAAGGATTTTTCAGAAAACCTTCAATATTTAAAATAAACCTCCCGTTTTTGCAGTGTTTCGCCCTGAGAAGGACCAGGTTTAATTTATGGAAGTTTGTAAAAAAAATTGTTATAAAAAAAATTAAACCTACTTGAATGTTTTAAATTTGAAATTCAGCTGACTGTACTAGAAGCTGCTTTGGGAGTAAATTAAAATCACTCAATTTTCTGACCAAATTTGTACATGACTCCTACACAAAATTAAAAGTTTTAGCAAAATTTCTACTAGTGATGGTGTCTTTTGTACAACAATTCATTATCCCTCCCAAAAATGTTTTTATTTCAATGTAAAATTTTTAACAACAATTTGTACTAATAAAGAACAGTAAAAATATTTAGCCATTCTATTACAAAAAGCGGAAAAGAATAAGTCTTGATATTTTCACTGGATTTATAAATTTATTGCTTAAATTTTTACTTAATTAAAATAAAATGCAACAATTTTTGTTAAGTCAACAAAAACAGCAACTTTTTCTTAGATTTTATAAATGTTAACTCAATTTTCCGCTGGAATAAAAACCAATATTTACTCCTGCTCCCTTTCCGGCGCCGAGTTGCAGCCTTGGTCGCTTAGGTAACATTACTTTTGTCAAGGCACACAGGAACATCTGCCAAATATTATCTTATAATGTAGGAGGCGCACGGCAGATAAAAGAGAAAAACCCTCTCGAGCGCGAGCGAGAAATTATGCAAGTATATATACGAGCAGCGCAGGACGAAATGTACAGGGGATAAAAAAAGGAACTAGAATAAAAAAAGAGTGAAGCGGGCGCGGCGGTGGATCATTGGCGTGTGACCTCGATCAAATAATAAGTCTCAAGCGGTATCGATTTGAGGCGAGAAGTGGCCCGATCATCAATTTTTCAGCATCAAAGCCCTAGCCTGAGTGTTGCTTGCTATCACCTTGCTCGCCACCCCCTGCGATACTGCACCCCCAACACTAATAACACGCGCTAATGCAATATCGGCTCGGTCTATTCGCAATCTCGGTTTCGCACACACGCGACGATCACTTTTTACTTGTCAAATGAGCTTCCGTCTCGTCTCAGTTTGACTCATCACACATTGGGAAATCCGAGATTCCAGCATTGACGTGTCTTTTTACGAGAAAAAAAAATACATTTGGCGAATGCTTTTTTGTTCTTGCCTGCCGCTTCCAGTCCGAAACGATTTGTGAAAGATGAAAACAAACAATGGGAAAACACAATAGACATAAAAGACGAATAATTAATTCAAATTTAATTCAATTGATACTCCTTCTTTAGAATGTATATTTTTTTTTATCATTTTACTTAATGAACTATAATAATTTCAATAATTAATACCGTCCAAAAGAGTGATGAAGTAACCGTTTTGTGAAAGGTAATATTTGATTCTAGTTGATTGTTTGGAATATATATACAATTTTAAAGATGCGAAATTATAAATGTTTTTATAATTTTTATTTAAATTTGTTTAAATTTATTATAAAACTTTTCACATTTAAAAAAATAAAAAAAGAAATAATCGCTTTGTAATGATAAAATAATTAAATTATAAATTTATTTTGATAGAAAATTTTAATCAAAATTTAAAGTTTTTATATTATTAATATAAATTATTATAAGTAAAAAAAAATTTTACCTCAGCTCTATACCATAACTTTTTTTAATTTCAATTTAATAATCAAAATATCCTTTCAAATTTAGTTAAGGACAAATTGAAAAAGTTGGCAAATTAATAATCAATAATAATTCCATCTTACAACAGATCGCTGAAATATATTCAAATTTTCAAATACATCCGAGCGAGCTAAACAATAAACCACTTCGCCTCACCGATATTTCATTTTGATCGACAATTGGTTTGGCTGGCTGGTAATATTACGGCAGCGCAGGAAATTAAAATGCGCGCGCTGCCATAAAAGTGGATTGATCATTATTATTTTTTGGAAACACGCTCTCTCGTTGTTGAGGTCACAGGGTAGAACAGAAATCGCGTCCTTTGTTTTTGCCTGCCGCATACAGAACGCGGCACGTAATTTGGAATTCACCGCGCATAGTTCGGAAGTAAAAAAATTCCGAAAAGCGAATTTGGCTCCCTCGCAAATAATTTAGCGCTGTCGTGCTCGATGATGATAACAACGCTTTTTGTGGCAAATTTCATTATTGTTCCGAACGTGTTGGTGCAGAGCACCATCAGATTTGAAAAAAAAAAAATAATCAATGCTGGATGGGTTCAAACAGAACCGGCAAAGGTGGAAAAAACACGCTACAATTTCTTTCTCCTCAATAAAATTGTATAACCAATAAAAGTACGAAAAAAATTACAAATATTGGAATTTCTAAAACTTTTATAATTTTTCCTATCCCAAGGTTATTCTTGAATAAAAAAGCAAATTAAAACTACAATAAAACCATTTTTTTTTTTTTAATTATAACTGGTTGGTAAAAAAGAAGACCATGATAATTTTTTGAGAGCATTTTGGTTTGGTAGTCTTTTTTGTTCTCAAATGCCTCGAAAATTCAATTTGACAATTGGGAAATAGCAAATTGTGTTATTCTGATTTTAAATATGAGAGACTTCTTTTGAGACTTAAAAATGAACTTTTTTTTTTAAATTTTATAATTTGAAAACAATTAAAGAAAGTTTAAAAAATATTATATTGTAGTAAAATCAATACCAGGTTGATTGACCTGAAAAGTAAGAAAAAAACTTCTGCAGCAAACTCCACTCCTATTTTCAGGCTGTTTCTAATTTTTCTCTTAATTAACATGAAGACTGACATCATCAACAGCACATTCCGTCACGTGGTGACTCGGGCGTCGTCGACGGCGTCGACGTTGTCGGCGACGGACGGCACTGGCGGCGGCAGGCTCTCTCTCTGGGTATTGATCTGCGGGCGGGAGAGTGAGAGAGGCTGTTGCTAGCAGTGCCCAGCCAAACTCTCTCGGTGGGTGCTCTGGTGCTCTTCTCCGCCCCCGCCGTCCTCCGCCCCCACCCCCGCGCGCCTCTCGCCAGGCGTCACCTTACACTGCATCTATAAGCCCATTGTGGACCGAGCAGCCCCTACTGCCCTCCTTTTTAACCCGAGCTTCATTAATGGCCGGCCCGAGCCAAAATACACAGCCCAACGCCTGATTCGCCGTCGATGGATCTTTCTTCTCTCTCCCTGCAGCTTTCTCTCGCGCCCTCTTGATTTTTGCCCCACAAGATGTGCTTTTTCTTCCCCTAAATAAAAAACCATCTCCACTCCTGCAGCTGAAGTCTCTCCGTTTTCTTTTGGAATAAATTCTTTAAAACCTCTAAAAATTAAAAATTACCAAGATGAGGAGCCCTTCCAAAAGTGTCTCACTCAATTTAAGCTCAGTAATTAATAAACTTGTTTTATATCTTAATTTTCTAATAAAAATTTGGAGCTTTTCATCGAATTAAAAAATTTACTTGAAACTCCTCATTAATAACTAAAGCGGATCGCGGAAAATGTGCCAAAAGTTTAACTCACTTAAATAAAATACGCTAATTGGCATGCAGATTACGAATCGTTTAGGCGGTTGTGTTTGAAACAAATTAAATAATTAACAGTGTTTCTTGAACTTTATTAGTTTTTATTACCAGTAAATTAACACTATAATAATTATGGGCTGTTTAAGGTGACCGCATAAAATTTTTCTTTTTCTCATTCACAAAATCCTGATGACGTGTAGTCCACATAATAATTAGAATATAAATAATACGCGTGTTTTTTTTTGTGTTCGTGTGTTCTCGTGTTTGTGTGTGAGTGAGAGAGATAGTTTTTTTCTTCTTTCTCTGTATTTCTTTCGTTCTCCTTTTAGTCGCAGATGGTCTCAATTTACTGTTAATTCAGAGCAATGGAAAGCATTATTTTTCGTCTCATTTCGATTTACACAGGGCTGTATACAAAACGCTCGTTTTTTTCTGCTTGGTTTAGTGGGCTTTTTAGTTAGGCTACGGCGCTTTTTTCTTTCCAGAAAATCCTTGTGCGCGCCATACGCCTTGTGAGATTTGATCGTTTATTAGCAAAGTTTTTTTCTTACACAATCAACACAACAACAGATGCTCAACTTTCCTCTATTTAGTTAACAGGTTCTCCGTTTTTAAAACTGCGTATGTGGTGGGCATGGTTGTGGGTTTCTCGTCAAAGTTCCGCAAAACATTTTCGTCGCTGCTGTATGATGTTTTCATTTTTTGTTTCAATAATATGTATATTCACGCGATTTTTTTTCGTGTGTACTGTGGTTAAGCATGCAGTCTTTTGTTGGCATTTTCTCTCTTTTTGTTTTTTAAATCTTTGTTCATTAAAGTCAGTGTGTGCGGCACAAAAACCGGATCCAGAAGAAGAAGAGAGTGAATTTTCTAGTAACATCATAAAGAAATTAAAACGCAATGATTTTACACACAATTATCATTTACAAAGTTAACAGGAGACACTCACATGGAAAATTCTCTAATAAAAAAGGACCAATCAGTGCTAAACAAAACATGTAAACTTTGACTTTCGGAAACTATATCAAATTTTTGGATTTTTTTGGTCGCGGCAATCGATATCGTATAACAAGTTAGGCGCTCCACATCTTATTTTGTGCATTGAATTGATCGATGAATTATATATAATTAATTAATCTAGTATACAGACACGCAGGCGGCGGCAAGAGAAGTTCTCATCTGTGTAGCCAAAAGAGAATGCAGTATAAAAAGTGAACAGATCTTTATCATATTATTATTATTTTCATTTCAACATTAACCACAAAAAGTTGTTTGGTGTAACAGGCATGTGTGTAATAATTATAATGATTTTTTCTCTCTCTCTCTCGTTTCCTTTGAGTTCATTCTCATATACAGTAATCATAAAATGTTAATTGCGATCGATGGCAAGGACACGATTCGATGCAAAAAATGAACAAGAAACATCTTTCTCTTCTTAATTTTTATTAAACCGCGTGTCTCTCACTTTTCACAAATATAATTATATAAACGTGTGTGTCTGTGTGTGCGTGCGACGAAATGCTTGATCACGCGCGTCGTGCAGTTTTTCAATGTTTCCATTTCCCGTGTTTTTTTCTCTCCATTAAAATCACCAGCAACCATCGCATTTGAATTAAAAATTATAATTTATATATATTGCACCATTCAAGCACGTTGTGAATTTTTCTTGTTTTTTTTCATTCTTTTTTACCATGTACATCCTATAAAAAACTATATCAATACAATTTAGGACACAACAATATCTATATAAATAAAGGTCTTCTATATTTCCCATTTCAATTCATCGGCAATAATATATACTCTTCTCATCATCAATAACAAAATTCTTGCAATAAAAACAACTTTGTTTGATTCATTCCTTAATTTCTTATCATTTTTCATTACAATCTATTTGTGTGTGAATGCGTGTGTGAGTTTTGTGTGCTTTTCATCATTTTTATGCTTATAACACTGGTTTTTTTTAAAGTACTTATTAATACCCGATCGTTTTTGGTTAATTTTCACTTCCAATATTAATTTGCATTCAGTTAATTCAATTCGTCGACGGGTGCTTGATAAAAATATTTTGCGGACGGCCGCTCTTTTAACAATGCTATTTTCTTAATCAAATTTTGCAGTTAAGTAAAATGAACAGTAAACAAAAACGTGTGTAAGTGTGTGTCTCAGATTTTGGAGAATTGTATATAATTTCCATGAGATAATTTTCTTGTGTGTGAGTGTTAACAGCGAATGTTTTCATTCATTTTTCATTAAGAGTTAATGCAGAGTAGTGAGAGAAATGGTGAACGCGCTTATTTTTTGGTTGCTCCTTATTTTCTTGCTGCTGAAGTAGAGTAAATTGCTAGAAGTGAGGACTAAATATACTTTCATTTACTTTGCAGACACAATACTTTCTTCTTTTTTTAATTATTAATATTTTTTTCTCTTTAAATATTCTTTCTAGAACATCAACTTCAACTAAATCAAGTGAGAAGAAATTTTCATTTTATAATGTTTTCTTTGCATCTTTACGGAGTTCGGTGGTGAGAGAGTGATTTTTTTTATCATCATACTTTTTCATCGTCAGCAAAGTGGAATTTTTACACACTTTTCCTCTTATAAGTCGACTCCTGCTGCTATTAAAAACAGTTCGTGTTCTTTTAAAAAACACATTTACGCTTCACTGTCCATCAAAATGTTTTGTTTTCGTTCGCTGCTTCTTTTTCATTATTACACTTTTTAATTATATAAAAAGTTATTTCAATCAATAAATTTTTTTCGTTCATCTCGTATGTGTGAAACAATCGCGGGGCAACTCTTGATTTTACGCTCGTCTTTTGATTTCACAAATCAATTCATGCGAAAGGTTCTTTCTTCAACATATATGCAAAGTAGTGTAGTTATTTTTTGTGAGCAATAGGTGATTATGGCGCCGTCGGAGGCTGAAAGGCCCCGTCCGGCGGTCAGTTACGGGCCCTTTTGGTGAAGGGCCTCAACTGAGAATTCCGATATACAGTATTTTTTTTTATGTAGTTCGTCTGGTTTTTTTTTAACCGGGGCTGTATTGAAACGGTATTTTTATATAATCAAAAAGAAACGAATGCCGCGTGTCGTCTGAAATATTTCTAATCACAGGACAGTATTTTTATGCTTTTAATATTTTACACTTGTAACTATGACGTTATCTAGTATCATACTGCAGTATGCACAAGAGGAGGCCGTATATTGGCTGCGGGACCCATGAACTGTCGCTCCGATTCGAGGATTTCTACTTTTTCATTGAAAAACGCGAGTGCGAGCAAAAAGGCGCGGTCCTCTATCAGGACAGTCTGCTCTGGCTAGATAAATATATGTAAACGAAAAACTTGCCCTCAAATATTCTTCATCCCTGTATTTACATCAAACCCTTTATTTTGACAGAATCAACGTAACTTGACGCACTCAATTTTCCTAATCGGGAATAGAAACGTGTTTTATAGCCAGAGCCCTTTGGTGTGTGAATTTAATTGGACTTTCTTTGAGTTACAAATGGGCTCAGCACTCGCTGCGTCGGGAGTTTCCGCTCCGGCTATAAAACTAGCCGGAAGCCGCTCTCCTATCATCCTCCGAGCTGGACAGCGGGCGTCCGACCTGCCGCGCGAGCCCCTGAGCACCGGCAGGGGTCTTGAGGCAGGGGCGGGCGCGGCCAGGGCGCAATATGCAGCCTCCCCCGTAGTATTAGCTAGAGATATCCCTCCACCGCTCTCTTCTGGACGAGTAAAAATAACAACACGTACGGCAACAGGGCGGCGATCAGCTCGGCGGTTGCGAATATTTTAGTAAAAATAGATGACCACCATCTCCGCCATAATACGGGTAATCTATTATCACTGAAAATATTTGTAGTGGGATCACTCGCGAGTGGCGGCGCCACTATCGCACCACCGGCGGCACGCCGCACTTGCCTAATAGTCCAAGAGTGTATGTGAAACGATTCGTGCTGCGATGTCCGAACACCGTGGCTGGCCGCACTGTCAACAGCAGCGTCCCGCACGTGCCTACCGGCTGCACTGTCAACATCCTGCCCGCTACCTGCTTTCATCTTAACAACGACAACTTCATTTTTTAAATCATTTAGCTGAGAAGAATGCCTATTCTTCTTTCTGCTGCTGCTGCTGCTATGGAAACTGCTCTTACGATTAGGGGGTTCGGGGGGCAACAACGAAGACGGGGGGTTCGTCGAGTGCTGAGAAGAACAAGTCTGTCTGTCCGCGTGGCTGCACTCGCGGCGCTCGGCCTCCGCGGCCGCCGCGCCGCCGCTTGAAGAAGAATATGTCTGTGGGCTGGTGGTGGTCATGGTTGAGGGCCGACCGCACGTGTCCGTTGAGCACACGCCGTGCCGCACCTCCTTTTGATGCGTCAGTAACAACAGGGGATGCCGGGTGCCGGCGACTCGCGCAAGCTTCTGGGCGACGCTCTCGGTAGTATCACAGTACCGGAAGCAGCAATCCTCAGGGCCGTAGGATGAATTCTCTAGTTGCTCTCCCGTCTCAGGAATGTTGGGATCTGCAACAATACGTTTGCACTTTAAAACCTGCGATAATATTTGATCTCTTGCAACTCTCAAAAATTTCCCTTATATTATCCTAAGTATTTGAAATTTACCATTAAATAAGAATAAAAAGTTTTAATTTCATACAGATTGCCGAATAAAAATTTGCAATAATTCAACAAACAATGAACTTCAAAAGATAAACACAAAATTGGCACTGGAAGCACTCTTGGGCGTCATAATAGATTTTGATAAATTTGAAGTTAAGAATATATAATTATGGATTTGTGACAGCAAAAGTTTGGTTCAGATTTTGTAAGAAAACTATCAAAATCGCTTTTAAGTTAATTCAGTTAATTACTACCAGGAATTTTAATTTATGATATTTTTACTAAGAAAGCAAATAAAAGATTTTTACCCTAGATTGTGATTTAAAAAATACGCAGAAAATTAAACAAGAATGATAACTGACTAAAGGCAACCGAATGCAGAGCTGCGAGAACTCTAGCAGTTGTAACTGACTGTGAGGATTAAGCTGTGCCGCCAAAAATTGCGCGCTGTTTCGCGATAAGAAGATTAATGAAGATGGATTGTTGTAGTTTCACGCACAAGAGAGGCGCGGTTTAAACATGATAAACTAGTCTTTCTCTTCAATTTTTACGCTTTATCTACGGTTTCCATAGGCACGTTCATGAGCATAAACGAGAAAGAAAAAAATAATTAAAATTAAATTCAAAGTTAAGTAGATTCCAAAAGTCAGCAAAAGAAGAATTCATACATATTTAGAAAGCCCCGGGAAAACCAATAACTGTTTAACTGTTTTGAAATTAGAGTAAAAATCGTGATTTTTCAAATGAACAGTGATTTTGATTTTTACCGTATTTTTTCACTTGAAAATTCTTTTAAAAAGTGTATTCATTCTAAGAATTGACAGAAATATGTAATTAAAGCTTGGATTTAAATTCGGGATTTCCAATAATTAGATGAAATTGGGCGAAATTCGAGCGTGTAATAATTTGCACACCATGACAAAAACCGATCAAAGAAGTTTCTCCTCTCCAAGAAAAGTTTGTGACCTTTGAGGCCGCCGCGAAAAACACAGGCGGAAAGCGCAGTCAATAATAATTAATTAGCCGCGCGCCGCAAAAAGTCTGTTAGGCGTTGGCCTCGATTAAGCGCTGTCGCCTAATTAATTAGCTAATTGAGTCTAACGGGGGTGGTGCTTACCGAGGCACAGGAAGGTGGGTTCACCCGCATACTGTGTGGTGTATCCTGGCGCGCGGTCCCCCGGCAGAAAGAAGGGGCACCGCTGCTCCACTTGCTGGCACACTTCACGACACGGGCGCACTTTTCGCCACGCTCGGCGACGAGTTCGGCTCGGCCTTTCAGGCTGCTTGGCCGGCTCGCCCCTTGAGTCGGCGCCGCCGTCGTCGCCCTTGGCCGGGGGCGGCGCCGACCTCGCGGCTGGTTCACGGCGTAGCTCGTGATAAGGCAACAGGGACGCGCACACCCAACGCCGATACGCATCCTGAAACACAAAAGACAAGCAAATTTTAGTAAAAATTTGAAATATCCACATTGATTATCATAGATTTTGGAAATCTGGCATGAAACGATCGAGCTTAGTTTAAAATTGATAGTAAATTTTGCTAATTTGTAGTTCTTTTTAATGGTATTAATTTCCGTCATTCATGGAACCTGCTTGGCAAAAGAATAAGATAATATTACATTGATGATGAATTTAATTATATTTAATATTTATAAAGAAAATAAAAATCACTTGAAGAACGCATTCAAAAGAATCTGAAAGTATATTTCAGAGTTTCATGAGTACTCAGGATTTAAAAAAAAATTAACGTAAATTTAGTAATAATAATAAATTTTTACGTTCATGTGCGTAGTTAAAAACAAAGCATTTGGATAAAAAATGTAATTTTAATATTAAAAATATATTTAAATAAATTTATTGTGATACGCTTAAATGTAAATTGTAAATAATACTAATATTGGTAATTTTTATTTTTATAATATTTAAAACTGTATACTTGTGTATGTATTTACAAAAAAATTATCAATATCAAATAGTTAAAATTTAAAATTATAAATATGAACCATACAAAATTATATTTTAGATTTATTAATTTATTACTTTCAGTCCATCACACAAAAATTGATCATAAATCTTATTCCAGATCTAAAATATTCCATCGTTGATATATTTTAGTAAATTTTTTTAATTTTAATCCTTTTCAATAAAGTACGTTCACTTGAAAGCGACAACTTTGATATGAGCAGCAAAATTGCGCCTTTTTATGCAAATTGATATTTTGCAACTGCTCGGGGGTTCGCAGAATCATTTTTCTCTTTCTCGCTCGTTCTCCATGATATAAAAACTTGGCAAATAACAAGGCTATGAAGATACATTTCTCGCGGGCGAGCAGCCGTTGAACCACTTATGAAAATGATATCGTGTGAGTGTATATTATGTGAGAGCAAATGTCTCGCCCAGAAGGCAGTCGGTGAATTACCGACGAAAGATCAAAGCGTTTAAAAAGAGCATCTCGTGTGCATATATTTGTCCCCAGGGTGCCTAGCGAGATAAAGAGAGAGCGGGCGCGAACGAAACGGTCTAAGTGCAATGCATTATGGATGCATTATGGCGAATCAAAGCGGCGGCAAACGAGGAGCTTTTCTTGCCTTTGCACGCGCGGATGTTGGCGAGGTGAGTTAAAAGGCGAAAGGTGAAAGGCTCTTAAGCAGGCGGCCCGACAAATTGAATTATTGCTGCTGCTACAGAGTTTACGGAGCAGCTCCACTCAGATGCGAATCTGCGAAAATTTACTTAAGCGTTCAGCTCTCGTCTATGGCGATACATGACTCTGAAGCAAAAACTTTGCATCTTTCTGAAGCTCGCCATTTAACATTTTTTTGTTTTAATCTTTTAATATTCTGCAAACTAAAAGGCGAATCATTTTTTTGACGAAAAATTAAACATTATTCCAGATGGCCGCATTAAATTGAAAACAAACACTACCATAAATTGATTATTCACCAAATATTTTTGCCAAAAATTATTCAAAGTTTCCAACAATTTGATCAATCTTTGCTTGCAGCATGCGAAATGTATCAATGTTACCCTCCACCCTCCTTACAATTGTTTATATCAAATTGTTATAAAAACTTTTGGAAAAATAAACAACAACCGCAATAAATAGAAACTGCTAATATTATTTGCGAATATTTCAATTTATTTCCAAAAAGAGTTTTTTTTTTTTAGCAAAATGTTTGTCAACGATTAATTACTGTGTGGAACTTTTTCTTCCTAAAATCATATTTAGAACTAGTTACATTGAAAGTTAAAATTTGGCAGAATTTTAATTCATTTATTCTCCATATTTGGAGGTAGGGAATTATAGCAAACGTTTTCTTTTTCAAAATTTAGAGATTTAATCGTGATTTCCCATCAATTTATGGATGTTTGGCAAGCATTCAATAAACCATAGGGTTTTATAATTTTGCTTCATAATTGCAAATTTAATTTTCTAAATTAAAGAAAATTGAAAAAAGTTAAAAATGGATTTATTGTCTATTTGCGCTATTTCCTGTTGTCAAAATACGTACTAAAAATCAATTTAATTTTAAAGTGGAAATTTTGCACATAAAATTTAGTTTTCTTTTTATAAAACCGTTAAATTCATTTTGTCAATTTTTTTAAGTAAATTGGCAATCGAACTCAACACAAATTAGTGGTTCAAAGAATCGATTTTTTGCTTCCAATGAAAAAGTCCTAGCAATAAACGAAACCACAAAACTTTTTTGCAGGTTCCGATTGACCCTCGGGGACAGTTGCAGTGGCCGATCAATCTCGTGCTCGCCGCGGGGAAAAGGCTCAGCGATGCAGGCTGCTCGAATTTTTGAGTGACAGCAGCAGACGGGTCCGATTGTCAATTACTGCGGCCCCCACCCGACCAACAATTGATTGATTCAATGTGATAGATAGCATGGCCGACGCTGCTGTGTGTTTTAGAAAATTATTTGGGCGCGAAATTCCATTGTGTGCGAGAAGAGCTGCGTACATTCTCTCTTTCGCTTCGGTCCCTCTATCAGCAAACGCGCTGCTGCGCCTAATTAATTGTGTTAGCGCGTGCTAAACATTTGCCTGCCCTATCTCGTGTTGCCATATCAATTTGAGCCGGCGCTTATAATCGCTCTTGAATGCTGGCTGCCGGCAACAAAGCAGCAGAGTTACGCGTGCGTTATTATATTATTATTCGCGCAGCTCGAGACGGCGAAGGAAGGAAACGGGAGATCTCCCGATAAAAAGTTTTGCCTCTTTATTGACAAATTCTTCTCATGGTGACAAAGTGAGTTTAAACGGAGGAAGAAAAAGTACAAATATGCTTTGTTAAATTTGTTTATAAAACTTGAAAAGATTGGCATCTCAATGAAGTTTAATTTAAAAATTTGAAGGAACGGGTAAAAACATATAAAATTTTAAGTGATTTTAAGTTAAAATACCTGATATAAATTGTATGCATAATGCACCTAAGACAAAGATCTTAAATTTGTATGTAATTAAATTTAAAATTGGCTTCTTGTCGCAGGTTTAAATGCCAAATAATGGCAATAGCAGCCGAAACATGTAGAGTAGGATATTGTTTTTTCTTAAACCATAAAAAACTCACAAAAACCCATCGAGGAAAAGCCGAATTTAAATTCAAATCCCCATGAATCAACCCTCGATCGTGAACTTCTCCTACAAAATCTAAATTTTCAATTAAAATATGGAAAGTACTCATTGAAAAGAGCTCAAATCACGTGCCGTATTCAATTTGCAGCAAGCAGAGCCGTGTGTGTGTCCATTTGCACTAATGAAGTGCTCGAACGGAATTTATAGTTCCCACCGGCCGGCGATTTATGAACTAATGCAAATGGGGCCGGCGATGAAATGACTGAATTTGGCGGCACACAACAAAGATAAATGGCCGGCAAAGCGCTCTTTAATTGGCAATAGCATTATCGGGCCGGGGTTGATAATGGCTCTCGGCCGGGTAATTATAAAGCTAATTGATTTTATACGCGCTAAATGTTACGAGCTCCATGTGTGCAAGTTTTTTGCGCCTCAGCAGAAAGGTCGGACCTCGAGTTTCACCCCTGCTAATTCCCTGTCCCCGGAGGGATTTTTTTTTATATTTAACATCATTATCTTTTTTTTTTTTTGCGAAATTTTTAAACGGACCTAAATTGGCGTAAAAAAGCGAAAACCAATGAAGCGTGGAAAATAAATTTTTTGGTTTGAACTTTGATGATTTTTTGTCGGTTAAATGAGTCGGCGCAAAGTTTAACTGATGGGGCGGTGCGGCACGACGTGTATAAAAAGTTGCAGCTCTCGCTTCATTTGGCATGGAACGAAAATTGTGATTGAGACAGACGTGACCACTTGTGATGTCAGTGTGTCCGTGCGGGATTTCGCCCGAGGATAAAAGCCGGCCATAAAACCATGAATCAAGCGTGAGCTGCCCGCCCGCCTGGCACTGCCTCTGACATTTCCCCAACGGAGCTTCCGAGGCCTGCACAGGAAGGTCAGGTTCGCAGTCCGTAATGGAGCACCCACTCAATGTCATTTTTAAAATGGACACTTCGTAAAGAAATTTGAAAATATTTTAATGCAACTGCTGCAAAATTTACAAACATTTGTGAAAATTTTAAACATCGTTAATTAATTTTGAATATTTTATCTAATCAATGACTTTGAATTAAATTTACATGTGGTATATCGTTGGTCATTGAATACAGTAATTTCTCAGGGATAGTTAATTAAACCTCAAGAAGTGCCATTTGAATTTATTAAAATAAATTTTTTTTGTTTTTATGATTAAAAATTCCAAAATTTCTACAAGAAACATGCATTGACAAGTAAGTAAACAGAAATTAAAGAAATAAATTTTAAAATATGAAATTAAAGAAGTAAAACCAAAAAACTTTTACAACAAAAAATATTACATTTATGTTAACTATTTAATATGTTTTTTTAATTAAAAAACTTAAATTAACCTGAATTTTGGCATTCATAAAGTTTTTTTTTTCAACAAACCACTATTCTTGCTAAGAAAAAACTTTTCATAAAGACAATATTTAATATTTACATACATAAAATTCACATTTGACTTGAGCATTGAGTTTTCCTTTTCAAAAAAGGTTAAATTTTTACACAAATCAAATTTGTTCCTTGTTCTTTTGAGGCGAATATCCTTCAGTTTGATTTAAGGGTTTCGAAATCTGGAACAGCTAATATTTTTATCAAAAGAAGATGCCAAATTCCATAAAAACAAGTTTAAAAATCTAGAAAATAATTGATTACTCTTCTTAAAATTGTCATTTGTCTACTTTTCAACTTCTCCAATAAATTTTTAGAATTCAAATAGCACGTGATTTAAATATAAACCCTTAATATTGAGCAAAACCTATTTTTGAAGTTTAATAGTATCAAAATATAACTTTATAATTTATTAAATCCTTCAAACAATT